GGCGGCGCCCCGCGACCCCGGGGGTATCGGAGCGGGGGGGCGACGCCGAGCGGTGCGCGCGGACGCAGCGTGGTCCGTGCGCGCCCAGCGGGCGCGACTCGCGCGGCCATGCCTCGACGCGTGGCGGGGTCGACGTCGAGGTGAGGGCGGGACTGCTCGAGAGGGGCTGGGCGGGCCCCCCCCGGCGTGTAAGTCCCCGGGGATGTCGTGGTGCCGGCGACGCAATGGGGCCCCCAGCGACGCACGAGGTGGCTTTCCCCCCCCCAGGCTGCAGAGCGACCCCCCTGCCCCGACTCGGCCGACAGACCGGGGGGAGGGGCGTCGCGGCCGCGGGTTGACCGGCCTGCGGCCGCGACACGGGGGGCGCTCGTCCCACCGCGGCGACGCGCCATCCGTAGTAGAGGTCCCGTGCGCGCGTAGCTCCAGCGCCGCGCGGAAGTAGCGTCTGCCTGCACAAAGGGGCACGGACAGTGGCCACGACGCAAGCAGCGCAGGGGGTGCCTCCCTGAGATGCCCCCCCGGGGCGGCGACGGCCGAAAGGGGCTTCATGGCCTGCGGCCCCCGGGGAGGGCGGGCGGGGAAAAAAATCCCACGAGCAGCCGGAAACCGCGCGGGCGGGGCCACGGAGGCGGCGCGCGCGACGCAGTTGGGGGGGGACACGCACTCGAACCGCCCGACCCGTGGACGCGTCCCGGGCGGCCCGGCGCGGCCGCCTGCAGCTAGAGAGCGGAGCGTGGCGCCGCGCGCGGGGGCATGGCCGGCGAGTGCAGCCAGCCAGCGCGCGGGGGGGCCATGCAGGCGCGGGGTGCCGGCAGTGGCTACAGCGCGCCCGTAGTGGCCGCGCCGTGTGATAGCGTGGCGCGAAACGCCCGCGAGAGTCTCAAGCTCAACGTCGCCAAGAGCAGCCTCCTCGTCTTCGACTTCGCGGACGACCCGCTGGACGACGCGACGGTCACCGCGTACGCGTACACCGACACGCCGCAGCCGGTCCAGCGCGCCACGTCGGCCAAGATCTTGGGCGTGCACTTCGACACCAAACATGGAGGCCGAATGCAGGCGCCGGAGCGATCGCCCGGGCCGCCGTCCGTGACGCCACCGAGCACGCCGCGAACGGCGAGCTCAATCATCCCGGCGTCGTCGCGGTGCACCTCGCCAACTCCGACATCGTCAACGCTGCGGCGTGGGGGGGCGAAATCTGGGCGCCGTACTTCCCGGACGTCGACTGGCCGAACTACGAGGCGGAGATGCACCAATGCCAGAAGGACATCGACGGCAACGTCCCCCGCTCCGGCCCAGACGACCACCTCGCCCGCCATCTGCGTGGCACCCTGCGTGTCCACAAAAGCACCCCCGCCCCCCTCGTCCTGGCGGAGTGCGGCCTGAGCTCCGTCCTCTCGGTGGCGTGGGGTCGCGCGGCCCGCCTGTGGAACCAGTTCGTTGGCCTGCAGGCCGACCCGCGCGCCCCCAAGCTGCTCCTCGCCGCGTGGAAAGATACCTTGGCCTTGGCCGAGGTCACGCCGCACTGCTGGGCGGCGCGCGTCCGGACCATGGCGACGACCCTCGGCGTCCACCCGCCGGCGCCGGCACCGCCGACCCGCATCGACGCCCGCCGCATGTGCCTAGCCATTGACAAGCTGCAACTTGACCTCCCCGACACGCACCCGCGCACCGCGCAGCCGATCGGCGGCCAGTTTGCCGCGGCCTACAATGTGCACTACCTGCAGGTCCCAGACAGGGTCTGGTTCCGTCATGAAACGCCCGCGACGGTTACCCTACACGTCCCGCCATACATGCGCTGCGCACCGCACCTGCGAGACCTTCACTCGACCACCCGCGTCCTCCAGTGCGTGTCGCAGGTCCGCCTTGGCACCTCGCACCTGCGTGCCAACCGGGGCGCGTGGGCGCATGAGCCGTTGTCGCAACGCACGTGCAGGTTCTGTGGCGACACGACGGCGATCGAGGATGTGGTGCACCTCCTCACCGAGTGCACTTCCGCGGACATCGTCCAGGCCCGCGCGCCGCTGGCCGATCTGCCGCCCGCCCAGCCGTGGGGTCGCACGTGGGCGAACAGCACGGAGTCGTCGGCGGCGCAGTACTTCAACCAGCAGGCCCAGGAGCTCATCAACGGCCTGCAGCAACGCGCGGCGGCGGGCGGTGAAGATGGGCGAGACGCGGCGGTCCGCCTGCTGTTTCTCGACGGCGGACCCGTCTTTCACCGCGTCCTCTACCGGCTCAACAAGATGGCTGCAGCGTTCCACCCCCGGCGCGGACGAGTGATTCGGGGCCTCCACGACCGTACCTGCTGGCTGGCTACCCACGTCCCCCCCAAGTCCCCCCCTGCGGCGACGCACCGGCCGCACTGGCTGGGCGCGCCTCCTCCAGCTCGTCTGGGCTGGCGTCGCGACCAGCATCTAATCACCGCGCACCCGCGCCCTGTGCCTAACTAGCTGAACCCATCCCCGCCCACCTTGTCTGTCAATCGCACGCGACGATCCCCGATACCGCTGCGACAGAGGCCGCAGGACTGATGCCGGCCCGCCGCGTGGCTGGACGGCCACGAAGGTACTCATCCGTCCCGGAGATCCCACACGACAGCACTCCTGTGCACACGGCGACGCGAGGGCACCGGAGGATGGCCGGTGCCGAGAGGACAGCCCCAGCAGCCGGCGCCCCGTGCACTGGTCGTCGTGCACGGGCGACACCTGGGCCCCGCGCACCAGCACGAGCGTACCGCCGCGTGTCGTGCAGCAGACTGGTCCCTGCCACCGCGCGTGGGCCCAGGTGCAGCCGGCTGGCGTGGAATATCATATTATATGCGAGACAGCCCCTGGGGGGACACTTGGTGACACCCCCCGGCTCGCTGCTGGCCGGCCCAGGCGGACCGAGGGGCCGCGCACCCCCGCCTGGGCCTGGCCGCACTCGGCTGTCCTTGAAACTTGCGTCGTCGTCTGCCTTGAGGGCACCAGTGGATGGACTTCGCGCGGTCATCGACATCGTCAACACTCGCACCTCGGCCTTCTGCGTGGCGCGAAGATTGGACAGGCGCTCGACCTCGACCCGTGGACACCGGATGCGGCCCGGCGTGCTCGCGAACGCCCTCAAGTCGGAGATGGCCGCAGGCGCGCTCGCGAGCGCCACGAAGACGCGGAGATCACGGAGCTGCGAGCGCCGGCGCGCTCCCACGCGGAGCCCGGCATCCTGTCGCACCGCGGCTCACGCTGAGCCCCGGAATGTCGACTCAAGCCTTCCTCCGTGCGCCCTCGCGGGCCCGGAGTCGAAGCTGCACGCGCAGCGCCCACGAGGCGCGCTCGTCCGTGCGGCGTATCCGCGCGGGCTGAAGTGCATGCTCACACGCTGTCGGCCAGGTGCTGGCGGTTTCAGCCGTCCCATGCCCCCCCGCCTCGGCCTGGTGGCAAAATCTGATGTCCTGCGTTCACAATGCTAACCCCCTGTCCTGCGTGCTAATGCGGTGTGGTGTGCCCTCGGCCGAACCCTGCCCAGGGCTCGGCGGCGCGCGCATGTCGGGACGCTGCGGCGACCGGGCTGTGTGTGCTGTGGAGCTCTAGCACCAGGCTGTCAAGTGCCTGAATGACAAACGCGATCGCATGTCGGCTGTCGGCGCACCCCCCCCACGTTTCCCCGCGGCGGCCCACGCCGCGCCCGCTGCCCCCCCTGCGCGGGCTGTCTGCCACTTCCCTTGATGCTGTCGGCGGGAGATGGGCACTCGTCCTCGGTGGTTTCTGTCAAACTAGCGCCGTTATAGGGTGGGGTAGAACCTGCCTTGGCGGTGCGACCCGTTCTTCGGGGTGTGAACAAGTCTAGTCTAGTCAGAGCCATCTGCCAGACTTTTGCAGACGTGGTCCGCCGGCGAGGCCTTGCGCGATGCAGCGTGCCTGCGGGGGGAATCGATGGCCCGGTACAAGGACGTGCGCAAGACGGAGCCCCGGCTCCTCTGCCGCCGCGTGCACCTTGCCGGAGCGATGCCAGGCAGCGTATGGATTGTGCCTTGTGACCACGCAGCACGGCCTCACGACCCCCGTCGCCGCGCGCACGCAGAACGTGTTCGAACTCGGGGTCCCCGCGCCGCGACCAAACATGCCGCTGGCGCGCGTCAGGCCCCGCGCGACGTGTGGGCAGGCCAACGCTCTAGCTGCACGCTGCCTCGGGCGCCGTGGATCCCCGCAACAGCTCGCCGACGCGTCATGCGTGGCGCGTGCATATGTGCGGCGGATGTGGCACCGGCGGACAGCAGCGGGCGTCCGGCCTCACGGCCGCGCTCCACACAAGGGGCTCGGCACTCGTGCTGCTGCTGCGCAACACGGCGGGCGGCGCGCCGAGGCTGTTGACCGGAGCCCGCGCCGCCGTGGGAGCGCGGTGCGTCGCCGCCCTGCACGCGCACCTCCGGACCCGGCCGGAGCGCTGATTCTCACTCATTCACAGAGCCGCAGAGGGGATGATCAATGATCCTCTGATTGATATTCACATTGGAGGCTAATAGTCTCTGATGCCTCATCGCCAACACGCCGTGCCAACGGGGGCCGGCGGCCCTCGCGCTCGGACTCGAGCGACTCCTAGCGCGGCGCGTGTCAGACCCTCCATGACGCATCGTCACGTCATGCGGTGGGTGGCTCCCAGTATTTGGCCGCCCTTGTCGGATGGTCGATCGTGGTCACGAGCCTCTACGGTCGACGACAGCTCAAACATCGTGGCTCGCTCACTCACTCACTGGAGTTTCGGTCCCACTTGCGTCACTGCCACAAGTCACTGAGAGGAGGGCAGCGTGGCGCACCAGTCAGGCGCCGCAAGCAGCCGCTCGAGCACGAAGGCTGCCGGGCGACGTAGGAGCGGCATGTTGAGGCTGACGCCGCTCTCAGTGACACTCTGGAGCGCGCGAAGCGCTCATAGGCTCACAGGGCCGGTGCTCCGGGACCGCGCACGCACTCCGCGTCGGTCGTCCGGCTAGGAGGAGAGTGCGAGCGGCGTGGCGAGGTCCGGTTCGCTCAGTCGACGTAGTCCGGGTTGGGGCGCACGATGACGACGCCCTCGAGGATCGATGACTGTGCGAGGTACTGCTCGGTGGCGAGCTCCGCGCGCTCGCCGTGGCCCACGAGGATCGGCGTGGTGTACGTCTGCGGAGGGCGAAGGAGTGCTGTGTGGTGATGGAGGAAACAAGGAACGAACAAATAAGGATACGTGTCTTGTTGATAGTTGTTCGTCCACGGTGGAGACCGACCGGCCGCAAGGGAGACGCCGCGGGGGACAGCTCGATCAGATATTGATTCGGTCCTCAGTACATTCAGTACATTCAGTTCATTCGTTCCCTTCCAAGTTAAACAACAACAACAAGTAAGCACGACAACAAGTAGCACAGAGTCTGCGCCTGCGGCGGCGCGCCGCGCGGTGTGCAGGCGACAGATCCGGGCGGCGAGAGGTGAGCGGCGCGTACCTGGAAGCCCGTGATGGCCTTGGGGCGGCCCGCTTGCGCGACGACGTCCACGGCCTGTCCGACGCGCACCTGGGCCGACACCATGTTGCCCTCCTCATCGAGGAGCATGAGCATGCGCGGGAACATCGCGAGAGAGAGGTAGAACAGCATCATGTGGTGCTTGCCTGCAGCGGGGGCGGGCGCGGGTGGCGAGTGTGTGTCGCTGTGCGCACGCGTGCAGAGACAGATGGGATTTCGTGTCTGTGGATTTTTGCTTGCAGCGGAGCAGGCGGATCCGCTCGTGGACGATGAGTGAGCAGACCCCCGTGCGCGCGTGCGTGCGTGCGTCTGTCCGCACGAACCGAGAGAGAGAGTGCAACAAAAAAAAAACAACAACCACCATTTCCTATCTGGTTCCACGCACCTCCGATCGTGATCTTCGGCAGCAGCGCCGCGTACAGCACGCCGAGGATCCCCCCCAGCGCCGGCAGCGACAGCAGCTGCCGCTCGGTGTGGTACGGCGAGAACGTCAGCAGTCCCTTTCCGGCGTGAATGAGCCCCTGCGCCACGCGCACCATCAGCAGCGCGGTCGGGTCCTTGCTGTGGTACTGCCCGAGGCTCCGCAGCAGCCCCGCGAGCCGCGAGTTGTTCGTCCCGGCGCCCACGAGCCCGAGGCTGAGCGCGGCCGCAATCGCGACGCTCGAGTCCACGTCGTGCGACAGCCGCGACAGAATGTCGACGACGCCGATCTCCGGATTGCTCACGTTGAGCAGCCCGAGCGCCAGCGGCACCGCGCGCCGCACCACCGGCCCGCCGTACTGCAGGAGGTGCTCAAACATGCGGTACGCCATCGACGACCCGAGCTCCTCGCCCATCGCGATCAGCGCGATCCCGATGACCGCGGGCGCCTGGTGCCAGCTCTTCCACGCCTCCTGGTCCGCCGCCGCGCCCGCCGCCGCCGCGCCCGCCGCGGGGGGCTCCGTCGACAGGTGCGCCAGGAGCTCCTGCAGGCGCAGGACGTTGCCGGAGCCCGCGAACGCGCACGTCTCGACGCAGATCTGCGCGAAGAGCGCGATGCGGTCCGAGAGCGTCTTCGTGATCTCGACCGTCGCGTCGACGCTGGCCTGCCGGCCCAGAAACATGAGCCCGAGGCCGAGACAGACCATCATCGTGTGCGGGTTCGAGAGCTCGTCCTCGGAGCGGATCATGAGGACCTGGAGGATCGCGCTGGTCGCGTCGTCCGGCATCGCGCCGGCGAAGATCAGCCCGACCGACATGGCGGCGTAGCCCACAATCTCCATGCTGGCCGCCGCGTCCGTGATGACGGGCAGGAGCAGCTCCTTGAGGTCCTCGCGGCACGTCCCGGCGTACGCGAGGCCGAGGCCCATGATCGCGCCGGTGCGGATGTTCGCGCGGTCCGACCCGACATACTCGCTCAGGATCGCGAGCGCGGGGTCGGTCTCGTGGCGGACGTTCGCGCACAGGACGCCGACGCCGAGGAGCGCGCCGGCCTTGACGTCGTCGACCTCGACGTAGAGGTACTTGTCCAGCAGCGGCAGGCCGCCCTCGACGTCCCACATGCCGAGCATGCCGAGGGAGGCAGTGGCGGAGATGCGCATGTGCTCGCGGTTCTTGAAGACCCAGGAGACCTCGCCCTCCGCGGGCTCGGCGGTGAGGAGCGTGTCGGTGCCGAAGCCCGCGTTGACGAAGGCGTTGACGAAGGACGAGGCCAGGTTGCCGCGCGCGCTGTCGACGAGCGCCGCGCCGCCGCGGTTGCCGTCGAGGAGGTGCAGCTTGAAGACGTCCTCGGGCTTGCGCGGCTCGAGGACGTCGAGGTCCCTGCGCGCGGGCGGCGCGGGGCGCAGCAGTGAGCTGCGGCGCTCTGGATCGGCTGGTTCGTTCGATAAACAAAAATGAAAATATAAATATAAAATAAGATGTAAATATAAATCTATTTACTTGAGGTTGGAGGTGGCGGTTGGTTGGTAGGGGAGAGTGGTTGCCAGAGCTCTCGCGGGTACTACCGGGGGCCCGGTACTACCGGACCACTGGTTGCGGTAGTAGGTAGGGAGGGTGGAGTTTCGTGCCTGGCGAGGGAGAGGTAGTGTGTGGACAGCTTGGAGTTGGACATTATCTCCCGCAGCGTGTCGACGAGGTCCGAGTCACTGACCGCGCACTCGCCGTCCTCGAGGTCCAGGATCGCGCCCTGCCGCCCGAGCAGGTAGCACAGCTGCTTCTTCACGCCCACGTCGCTGCACGTGGCAAACGTCCGGCGAATGCGGGGCGGGTCGTTGAGGCGCAGCGACAGCCGCATCGCGTCCGTGTACTGCTCGACCTTCATGTAGATGTCGTACGCCACCTCGAGCACCTCGGTGTTGTCCGGGTCCGGCAGGTAGCTGCACCGCAGCGACACCGCGAACACCGTCAAGGCAAACGCCTCCGCAGCCGCGAGAGCGCCGCGCTCCGGGCCGCAGCTAGGGCGCAGCTGAGCAGGACGTGCCAGCAGCTGCTTAGCTGCGCGGGTGCGGGGGCGGGTCGGACCTGCAGCACGACACGAGGTATAAGCAAGTCCGACGGTAGTTGGTTGCGTCTGCGTGTTGCACGAGGTCGCGAATGGCCTCGACCTCAAGCGCGAGGTCGACGGCCTCGGGCTCCGCGCCGTGGCCCATCTGGTACGCGACGATCGTCTTGACGAGGTTCATGACGTCGGCCGTGGACTCCCCCGCCTCGGTCTGCGCCGCGTACTGCTGCCCGCACTCCCCCGCGAGGTGCCGGAGGTACTCGTGGCCCCACGCGTCCGCGCCCTCGGAGCCTGCGGTGCGAGGAGGGCGGGCGCGCGGTTCGTGGAGCGCCGGGCTGCGGCGACCGCGCCGCAAGAGCTGCCGCGCCGCAAGAGCGGCCCGCGCGGGGCGTCGCGGGGCGTCGAGACGGCCGCTCTCCGCCCGTGCCGGGTTCTTCGAGGTCCGAGGGCAACGGAACGGGCCAGAACGGAAGAGAACCGGCCGCACCTGCGACGATGCGGTACTTGAGACACTCGCGGCTCTCTGGCTGCGCCGTCATGGCGAGCACGGAGACTAGTTCGGCCAGCGAGCGGCGCACGTCGGCCGGAGTGGACGCCGCCATGCCCTCGAGGTGCTGCTTGAGGTCCCCGTAGAAGGGCTTGAGGAATCGCAGGGGCTTTGGCACCGCAGTCATCGACGACGTCGACTCCCGCACCTCGTCGCTGCAGGAACGGTCGAGGCACGCTCGCTGTGACATGCTGCGCGTCTGAGCGTCGAACTGCGCGCGGCCGCGCCGTGCTGACGCAGGCCCGCGGATCCCGCGCACACTGAGGTGCACAGGGCTCCAGACGAGGGGGGCTGCGGGCCCGGAGCGCTCTTCCAAGCCGAAACAAACATCCCCCGAGGTCCGCAATGCGTGATTGTATCAGGTGAGGCGGGGACCGCGCTCCGCGGAGCGCTCCGCGCGCGGCTGGGGCGCAGCAAACGCCGCAGCGTGCCAACAGCTCGCGCGGGGGCGCCCACGGCGCCCCGTCCCGCGCAGGCGGCCGCCAGGGCACAGAGGGAGAGGTGCGCGGCGGGCTGCGTGCCTGAGGATCCCGATAGAAGCCTTCTGCGCGTCGATATCGTTGCGAAGGACAGACTCCACAGCTTCTTCCAATCGTTCCTTCAGCTCCCGGTCCTCCGCGGACAGATCCTCCGCATCGTTCGCGTCCTTGGCCGGCGGGCCCTTGCCGGCGCCCTTCTCCGCCTTGTCCTCCGCCTTCGTCATCCCCGCGGACGACCTTCCCCTCTCGCTGGTGCAGGAACGTGGCCGGTCAGACCGACAGCGAGCTCGATCCTGGCCCGACTCACGCCCCAGCGCGTAGCTTGTGCCGCGGCCGAGGCCCGGGGCGCCCGAGGACGGCCCGGCGGTTCGTACGTCGAGCCTGGCGGGGCGTTGACTCAGGTATTGACATACCTGAACAGTCGGACCCATGTAGCTGGCGGGAACCGGCGCAGCGGACGTCCGCGCGCGCGGCGGACGCAGAGCGGACCTCTGCGGGCCCGCTGCGGCGCCGTGAACGAACGCTGTTGTCGGATAGGGGTTTCTGCGATTGTCAACAGATAGGAAGTGAAGGTCTCATCTGAGTGCAGCCGTCCCGACTGGCCGCCGCGCCACGGCGCCACGCGGGCGGAGACACTGTCACACGTGCCGAAAAGCAGCCCGCGGCCCATACGTCGCTCGAGACAGGGCACAAAATTACGGGCCAAAGTTCCTTTGTTTTAACGGGCCGAACACACGCAATTCCTCGCCGTAGTAGCTAACATCCCCCCCCCCGCGCGCGCTGTGGAACGATCGGACGCGGGCGCGAGCAAGCGACACACCAGCCCGACCGCCTCTGCACGCGCCGCCGCCGCACCACGTATCGCACGCAGTCAAGCCACAAGAGACCCCCGCCCCCCCCGCACGCGCCCGCGCACGGCCCGAAGCCGCACGCGCGCGGCGCGGGCGTCACCGGCGGGCGAGCGTCGAGGTGGACAGCACGGCGGACTTGGAGAAGATCCGATCCTCGTCGTCAAGGGGGGGAGTCTCGACGCGCTGGTCCACGAGGCCCTGGTAGCCGCGGATGACGTTGCCCTTCTGGCTCACTGCGTCGCACGGTGCGGGGCCGCGGCCGGTGTCGCAGCGGCCAGGAGCAGGAGCGCAGGATGGGTGGGGGCGGGTGCGGGGCCGCGCGGGGGCGGCCGGCGGTGCCGGCGCGCGTGGGTGCGTAGGGTGGGAGGAAGAGTGGATCGCGGGCCGGTTCGCGGCGCAGGAAGCGCGCTGGTGCGCGGGGGGGGGTGTAGAAGGCGAGGGTGGTTTTCTTACCTTTTCGGAGGTATTTCGTCTCCATGTCCCACAGGTCCTGCTCGCAGCGCGAGAGGCTGCTGAGGACCTTGCCGAGCGACGCGATGTGCGCGGAAACGGCCTCTTGCGCCGCGGCGTGGGCGTCCTGCAACGCGGGAGCAACAGCACACGCGATTCGGCGCCGGCGGGCGCGTGCGGCCGGCGGCGGAGGCGGCCACGGGCGCCGTCGTGCTGCGGGAGTGGCGGCGCGGACCTGCGCAGGCGGCTCTTGTGCGGGGGCGCTCGCGGGGAGCCGCGCAGAGGGCCCCGCGGCACCGTTCGCGCGATTTTTCCGGGACTTCGCGTCGCCCTGGGGCATATTCTTGCGCGCTAGAGGCGAGAACTAGCCGTTACGGAGCCCGGACGGACGTCAGCCGCGGGGTCCGCGGCGTCGTGGCGGCGCAGGGGCGAAGAGAACAAGTTGGTGTGTGAAGGCGCCGCCCCCGGGGAGACGGCCCGGCGCAGGTGCCCGCCGCGACGCCAGCTCACGCGACGAGCACGCCCTGGCTCTCCTCGGCCCCGCCGCGGCGCGACGCGTCCGTCCCGCCGGCCCACCGCGCCGCAAGACGCTCTCAGGCCGCCGCGGAAGCTTCGCCGTTCCTACGCGCGCACGCTCGCTCACGCTCCAGGATCTGTCGCGCTGCACAGCTGCGGAATGCACGGACGCGCCCGCGACGCGGAAACAGAGCCCCGGGCTGCGACCGCGCGAGACGCAGCGAGTCGGACCCGGCCAGTGCCGGGCCTGACTCATGCGCGAATCGCGTCGCGGCGCGCCTCTGCGTTGTGCTTCAGCGCGCTCCCCGCGGAAGCCGCACGACGGCCATCCTGGCCGCGGTCCCTAGCTGACGCGCGACGGGCGCGTGCCGCCGCACACCGCACGTCGCACACACTAGGCCGCCGCACGGCCGCGCGGGGGCGCCGCGGGCTTTTTCGACGAGCTGGCGGCCGTCGCAGCCGTCTGCGCGGCACCTGCGGCCCAGGCCGCGGCGGCCAAGCGCTGCCCGGCGAGACCACGTTTGCCAGCTGTGACGGTGACGGCGCAACACCACGTTTGCGACGTCTCGGCCCGGGGCGCAGGCGAACAGTCGGCGAGCGACCGGCCGACCGCTCCGGCCCCCGAGGACAAGCGAGGCAGACGCCGTTGTCCGCGAAGCCAAGAGAAGGCGCAAAGACATGAAAAGTAGTAATATTATATCATATATCAATATTATATCATATATCATAATCATTAATCATCAATCATGTCGAAGACTCCGCGCCGCGTGCGCGCCCGACGCCCCTCCCGCGCCCCCCCGCGTGCGCGCCCAGACCAGCGCGTCCCCGGCGCACGCGTCCCCCCGCACCGCGCCCTCGCTGACGCCCAGCGCACGAAACCCCCCCCCGCCCCTGTCCCACGCACCGTCCGACGCTCGTCATGCGTGGCCGCAGCGATCGGCCGGCCGTCCCGCCCGCTCAGGCAGTCCCGATCCGCCCTCCCCGCGCCGTAGCACCGCCGTCCGTAGACCACCGCGACTTCGATTGATTTGCAGACTGCAGAACCCGAGTCCTGCTTACCTGGGGAGGTCGCCCGCCCCCGCACGCCGCCTGCGTCATAGACCGGCCACGCAGCGCGCGCGCCGGCCTGCAGACAGCCTGAGCGCGCCGAGCGCGGGGTGCTAGCGTCGCGGCTCCGTCGCCTATCGCGCCAGGAGCTTTCTGGCACGATGAAGCTGGGCGGCAAGGCTTCGGTGCTGCCGCTGCTGATCGTGGCGTACAGCCTCGTGGCCAGCACCCTCCTGGTCATGAACAAGGTCGCGCTGTCCTCGTTCCCGCACCCCTCGACGCTGCTGTTCCTGCAGCTGGCGATCGCGGCGGCCGGAGTGAAGCTCGGCGACCTGCTGGGCCTGGTCGAGGCAGACCCGCTCACGGCCGACAAGGCCTGGGCGTCCAGCGCGGTGCGTTGCGGGGATCGCGTGGCGGCTGATCGGGCGCGGGCGCCGCGGTTTCCGGCCCACATCACCGCGCATCCGGCGCCTTCCTGCAGGTGGTGTTGGCGTTCTACGGCGTCGTGATATCGAACTTCAAGGCGCTGAGCTACGTGAATGTAGACACTGTCATCGTCGTGCGCACCTGCATGCCCTTCGTGGTCGCCGTCGGGTACGCTCCGCGCCCCCACGCCGCCAAACGTGTTCTCGCCGCCCGTTGCGCGCGCTCCCACCGCGCGCACACGCGCCGGAACCTCACGCGGAGCGCGGCGCCGCCCGCGTCCGCCCGCAGGGAGTTCGCGTTCATGAACCGCAACCTCCCGTCGGTCCGCACCTGGATCTCCATGGCCCTCGTCTGCGGCACGACGTCGTGGGTCATGCTGCGCGACACCCAGGTGCCCACGCTCGGCCTCGTGTGGCTCTCGATCTGGTTCGGGACCGCCGTCTTCGACATGCTCTACCTCAAGCACTTCACCACGGCCGTCAAGCTCTCCACCTTCGGCCGCGTTTACTATACGAACACTCTGTCGTGTATTCCCGCGCTCATCATCATGGTGGTGCGCTCCCGCCCCCGCCGCCCCCACGCCCGCGCACATATCGCACCGCGCACCGCGCGCCGACGGCACGCGACGCGCGGGGCTCGCTGCGCAGGTGCACGGAGAGCTGACGCCGTCAGTGTTCGTGACGCTCTTCACGACGCCGCGGGCGCTCCTCGCCGCGTTCGTGACCGGGCTGCTCGGCCTCGCGATGTCGATCCTGAGCTGGGCGCTGCGGAGCGCCGTCTCCGCGCTCTCGTTCACCGTGATCGGGGTCATGAATAAGGTGCGATGGCGGAGATATTACTATATATAGTAATAATATCTAGATAGATATATATAGTTACAATGCGCGGAACGGAACGCATGCGCCGCGCCGCGCCGCGTCCAGGCGTGCGCGGGAGGCGGCGCTGGCCGTGCGGCAGGAGCGCGCGAGGCCGGGTGCCCCTCGGCGTCGCTGCGCGCCGCCGAGAGATATGGTTTTGTTGATCTCCGCAGGTTCTTTCGGTGATGATCAACGGCGTCATCTGGGACAAGCACGGGTCGACGATGGGCATGCTGCTCACCGTTGGAGGCATCCTCGCCGGCGCGCTGTACGAGCAGCCCGCGCCGCGGGAACGCGGGCAGCGCCTGCCTATTAATAAGAACCTTGCGCTGGTACTTATGGTTGGCATGATTGCCACCATCGTGTTCGCTATTTCGCGCCTCGGCGCGCTGCTGGAGCACCCGACGCCGTTCACGCACCCGTGACGCACCGCCGCCGCGCGCGGCACGCCCCCTCGGACCAGAGGGATCTTTGGATACATGCAACAGGCGACCATCTTCAATTATAGTTTTAGGGCTAAAAAAACACAATAGATCATGATGCTTGGGGCGCCCCACCGCGGTGTGAGCCAAAGCACGGCGCCGTCAGCACCCTCGAGAGAGATCGGCGCCAACGGCGGCTTGTGAACCAGAAACTAAAGACTAAAGTTATCTTATCTCTTGCGGGGCCGGCGCGGCCGAGCGCTGTGAGGTCGGCGACGCGGACGGAGCCGGACCTTCGCCAGCGTCACGAGCGGCCGTGTGCCGCCACCGCGACACACGCGCGTCACCAGCCGCCGCGAACAACACCACGCAACGCAACACGCATGTTTGCTACGACATCCAGCGTTCACAAGGCATTCGCGAGCGCGCTCCGGCGCGGCAGCGCGCTGCGGAGCCTCCGCGCAACCTCGCGCCCCGTTCCCCGCGCCGCCGCGCCCGCCAACCTGCCGCCCCGCCGCCCGCGTGGCGTGCGCAGCGCACCGCGCCCGGCGCCCCCGACGCGCCGCCGCGGCCGCCAGGCACACGCCCTCCGCGCCCGCGCGGCCGCGCGCCCGCCGCCGCGCGCCTTGAACGCCGCGCACCCCGCGCCGTCCCCTCGCAGCCACACGTCATCAACTGAAGCCTCCTACTTGTGAAGCCTCCTACGGCGCACCGCGGCCCTTGCCGCCATCCCCGGCCGCGCTGCCGCTTCCGCAGGGCCAATGACCCTCCTCCCCGCGCGGAGATCGGGCGCGCCGCGCGCCCGGCGCACGGCGCGCGGGGAGGTGGTGGTGGGCGGAGCGGGAGGCCTGTGGGGCGTCCCCCGGGGCCGATGCGGCGCCGTGCGCCGCGATGGGAGCGGGAGGGGGGCGTATGCATGTGCGGGGGCCGCACGGACGCGCGGATGGGTCGCGGGCGGGGCCGTCTGACGCGACAGTATTAGGTGGGGGGTGGCTGGTGAACAATTGGCTGGGGATGGCCGGGGCTCATGGCGGGCGCGCGCGCGGCGCGTGTGCACAGTTCGTGGATCGATCGTTAAATTCCGAAGTCAAGATGATCGCTGCTCGTGCTTCTTTCGCTGGCAAGGCCGTGGCTGCCCGCCCGGTCGCGGCTCGCCGGGCCGGCCGCGCCTCGGTGAAGGTGAACGCCTACTCCGTGACGCTGAAGACCCCGGACGGCGACCAGGTACGTTCAATGCGCCCACTTTTCCCGCGATCGCGCCCCCGTGCGCGCCGCGCGCGCGCGCTGAGCGCCTGCGCGGCGACCAAGGCCTGGATGAGCGGCTCGCCCCGCGCGCACCGCGGCGCGCGGCGCCCCGCACCCGCTTCGATGCGATGTATTTAACGTACTGCGAGCATCCGTGGAGCTTCGCGGCGCGTTGCGGCGCCCGGGGCGGTGCATTACGGCTGTGTGCGAGGCTCCGTCTCCGTGGGCGCTCCTGGCGCGCTGCGCGCCGCGATGCCCCGTCGAGCGCGCGCATCCCCTCGATCGTTCGCGCTACCGCGCAGCCCGCGCGCCGCGCGGCGCCCGTGCGCGCCTCATCGCGCGCTCGCAGCCCCACCTAGCCGACACCGCTCGCGACCCCGCGCAGACGATCGAGGTGCCGGAGGACACCTACATCCTGGACGCCGCTGAGGAGGCCGGCATCGACCTGCCGTACTCGTGCCGCGCGGGCGCCTGCTCGTCGTGCTGCGGCAAGGTTGCCTCGGGCACGGTCGACCAGAGCGACCAGTCCTTCCTGGACGACGAGCAGATGGGTAAGTCCCCCCCTCCGCCGCGCATCGCCATTATCTCATTTCGGACGAACCCTGTATCGCGCGGGATCGCCCGCTCGAGCGCCGGGGGCTCACCTACAGTTGTCTTATCCGCTCTGGTGCAGGCAACGGCTTCGTCCTGACGTGCGTGGCCTACGCCACCTCGGACTGCACGATCGAGACCCACAAGGTACGCTCGGCCCGTGCGTACCGTGCCCGGCTCGCGACGCCCCGCGCGCGACGCGCCGCGACTCACCAGCGGCCGCAACTTGTTTTTGCGATTCGCGCAGGAGGAGGACCTCTTCTAAGAAGGCCCTTGCTCGAAGACGCATCTGCTGCGTGCCTGCTTGCTGCGGGCGTGCGGCGGGTGTGACTCCAGTCAACAGCGGCCCGCAATCTGCGTCACCTGTGGTGCGGCCAACCAGACTGCACCGCGGGCGCACCGGGAGCGCCGGCCGCGCAAGCGCGTGCCGTCAGCCGCCTTGTCGCCGCTCTCGCTTGCCGGCTCGCACCGCGATCGCCCCCGCTCGTCGCGGGCCGGTCCCCGCTCGCAACGTCGCCTCTAGTGCCGGAACCGGAGGAGCCTCGCGCGCCGCAGCCGCCGCAACGTCATGCCGGACGCCGCGCAGCTGCGCAATAGCACGCCGTGCGACTCCCGCGCCCGTTTCTGGCGCGTTTTACGCGGGCGGTGACCGCGCGGGCGTCGCACCAACAACAGAAGGCCGCTTGGCGTGTCACGCGCGCACAGGGCCCGGCGGCGCCCCCATTTCGTCGCGGGAACCGGCGCCATCGGCCGCGCCGCGCGCTGCCGCGACGCTCCGCCGCAGCGCCGGCCGTCGTGGGCCCGGTATCGGTCCAGCACTTGCGCCGCCCGCAGCCCGCACGCAGAGCTCGTACGTGACGGCGCAGTCGCTGCCGGCGCCGCCAGCGGCGCCCGTCGGTCGCTCTGCTGCCAAGCGGCGCGTCGCAAACACCAACTCGCGCGCACTCAAGTTTCGTCGCCTCTCGTGACGCACGAATACGAAGGCACGCTCGCAACGGGGCAGCCACGCTGCCCGCCCGCACAGCACCCGCGCACGAGCATCGCGAACACATGCCGCTTGATGGCGGCGTCACACGTCAAGCTGCGTGCGCAGGTGCTGGGACCCCGACATCTGTTGCCGCCGCCTGCGCATCTTGCGTGCGGGTACTCCACCGCGTCGTCGCTCTCGGCCACCCCTTTCCTTGGTTATTGTGACCTCCGGTTTGACACGTTTGAACGTTCATTACACACCCAGACCCCACTCCCCGAACGACCCCCCCGGTGGAGTTCCACACCACCGGACGCGGGCTCGTGTTGCCCGGGGCCGCTGCCCGCGCGGCCGGCGGGCGCGTCAGTCCGTCTCCTGGACGTGCCGCAGCTCCCAGTCGCCCGCGCCGTCCACGAGCCGCAGCTCCGTCGTGTGGTACTTGACCAGCGCCGTGCGCTGCGTGATGGTCACCATGGTCACTCCGAGCTCCTGCACCGCGGTGCGCAACGCACGCAGGCGGCGCAGATCGTTGGCGACTGCCGCGCGGCGCGGCGCGCGCGGGCGGGCGGGCCCGGAGGAGCGCGTAGCGGTCCGAACAGGGAGCGCGGACCAGCAGATATGGTTTGCGTATCTGTCGACGAGCTTTTCGTACGGACTGGGGTTGTTTTCGTGCAGGGTGGGCGGACCTGGGCGCGCTGGTAGAGGCACTCTTCGATGTCGACGCTCGTGGCGTTCGTGCACTCGTCGAGCACCGCGAACTTGGGTTTGTGGAAGAACAGGCGCGCCATGCCCATGCGCTGCTGCTCCCCCAAGGACAGCGTCTCTGACCACTCCTGCTCGTGCGTCCACGAGTACCGGTCGAGGAGGTACGCGAGGCGCACGTCGCGCATCAGCTCGCGCAGCTTCTCGTCCAGCGCCGCCAGCTTGTCCGGACAGTCTGCGGTCGCCCAATTGAAAGAACCGCAGCGCAGTTGTATTAATGTAATTTTATTTTTATGTTTGTGCGCTATGTACTGGCATACACTGCCGAGGTACTGGCGCATGATCTCCACGCGTGGGCGAGCCGTCGCCCGCTCACGCGCCTCGAGTCATCGCAGCCGTCAAGGCACCAGCACGACCCTCCCAGCTGTAGCCGCACGCACACACACACACGCGCGCGCGCAGCGCCGGCCGCGCATCCAGGGCCGCAGCGCACCTTCGCTCTCGAGCTTCAGCGCCTCCGCGACCGACAAAGGATACACCAGCTGCTCCCGCAGCGTCCCGACCGTCGTGTACGGCCGCTGCGGCACGAACGCCACCGACGGCACAAGCTCATTCCCTCCGCGCGGCAGCCTGAGCCGCCCGCCGATGATCGGCCACAGCCCCGCGAGCACGCGGAACACCGAGGTCTTCCCGGACCCGTTCGGGCCGGTCACGAGGAGGCTGTCACCGCGCCGCACGAGCAGGGTGAGCTCGCGCGCAAGGAGGTGTCCCGAGGGGGCGAGGATCGAGAGGCCGTCGAGCGTGATCTCGTCGCCCGTGGCCTCGTCGTCCTCGCCGTCGCGCGAGAGCAGCGCGGCTTGCATGGCGGCGTCGCGCTGCCCCGCTGCGGTGAGGAGGTCCCGGAGATCGACCACGCGCTCCACGGAGCCGGAAATCTCCGCGAAGCGGCGGTTCAGGGAGAGGAGCTCGCCGAACGCGACGAAATTCTGCGCGACGACGGTCGCGAGGTACCTGCGCGGCGCGGACGACCGGGAACGGGCGGGTCGGATGGTCGGGTTCGTTGCGTGCGGTGGAGGGGCCGGGGGAGGTCGGGGCGGGATTCCGGCCGTGGCGAGCGGCGGTTGAATTGTGGGTGGGGAGTTCGCACCTCATGTTGTGGACGAGCTCGCCCTGGCGGTCGAGATCGAGGGAGTAGTCGTCTGGCTGGTCGAGGGCGAAGAGGAGGGTGAGCAGCCAGGTGACGTTGTGGGGCAGCTGCCGCGAGAAGAAGTCGTCCGCGACGCCGTAGCCCCAGCGCACGACCGAGGAGCGGCGCAGGTGCGCGATGAGGTCCCGGAAGTGCGCCGTGATCGTCGACCCCTCCTTGCGCCCGCCGCCGAAGAACGCCACCGACTCTGCACGCAGCAACCGACACAGAATGTCGAAAAAGACTCTCCACGTGGATCTCGCCAGCGCGCCGCCGCCCGGTCGGGACAGCAGCGGGAACAACGCCAAGACAGACGATTCGCCATTGCGCGGCCAAGAGCGACGCACGCCAGCAGCAATCACGCGTAAAAAAATGCGACCGCGACGTCGCGGGAAGGCGCACCGGCGTGGCTGCGGAGGCGCGAGTGCACGGCGCGGAAGGCTCCCTCGAGGCTGGCCTCCTTTGCCTTGATGCCCTGGAAGTCCGGCGTGACGATGCGCAGCGCGGTGTACCCCGCAGCCATGTAGGCGTACAGGATGAGCAGCCCGCGGCGGCCAGTCAGGCGCCACATGCTCAGGGAGAACCAGCAGATGTCGACTGTCGGCTTGATCATGGTCGGAATGAGCGCCGCGAGCTCCGTGCAGACGCGCTCGACGTCGCGCGTCGCGCGGGCCTCCGCGTCAGGGAGGCCCATCATGCGCGACGTGATGTAGAGCGTGTTGCCGGCGAAGTAGGACCGACTCAGGTCCTCGACCAGCCGCCTGCGCCACGCCAGCGCCAGCTTGTCGGTCAGGTACTTGAGCGACTGCGCCAGAACCGCCGAGGCCGCACTCTGCGAGGCGCAAACGGACCGCGCGCGTGCGTTCGGCGACGCACACGCCACGAGACGTCGAATCGAGGAGCTTTCTCCGCCGCTGCGAGCTCTGGCGGCGAGTTCGCCCCCGCGCGCGCACGCGGGGGCTCGAGATAGAATTACGCGGGCCGCTGACCTGGATCACGGAGGCCCGAACGAGGCGCAGGAAGCCGGAGAGGTCCTGGTGAAGCACGTAGTACACGGTGCGGCCGTTGAGCTGCGCGGTGCGGTCCGACACGAACGTGCGCGCGAGCACGACGCCGACGAGGAGCCCGAGGCGCTGCAGCTGCACGCTCCCGGCCATCGTGTTGGGCACCAGGATGTCGAGCAGCACCCCAAAGCGCTTCAGGGCCGAGCGCGGCTTCGTGAACGGCCGCGAGGCCTCGATCGCCCTGCGCGCAGAACACGGAAAAAACGCGTTGAGTTAATTTCCGGGAGCGCGGGCCCGCGGGACGCGGTCGCGAGCGTGGCACAGAGACGAGCGAGCAACTCCGAGGTCGCAAAAACGCGACTCAGGGCCGCCGCGAGGTCGTTTCGTCCGGGGCGGCCTCGCTCACTTTTTCGACAGCTCCCTCTCGGCCTCTTCGTTCGGCTCCGGCGCCGTGATCAGGAGCTCCTCGAGCAGGTGCAGCCCCTCGCTCGACGTCACCTTGTGCACGCCCTGGTGCGTCGTCCAGTCGTCCTGCATGCCCGACAGCTGCATGAGCGAGTCGTCGTTCCGCGTGAGGCCCGAGGCGCGCCGGACCTTGCCCGCGGCCGCCACGTCCGGCAGCGAGTGCACGCGCTTGGCCTCGTCAAAGCTCTGCAGCCGCTGCACGCCGGGGGGGGACTTAAGGCCGGCCGTCATGCCCGCGAGGACGGCGTCCGAGTCGCCCTGGCGGACCTTCTTGTCCGCGTCCGCGTCCTCGTCGCCTGCACGCCACGCGCCACGCGGAACGACCCATAAATAAAAAAATACATCAAACATATTGCTTTCACGAATGGTCCGACGCTCGCGTGATCGGAGCGGTCCCGGCGCCGCTACGTGGCCGGGCGCGGCGGGCTACGAACCTGCGGCGTCCGCGGGCTCCACTGTGGATCCGGGCCGCATGCCGTGGTGCACCGACCAGCCGCCCTCGCCGTCGAGGTGCAGCACGACGTCGTGGAAGGCCATGAGGGCGGGCCGGTGCGAGATCGTGATGCACGAGCACCTGCAAACGCAAGCGCGTTCCCAGCCGAGCGGGAGGGCACGTGAACGTAGATATAAAGTTGCGGCGCAATTGCAGTCGAGAAACAACAAGGTCTGGCGTGCGCAGCGAGGGCGTTGGCAGGTTGATGCAATGTGAGGTCGGCGCGCACCCGATCTCCCGCACGAGGTCGCAGAACCGCTGCTCCATGTCGTTCGTGACGCCGCTCGTGCATTCGTCCAGAATGGCGAACCGCGGGCGATGGTAGAACAACCGCGCCATGCCGAGCCGCTGCTGCTCCCCCAGCGACAGCTCCGCGCCCCAGTCCCGCTCCTTCGTCTGCCAGTCCCCTGCACCGCACGCACGCACCCCAAAACGCCCCCGAATCACCAAAGACACCCCCGCGCTCCCGCGCATGCGCAGCCGCGCGGGGCGCGACGCAGGAGCCCGACGCGCGCGCACGCCGCGCCGCACCTGTAACGAGGCCCTCGAGGTCGACCAAGTCCAGCAGCGACGTCACCTCCTTGGTATCCAGCTTGACCTCCCCGCGCCTCTTCGGGTATATGATCTGCTCCTCCAGCGTGCCCAGCGTGACGTACGGCCGCTGCGGCACGTAGAAGATGTCCTCCGCGAGCCCGCCCGAGACCGACCCGCCGGGCTTTCGGATCTTACCGCGCGCCAGCGGCCACAGGCCGCCGAGGACGCGGAACAGCGAGGACTTGCCCGCGCCGTTCGGGCCCGTGACGAGGAGGTTGGTGCCGAGCGGGACGCGCAGGGAGAGGCCCTTGACGAGCACGGCGCGTCCGGGCGTGACGACCATGGCGTTCTCGAAGCTAATCTCGTTGGGGGCGTCTTCGTACTCCCCCTCCGGTTTCGCCAACAGACCCTCGATGTCCTCGTCCGTCTGCGCGCACGCGGGGGGGAGGGCGGGCGTGTGCGAGGAAGGAGTGAGGCGGGGGCTGGCGTGGGGTGCGGCCGCGTGGGGGTGTGTTAGGTTGTTGTTTTGATGGGGGGGTGTGGGGGATACCTGGGGCTCCGGGGCGGCGATGGCGCGTCCGGGCGTCGCCGTGCGCGGCTGCGAGAGGTCGCGGACGACCTTCTCCATCTCGACGATGCGCTCCGTGAACGCTCCGAGCCGCATCACCTGCATCAACCAATCAATTACTCTCGATCAATCAATTAGTAGTCTGTCAATCGCTTCGTGTTTCACGCGCCGGGGCTGCCAGCGCGCGGCGCGGCATCCGGCGGCGCAGTCGAGGGCCAGGCGCACCTTGGAAGACGAGGCAGCAAGAGTTCCGAGGGACTGGAAGAGCGATATCACCACCGAGGTGTGGTACCGCATCATAGAGAGCATGTTGCCGCGCGAGGCGGTGTTGGCCTGCGGCCGGAGGGGGCCGGAGAAGAAGGGCCCGAGGATGAGCACGACGGCGACGGTGGCGCCGAGATACTTGAGGAGGAAGTCCTGGATGATACCAAACCTCAATTGAAGATCCAACACTCGGCTCACGTGGCGGGTGACCTGCAGCGGCGACGCGCACGCACGCCCGCGGCTCAGAACACCACCCCGGTGCCGGTGCGCCGAGAGACAGCGAAACAGGTCTTCTTCTAAGCACAAGCTAATATATATATTAGCCGCGGGCTGCACGCGCGGCCGCGATCCGGTCGGCGTCGCAACCACCCCACCACACAGCATGCGTGAATCGGGCTGCCTCGCGGCGCAGCCGTCGCAGGCCGTCGTGGTGCATGAACGCAGCGACGTCGTCTCTGATCCGATCTCTCCATGCGGGATTCCGATCAGATACGACGTACACTGCGATGATGCACCACGGCGGCCTGCGACAGCTCCTCGAAGCCGCCCGACGCATCGCGCGCCGCCGTGTCAAAGCCCACGTGATGCAATCACGCGCGCAACTCCACGCCCCACCCCAGGCCATGCATCGTCGACCGAGTCGCCGAGCTTGCCCGCCGGGCGCGCACACACACACACACACACACGCACGCGCGCGCACCTGGTCGAACTTCCCCTTGACGTGCAGGCTCTCCTTCGCGATCCCCTTCAGGAACGCGACGCTCTCGACGTTGGCGTTGAGGCGGTGGTGCAGGGACCGGTGCTGCCCCTCGAGGAGCTGGAGCTTCTTGTACAGCGCGCCGAACGGCGGCGACACCACCGTCGTGAGCGCCCCGGCCCCGAAGATATACCCCACCATCGCCAGGGTGTATTTGTGGGTGCCGGCGTACGCCCGGAGGCTGTAGACGTAGAACGCGGCGTCGACGAGCGCGAACATGTTCTCGGACGTGAGGTCCGCGAGCTGCGAGCAGAATTTCGGCACGTCCTCGCACACGCGCTGCTCGGGGGAGTCGACGCGCTTGTCCACGTGCGTCATGCGGTAATACGTCATGTTGTCGAAGTAGCCGCGGTGGAGGCCCTCGGTGAGGCTGCGGCGCCACACGAGCTCGAGCCGCGTGGACCAGGTGCGGACGGAGGACTCCAGGAGCGCCGAGACGAGGCACAGACAGGCATTCTCGATAAGGTTGCGCGCGAAGAGGGGGACGTTGCGCAGGTAGGCTGCGCGGAAGAGGTAGCCCTGGAGCCGCGCGAGGCGGTTCGAGAGGTACGTGCGGCAGCCTGCGGCGGGCGCGCGCGGGGGCGGGCCGGGAGGTGGGTGCGAGGGGAAAGCGGGCGAGCGCGGCCGCGAGGGGGGGCGGAGGGGTCGTTGCGGGGGCGCGATCGCGAGGGATACCTGCGAGGCCGAAGAGGACCGCGAGGCGGGGCCAGCTTGAGCGGTAGAGCCGGAACACGAAGCTCTGAAGGGCCTTGGAGGACGTTTTGTCGCGTTTCCTCCCCCGCTTCGACACGCGCTTCTCTCCGCTCGAGCTGCACACAGCGACACCGATCGCGGGGCCGTCAGCGACGCCGCGCCCCCCCCCACACAGCGCGCCCGGGCCTGGTCGGTACACACCGCAGCCGCTTCAGCCAGCCCCGCGCCGCACACGAGCGGCGCTGAAACGTAATTTTCTGATCAAGCGGTTCCTCGCGGTCGATCGCGGGCCCGCGCGCGGAATCAGCGGATGCGCACCTGTCTTCACGCCGGGAGGAGCGGTCTTTCTTGGAGCTGTAAGACCTGATCACGAGGCCGAGCACGACCGCGGAGGATCCGACGCCGAGCAGCGCGCCGACGAGCAGCTTGCGTCTGCCGCGCACGCCCATCTTCAGCCCGCACAACGCCGACGCCGCGATGCCCGCGCCCGCAGCTGTTGCATCCTGCGTGTAAGCTGCGACCCCCGCCATGTTCGCGACGCGGTTCCGGCCGAGCTCGACGGTCGTATCTCGCAGGTGCGGTTACCACATGATAGCCGCCGGTGCTCTTGGCGACTTCGGCGCGCCGGAAGTCGCGCTGCGAGACCTGCGTGTGTGCGAGCTGTGGTGGGTGCGCCAGGGGGCCGTCGTTTTAGGTCGTGCTGCCGCGGAACGAGGGCCAGAGGGGGCTGCGGTTGTGGGGGGCGCGGGCGCGGCCGCGCGGCCTCGCGCGCGGCGCGAAGGGCGCGCCTGGGCGCGCAACCGCCAGCGTCAGGGGGGGGCATATCTGAAGGACGGCGCGCAGGTCTTTGGGGCTCGACTGGCAGGAACTCGGCTCGTCTTAGGCGCTCGGCGGCTCCTGCACGCCGCACTGCGACACGTGCGTCCGCCGCGCCGCCCCCCACGTCTCGCATAGTATCGTCTCCGCGACTCCCGCGCACGTTCACGTTGTCCCCGTCCCTGCACGCTTCCGGACGAGCAGCACGGTGCAGCGGCAGCACTCCGAGGCCCGTGCAGGGGTCATCAGGCGAGCTGGCGCCGCGGAGTGGGGCGAGGTGGACGGGAGCGTACCTGCTTGGCCCAGTCGGATAGCGCATCGCGGGTATAAGGCCGGGGCGCCCGATGCAGGGGGACGATGGAGCGCCCGCAGGTGCGCCGCACTGCGGTCGCGCTCACGCGGAGCGGGCACGACGTTCCAGCGTGGCCCCTGAGCTTCGTCCCGACCCCGCGCACCTCGCAGGGCGGCATGCGCCGTTCTCGGGCCTCACAAGCAAAGCTCAGGAGACACAGGAGGAGGTTTTGGCGCGATTCGAACAGCGGAGGTGCGCGCCCCGCGCCGCACTGCACGCCTCACGCCAGGACCATGTCGCCTGCGCCGTTCCCGCGGCGACGCGGCCGCGCGCGCGACCGCTGCGCGCCCCGGAGTGTGTCGCGCAGGGCGGAGCGCGAGGTCGTGGTCCCCACGCGCAACGAGGACGTCGTGGCGCTCCTCCGGAAGCTCGGGGAGCCGATCACGCTCTTCGGCGAGCGCGAGCTCGAGCGGAGAACGCGTCTGCGCTCGCTGCTCGCGCGACTCGACGACACTGCACTCGACGAAGCCACCGGCCGCGCGCAGCGCGAGGGCGCGGTCCTGGGGCAGAAGGTCGACGTGCAGAAGGAGGTCTTCTTCACGAGGGCGCCCGGGCCGGTCAAGGAGGTCCGGACATGGCTCGCGGACTGGTCGCTGGAGAGGGCGATGCGGCGTGTGGAGGCGCAGCAAGCCCTGGGCGACGAGGGATGGGCGGCGCTGGACGCGCGGCGCGAGGCGGTGGAGGCGCGGCTGCGCGACATGTCGAACGAGCTGAGCGAGATGGCCGACGACCGGCCGGTGTCGAGCTGTCAATGCAGTAGCGGGGGTGCGCGGCTGGTGACGGGGAGCTGGAACGGGACGATGCGGGTGTGGTCGATGCCGGACATGAAGCAGCAGCGCGCGATCCACGCGCACGACGACCGGATCACCGGCGTCGCTGTGCACCCGCAGGTGCGGCCCCGCCGCATCGCTCTCTGCTCTCTGTTTTGGTTTGGTGGTTTTCCACTCGAGAATCCGCGATCGGCGACCCGCGCACGTGCAGGCGGACGACGGACAACAGGAGGGTGGCGTCCACTACCTGTCAGCCTCCGCCGACTCCACCGCCAAGCTCTGGGACGCCGAGGGGCGTCTGCTACACACCCTGAGCGGCCACACGGACCGCCTCGCGCGCTGCGCGTTCCACCCGAGCGGCCTCTGCGCCGCCACGGCCTCCTTCGACGCCACGTGGCGTCTCTGGGACACCCCCACGGGGACTCTCTTGTATGAGCAGGAAGGCCACTCCGAGGCCGTATACGACGTGGCGTTCCACCCCGACGGCTCCCTCGCGATCTCCGTCGGCCTCGACGCCGGCTGCCGCGTCTGGGACCTCCGCACCGGCCGCAGCGTGCTCGCGCTGGAGGGGCACGTGCAGGGGGTGTTGTCCGCGTCGTTCGCGCCCAACGGGTACCAGGTCGCGACGGGGTCGTCGGACCACTCGGTGCGCGTGTGGGATCTGCGGAAGAAGGCGTGCGAGGCGAACATTCCGGCGCACACGTCGCTGGTGTCGGCGGTGCGCTTCGCGCCGGACGGGGACTTTTTGCTGACGGCGTCGTTCGACCGGACGGCGCGCGTGTGGTCCGCGCGGGACTTCACGCTGACCGGCGTGCTGCGCGCGCACGAGGCCAAGGTGATGGCCGCGGAGGTGTGCGCCGGGCGGGACCCCGTGGTGGTGACGTGCAGCTACGACCGGCAAGTGAAGCTGTGGCGGTGCCCGCCGGAGGACAGCAACGGCGACGCGCACATGGCGTGACGGAGCGAGACGCGCGTCTCGTTCCGTTCTGCCTTCGTGTGACACCGAAACAAACAAACAAACGACAACAACAACGTGACACGCGTATTGGTTTTGATCGCGATCGTATTGGTTTTGATCGCGATCATCTTTACTGAGGGGCCTGTGGTTGGTTTCGGTTTCGGTTGGGTTTCGAGATCACTCATCATCCTTCCTCCGCATCGCTGCTAGGGGCGCCGGCGCGGTCATGCGGGCACGATGGACCCGAGCGACCGATCCTCGCTAACGCGCAGGCGCCCCTTGGCCATCCGCACCTCCTGCTCCAGCCGCTCCACGTCCGCGGTCCTGCACGCAACGCAACGCAACGCAACGCCACACGTCGGCCACGCGGTACACCACCTCTCTGTCTACCTGGTGCGCCGATACATATACATATATACAAAGACGGACACGTGGGCGCATCACGGTTTGCTTCAACGCCAACTTGCCCCGGCGATTCGTCGTGCACGCTGGACGCGCGAGGCGGCACGCCCGCGCACCCAACAACACAACAACGCACACAGCACGCCGCGTGATGTTGTTGCGAGGAATCGTTTTCGTTTCAAAGGGTGTGTGTGTGTCTCACCTCTGGCGGAGCTCCGAGCCCGCGCTCGCCGCCTCCTTCATCAGCCGCGACACCTTCCCTTCCAGGTACTTGACGCGCGCGCCCATCTCGTCCCGCTCGGTCAACAGCCCCCCCCTCTCCTCCCGCGCCTTGTCCCCCAGAGTGACCTCCTCCGAGAGCTGGTTCTGCAGGCGCGCGGCCTTCGCGCGCAGCGCCTCGAGCTCGTCCGAGAGGACCTGGACGCGCGACCGGAGCTCCTCGACCTCGGCGTCGCGCGCCGCCACGTCCGCGTCCCGCTGCGTGTGCACGCTGTCGAGGGCCTCGCGCAGGCGCGCGACCTCCGCGCGGAGCGGGCGGAGGGCCTCGGCGTGGGACATCTCCGCGAGGGAGATGCACTCGGACCTGCGGCGGCAGGGGGGGTCCGAAAACGGGATGCGCGAATCAGCAGGAGGGACACGAAAATATCCTTTAGAGCATGAAGGATATGAGCACGCAAATGTACTTGAGAGCACGTATGCTACGCATACTACACACAACATTCACGGAGTTCGTCTCGCGAGAGCGTCGAAGCAGACACTCGGCGTGGAACGGCCGAGCGACCGCGACGAAAAGGGGGGTGCCGCGAGTGGCTGTTGCAGCAAATGTCAAAGTCGTCGCACCTGGCGCGCTCGACCTCGCTCGTGATGCGCTCCCGCAGCGCCGCGGCCTCGTCCGCGTGCTGCGCGACGATCCGCGCCACCTCGTCCGCGTGCTGCGACTGGTTGACGTGCTGCGCTGTCTCCAGCTTGTGCTGCGCCTCGGCGCGCTCCGCCTCCCGCACCGCCGCGACCTCGCGCGCCGCGCTGTCCGCGAGCGCCTGGTGCTCGCGCCGCAGCTCCGCCACGTCCGCCGCGGCCTGCTCCACCGCCGCCCTGCAACCACGAACAACACACACGAAGAAAAGAACATCAAAGAACAAGTCAATCGATCAATGAATACGACATGCCGACACATGGCATGCAATCTAGTCGCTTGGCCGCCAGCCATCGCCCCGAGCTGCCCGCGCCGAGAACCCCGACGACGCAGCGGCCCCGCCGCATTGCCCCGCTCTGTCGCTGTCGCTGCTGCCGCACGCGCGCACCTGGCAGACTTCAGCTCCACGTCGTGCCGGGCGCGCAGCTCCGCGACCGCGACGTCGTTCTCCCCGCGCAGCGCCGTCAGGGCGTCCTCGTGCGCGCGGCCGCTCGCCTCCTGCGCCGCCTGCAGCTCCGCCACGGCCGCCGTTGCCGCCTCGAGCTTCGCCGCCGTGTCCGCGAGCTGGCTGCGCGTGGACTCGAGGTCGGCCTCCGCGGCCTTGCGCGCCGCGGCCTCGCCGCCCAGGTCGGCCTTCGTGCGCTCGAGCGCCTCGGTGGTGCGCGCGAGGTCCGCGCGGCAGGCGTCCAGCAGCGTGCGCGTCTCCCTGCACGTGCGCAGCGGGGGTTGCGGCGTCGACGCGGCGGACTGGCGAGGGGGCGGCCTCCGACACACGTCGGCGCGTACTTCGGACGGCACAGATGCGTAGTTCCATGAACTCGATCATGTCCAGGCATCAGAAGATGTAAATGAATAAATGATGCGAGGATACATCGATCGGCATGTGAGCAGTCGCTTACGGGTTTCCTAGTGCTACTACTATGCAATACAATACACACCTGATCTCCTCCTTGGTTTGCGTCAGCTGCGTCTCCAGGTCCGCGTTGGCCTGCGTCCGGCTCGCCAGCTTGTCGCGCAGCTCGCCGCGCTCCTTGTCCGCCGCGTCGCACTGCTCCTGCCGCGCCGCGAGCTCGCGCTCCAGCCGCCCGACCTCGGCCTTGGCCGCGTTCATGTCCGCGACGAACGCGTCGTACCGCTCGCGCTTGAACGTCATCAGCGCTGTGTTGGCCACCTGCGCAGCGACCGCACCGCGAGCTTCCTTCCGCTCCAACTCCACGCGGAAACAAATGAACAAAGCGCGCACGCCCCCGGGGAAACATGTCGCCATCGTCAATCAATCAATCAATCAATCAATCAATCAATCAATCAATCAATCAATCAATCAATCAATCAATCAATCAATCAATCAATCAATCAATCAATCAATCAATCAATCAATTCATCTCAATATCGGTATCTGCTACCAAAGCACAGTGGCCTCGGAAGCGAAACGAAGAGAAAGAAAACACCACGTCGCGTCCACGCAGGCAACGGTGTTGTGCCGCGCGCCCACGCACGCGTGCGCGCATGGTGCCGTCGTACGCACCATGCGCTTTCCGCTGAGCGCGTCCTCCGCGGCCTGCAGCTCGCGCCGCTCCACGAACCCGTGGATGGCGTACCGCAGCTCCTGCACCGCCTGCGTGAACGACGCCTTGTCCGGCCCCAGGAGGCCCTCCGCGATGCCGTCGTCAAGGCCCAGCTCGCCCTTGATCGCCAGGAGGATGATGGCGATGTCCTCCTCCCGCGCCTCGATGCGCTTCGACAGCCGCTGCGGCGGGGCGCGCGGGGGCGGAGCGATCACTCGTGAAATGTCGTTGTGGCGCGTGATGCGAGTTCGTGTTTGATAGGATGGTATGGTATCGTTCTCGTGTCTGAGGGGATGACTGCGCACAGCGAGCGACGCAGGCCGCTTCGCGTGGTAGGCCAGGACCCTCCCCTGCCTGCAAGCTGCGTGCCACTCCGCACCGCACGGCCTGCAACACCCCACAGTGAGTCCCCGCCCCCCCCCCCACACGAATGAACGAACGCACCTGCACAGTGCTCTGCGCGCTGTCCCGCTCGGTCTTCGCGCGCCGCACGTCGTTCGCGAGGTCGTCCAGGCGCGTCCGCAGCTCCTTGATCTTCAGGGAGGAGTTGAGCAGCATGTCGGTCTTCTCGCCGTCGTCCGCGTTGCGACACATCTCCAGGATCGGCTGCACGCGCTCCGCCTCGCTGCGCAGCTCCGCGACCTGCCGCTGCAGCGCCTCGGCCTCCGCCGCCGACCGCTCCTTGTCCTGCCGCGCCGACTCCTGCGCGGATACCACACATCCGACAGATACCGGGGTCACGGCACAGGAACATTCGGTTCTTCGTGGTTGAACACGTGGAGTCTGTGGCGAGCGGTCGCTCGGCGAGGGCGCGGCAGCGGCCGCCCTCGCACGCACGCCTCGACCGCACGCCGTCCTCGCACACTTCGCAAGCCCATTGAAGACAACACAAAACACAACACAATCGCACCTTGAGCCCCTGCACGGTGTCGTGGTGCAGCGCCATGAGCTGGTCCCGCGCCGCCGCGTCGCCCTCCTGCCGCGCGCGCAGCACCGCCATCTGCAGCTCCGACTCGTGCGCGAGCGCCGCGTCCGCCAGCCGCGTCTTCAGCTCGTCCGCGACGCGCGCGACCTCGCCGCGCATCGCCGCCACCTGCTCCTGCGCCTCCATCTTCAAGCGGCGCAGCTCCGCGGCCATGTCGTCCAGCTTCCGCCGCGCCGCCTCCAGCGCGCGCCCGCTCGCCTCCTCGCTCCGCGCCGCGCGCGCCTCCAGCGCCGCCACCTGCGCGCGCAGGTCCTCCGCGGCGCCCCGCGCCGCGCCCAGGTCCGTCTCCAGCCGCGCGACGACCTCGCCCTTGCGCGCCGCGTCCGCGCTCGCCGCCCCCAGGTCCTCCTCCAGGGCGCGCAGCTTCCGCCGGGACGCGTCCGCCGCCGCTGCGTGCTTGGCGCGCTCCGCCTCCGCGCTCCGCTGCAGGTCGTCCACCTTCTTCTTCAGGGCGCGCTCCGCGTCGAGGAGCTCGCGCTTCTCGCGGTGCAGCGCCTCGAGCGCCGCGGGCGCCGCCGGGGCCGCCGCGGGCGCCGCCGGCGCGAGCGCGCGCCCCACGACAGCAGTGGCAGGCGGCGGCGGGCGCGCCGCGGGGCTCGCGAGGGCCGCGGCGGGCTGCGGGAGCGCGGAGAAGCGCGCGAGCGCGTCGTCCGCGCCCGGCGCGGGCGCCGCGCGGAGCGACCGGAGCTCCCTCCCGAAGATGTCGTCGAGGTCGTTCAGGGTGCGTTTGGCGCGGGAGATGGACGAGAACACCTGCTCCTGGGAGGCCTCGGACTCGACGAGGAGCGAGGACGACATCTTGTCGCGCACGCAGTCGTTGTAGCGGTCGAGCGCCTGCCCGACGGCCGCGAGGTCGCTCTCGATGCGCTGCAAACGGGGAGGTTCGGAGGGGTGTTGCAGTGGGGTGGCGTTGTGAGAGCTGTGCGCGTGCGTGACGGCTTGCAGGTAGGCAACACGTGACTCGCGAACGAGGCGCCCCAGGTGTGCCTGCGCGCGTCAGGCGCGCGTCCGTCTCGCCGCACCTGGTGCACGGCCGCGCAGTCCTCGAGCACGGCGCCCATCCGCAGCCGCGACTCCATCGTCACCTGGTCCAGGAGCGCCTGCGCCTCGGCCAGCAGCGCCTCGCGGTCGCTGGCCACCGCCTCCATCTCCGCCGCGCGCGCCGCCTGCTGCTCCTCCTCCCGCTCCTTCGCGGCCTCCTCCGCGCGCCGCAGCCGCGCGGTCGCGTCCTGGAGCTCCTCGCGCGCGCGTGCGAGGTCCGTCTCCAGGCGGGACGCCCGCTGCGCCGCGTCGGACAGGTCCGACTCCGCGGCGGTGGCGCGCGCGGTGAGCGCCGCGGCGGACTTCTCGAGATCCGCGATGCGCGCCGCGAGGCGGTCGTGCTGCTGCTCGGCGTGCACCGCCGCCGTCTCGTGCTTCGCGAGGAGCTTCCGGGCGTCGTCGAGCTCGCGGCTGCGCGGAAGGGAAGGAGGGGCCGGGAAAGTTTCGTGGGGGGGTGTCTCAGTCTCAGGATGCGCTGCCGCGGCGGACTGAGCGGTGTCAGACCGCAGCACGAACAAGGCCGCATCGCATTCGACAAGCGCCGACTGCGAAACCCAACCGCACGCAATGTACAGCGCCATCACCGCGACCACAGCGCCGGCGCGACGCACCTCGTGCTCTGCAGCTGCGCCTCGGTGTCCTCCTGCGCGCCGCGCACGTCCTCCAGCTGCTCGCTCAGCTCCGCGACGCGCGCCGCCGCCGCCTTGCGCGCCCGCTCCGCCTCGGCCATCTCCGCCGCGTGCGCCGCGGCCGCCTTCTCCGCGCTCGCGCTCGCCGCCGCCCGCACCCGCGCCTCCACCGCTCGCTCCGCCTCCGCGACCCGCGCCCCGATCTCCGCGCTCGCGCTCGCCGCCGCGTCCGACAGCCGGTCCTCCGCGCGCTGCAGCCGCAACCGCCACTCCGCCTCCGCCGCCGCCCTCCCCGACATCTCCGCGCGCTTGCACGCCGCCTCGTGCTCCTCCGCCGGCACGTGCCCGCGCGCCAGCGCCGCGACGCGCTGCTCCATGAGCAGCTGCAGGTCGCCGCGCGCCTGCGACGCCACCGCGTCGCCCTGCGCGCGCGACAGCGAGTCCATCTTCGACTCCATCCACTCCTTGAACAGATCCTGCGCCAGACCCTGGTCCGCGATCGTCAGCCGCTTGACCTCGAGTTCCAGCTCCTGGATCTGGCGCTCGAGCTTCAGGCGGGCCTGCTTGGACTCGAGCGCGCAGCGCTCCTCGACCTCCGCGGTGACCTCCCGGCGGAGAATCTCGTGGCGCTTGACTTGTTTCTCCGCGGCGAGCTCGAGGTCCTGGACCTGGGTGGTGAGGACGTGCACGCGGTGCTCGAGCGCGCGGGTCTTCTCGGCGTGGCGGCGCTCGAGGTCCTTGGTGAGCGCCTCGAGGCCCGAGACCTCCTCGATGCGCACCTGGGGGGGGGGGGGGGGGTGTGCGCGCGTGAGGGGGGGGGTGTGCGGCCGGGAAGCCCGCGCTGGGAAAGGCCCCGCTGTGTCGAGGGACGAGAGCCTACGCGGACATCCACAAACCGCCCGAAACAAAACGAAAGGCATAATCAATCGACACGTCATATTCGGTCCATCGCCTCACGAACACGTGGATGGAACGCGCGCGCAGTCGCATGCACTCGCGCCAAGCACAGCACACAAAGCGCCAACGAAACAACGAAACGCAACCTACACGCAGCAACGCAACAGGAACGCAAACCGCGCGCGCGCGTCCTCACCCGCAGCTCGTTCGCGAGGTTCCCGCAGTCCGCCTCGCACGTCGCCGCCCGCCGCTCCGCGCGCTTCTTCCCGCGCGTCGCCTCCCGCAGCCGCACCTGCAGACTGTTCCGTTCCGACACAATCTGATCCACCAAGGCATATTCCCGGTCCGCGTACTCCCTGGTGTGCTCCTCCTCCTGCACCAGCCGCTCCATGCGCGCGTTGACCTTCGCGAGCTTCTGCTCCGCCTCCTGCCGCGCGCGCTCGCTCTTCCCCAGCAGCTCCTCCAGCTCCGCAGCCTCCGCGAGCGCCGCCTTACGCTGCTTCTTGTACTCCCCCCCCGCCTGCGTCAGCTTCTCGGCGCGCGCGGCCTGCTCCGCGGTGGCCTCGCGCGCCGCGCGGAGCGCGTCCTCGAGCCGCGCGGCGTCCGCGCGGGCCGCCGCGAGGGCCTGCTGGAGCTCGGTGGCCTTGGCGTCGTGCGACGACGCCAGCGAGCGGATCTCGCCGGAGAGGGCCGCGAGCTGCGCCTGGGCCTCGCTGAGCTCGGAGGATTTGCGGTCGAGCGCGGCCTGCATCGTGGCCTGCGGGGCGCGGCCGGGCGGGGCGGCGCGGTGGGCGTGGGGAAACAACCACGGCCCGTTCGACCACCGCAGTCTCCGAATGGGCTCTCAGGCGGCTTGCATGCGAGGCGACTGGGGAGTGGCGCAGGCGCGCCCGCGACCCACGGGCCCGTGCGCGTCTCGAGTCGAGATTGAAGGAAAAACAGCAACGCCAATCGGTGGCTGGCGAGTCGCAAGGGGGACAGGGTACATGGTGTGCGTGCACGTGAGGACGCGGTATGGTAAGTGTGTGTGTGGCCGCTATGCTTCATGTGCATGCGAAGACACGGTGTAGGGTGTAGGGTGTGTGTTGGGGGGGGGGGTCGTGCCTGGAGGCTCTCGAAGTCGCGTTCGCGGGCGGCGAGGGAGCTCTCGAGGGCGACGACGCGCGCCTCGGCCACGTTGCACCGCTTCTCCGCCGACAGCCGCGCGGCGCCTGCTTTCGCCATGTCCTTGGCGCGACTCTCACCTGCACCGGCGGGCGAACCGACCGTGACGCGCTCAGACGCGCAAGCGCACGACGCGGCACGTTCCGTCCAGACACGGCGCGCGCAGGCGCGCCGCGTCCGGTCTGGAGCGGCCTTGGGTTCGAGCGCTGCAGCAACAGCGCGGATGCACGAGGGCGCGCACATTCTTCCTTGAGGCTGTTCGCGAGCGTCTCGGCCTCGTTCGCGCGGCTCGTCGCCAGCGCTACCTCCCGCGCGAGCCGCGCCTCGCGCTCCGCCCCCGCTGCCACGTCAGCGTGCAGCCTCTCCAGCTCCTGCTGCACGCGCAAAAGGTCCGTGACGCCGTACGCGCCGGGAAAGCCCGCGGCGCGGTCCTTGCCGCCCATGAGCGCGTGTCCCGGTCCCCCTGCTTCGCGCTGCGCGTAGAAAGCCGACGTGAGCTCCTGCCGGCGTGCGGCAGCGAGCGCCCGGGACGCCGGATCCCTGTCCAGAGCCTGGAGTATATCGTCGCGCGCGAGATGGTCCTCCAGGGTCGCCATCGCGTCCTCTGCGACCTGCGAGGATTCCCCGTGGCCGCGCGGATGGTGTTCGGCGGGTGGAGCGCGCGCACGCGCGCTGCGGAGGCTCGCCCACACGTTGTGAGCCAGCGCTGAGGAGGTGCGCGCGCGGCGCGGTGCCGGCCCGCTGCGGGCTGCGCGGTGCGCGGGGGGCGGTCGACGGTGCGCGAGGAGCGCGGTCGGGCGTGGCGGGGGCGCGCTCGCGGCGCAGCGCACCTGTGGACGCTGCCAGCGCTCCAAGCCAGCGCAGCTGGTGCCGTCCCGGTGCGTCTCGGTGGCGCGGCTGCGAAGCACGGCGACGGGCCCGGGCGCATGTTTCGTACGCGTCACGTCGCGTCGCGCGCGGCGCTGCGGGCGCCGAACGGCGTGCGCGGCGCCCACACCACGCGAGCACTCGCGCACCCTCCCCGCGCAAATTCCGGGGCGTTCCGGCCGAGATTCACGCCCCGACGCAATCGAGAACGCAGACGAAGCACGGCGCGTCCACGCGGAGCGCGCCCAGGGGCAAGTGCGCCGCAACCGCGGCGCGCGGAGCTCGCCCCGGCCTGGGCTGCATGCGCTGACGCAACGCAGCGCCCGGCGCGCAGCCGCGGCGCGTGGAGCGCCGTCGCGGCCGCAGGGAGGCGCCACTTACGTGCAGATCCGCTTCGTTTCGCGGAAAGCCGCGTTTCCGTCCGCCTCGCCCTGCGACGGTCGCCCGGTGTGTGCGTGTGCTGGCGGGTGCGTGTGGGGTCCCCCCGGCGCCGGCGGTGCGGATGGGCGGACGATACGCCGCGTGAGTGCCGCCGCTGCGCCGCGGGCGGCGCGGAAGGCGGCCGCGCGGGCCGCACTGCGCCCGACTCGCGCTCGTTCGAAAGGGGGGACCAGGCGTGCTGAGCAATGCTTGAACGTCGACTCAGTGTGGGTTTGAAAGCCCGACTGGCGGTGAGCGTGTGTGCGCGGCGAGAAGGGCCGCGCGGCGCGGCGCGGCGCGCAGAACGTTCGCGGCTAGCTAGGCAGCGGGGTGCGTGCCGCGCGGAATCGTGTCGTGCTCTCTGCCACGATGGCTTCCGCATTGAAGCTAGCATCCGTCATTGGGTTCGGGGGCGACGTCGTGGACGGCCTGCTGGTGCACCCGGACGGCGAGCACGTGATTTATCCGCTCGGGAGCACGATTGTGGTGCGCAGGAGGGACGACCCGAGCGACCAGCGGTTTCTGCGCGGGCACAATGACAAGGTGGGCACCACGAGGCCATGTTGGGTCGTGCGCGCGCCGCGGGGACCGCATTGGCGCGCTCGCCGCGCGCGGCGCGTCGCGGAGATTATGAGGACCGTGCCGCGGCGCGCGTTCCCGCGAAAGACGCCGCCGTCCGCGCGCAAGCGCCGGTTCGGCTATTCTCGCCCAACTCCCGACCCGCTGCCCGCCAGCCGACGCAACCGCGCGTTCAAATCGGGCTCGCGAATGCTCTCCATCTCTTCTCCCTGCGACGCCCTACCGCGCCGCCCGCCCCGCACCCCTCGCACCCAGCGACCCTCCGCACCTGCAGAAGCGGTCCCCTTCCCCGCCCGCAGCGCCCCGCCCGCGCCCGCCCGCGCCCGAACGCGCGCCGCCCCGCCCTCCCCGCCCCCGCAGGTCTCGTGCCTCGCGCTGTCCAACTCCGGGAAGTACCTCGCGTCCGGCCAGCAGACCTACATGGGCTTCACGGCGCCCATCATTGTCTGGGACCTCGAGACGCTCGAGATCGTGCACCGGCTGTCGCTGCACAAGGTCAAGGTCCAGAGCCTGACGTTCTCGTGCGACGACCAGTTCCTCGCGTCGCTCGGCGGGCACGACGACAACGCGCTCGTGCTGTGGGATGTCGTGTCCGGGGAGGCGCTGTGCGGCTCGCCGACCTCGAACGACTTCACGCTGACGGTGCGGTTCTTCAACAACGACCCGAAGCGGCTCATGACGGCCGGAAACTACTCCTGCAAGGTCTGGGAGTACTTGGAGGATGTGAACAAGGTGCGGCCGACCGAAGTGCACATCGGGTCGCTCAGCCGGGTCTTCAACACCATCACGATCGACGACAAGGACGAGTTCGCCTACGTCGGGTCCTCCTCCGGCGACTTCGTCCAGGTGCGCGCCCGCACGCGGCGTCCAACGCCGCCGCGCAGCCCTGCGACGCGCGCCGCGCCGCGCCCCGGCCCCGAACGCACGCCGACCGCCCCGCGCACGCTTCCGCGCCTCGCGCAGGTCTCGCTCGCGAACGCCAACATGCGGGGCGTCGGCCCAGGCAACGGCCTGGTCAAGAAAGGCATCACGTGCTCCGCGGCCACCCCCAACGGCCTCCTCCTGCTCGGCGGCGGCTCCGGGACGCTCTCCGTGGTCGACCACCGCAACGTCGCGCGCGGGAAGATCGTCGCGGCGTCGCAGCGCGCCATCGCGCCCGACGCCGTCACCTCGCTCTCCGTCGACTGGGCGTCCTTCGACGGGCGCCGCTACCTCGCGTTCGCGGGCACCGAGGGCTGCGAGATGTACCGCATCGTCATGGAGGAGACGCAGGTCGTGATGGCGGAGCTCGTGCAGACGGCGCATCCCGGGCCCATCACGGGCCTGGCCTTCCCGTATGAGTATGGGGAGGTGTTCGCGACGTGCGACATCGGGACGATCCGGGTGTGGCACCTGGAGTCGTGCCGCGAGCTGCTGCGGATCCGCGTGCCGAATCTGGAGTGCAAGTGCGTGTGTCTGACGGACGACGGCAGCGCGCTGGTGTCGGGGTGGAGCGACGGGCGCATCCGCGCGTTCGGGCCGCAGACGGGGAAGCTGCTGTGGGTGATCAACGACGCGCACCACAAGGGCGTGACGGCGATCGCGTGCTCGAGCGACTCGACGCGGCTCGTCACAGGCGGCGCGGAGGGGCTGGTGCGTGTGTGGGCGCTGGGGCACGACTCCCAGGTGATGCTCGCGAGCATGAAGGAGCACAAGGGGCCCGTGAACGCGCTCGCGATGCGCAATAGCAGCGACACGGAGTGCGTGAGCGCGGCCTCGGACGGCAGCTGCGTCGTCTGGGACCTGGAGCACATGCACCGGAGGCTCGCGCTGCAAGCAAACACCTTTTTCAAGTCCGTGGCGTACCACCCGGACGACAGCCAGCTCGTGACGTGCGGCTCGGACCGGAAGATCACGTTCTGGGACGCGTACGACGGGCAGCCGATCCGCATCATTGACGGCTCGGACGACGCGGAGATGAGCAGCTTGGCGACGGACGCGGACGGCGCGATCCTCGTGACGGGCGGGCACGACAAGACGGTGTCGGTGTGGGGGTACGACGACGGGCTGTGCCACAACCGCGGGCTCGGGCACTCGGGGGAGGTGTCGCGCGTGCTGGTGTCGCCCGACAGGACGAGGATCGTCAGCGTGGGGACGGAGGGGGGGATCTTCATCTGGGAGGTGCCGCACATCGAGACGTCGTAGGGCCGGCGGGGACGTGTGAGTTCCGGGCGGCGGCGAGCGTGCGGTGCCAGCGCGTTGCAGCGCTGTCTTGATCGGGACGATAGCACACGCGCATTTCGCTTCTTGCGCGGGTGGTCGATTGCTTCTTCTGCCAGTACTGACGAACTCACTGTTGCAGGCGTGGTCAATGACTTCCTCTTTTGCCAGTTTGCACGAACTAACTGTTACAGGTGTGTGGTCAACCGCTGCGATTGCCGTTGCCGCGTGGGCGCAGCGAGGGGCGCCGTGGTGCGGGTGGGGCACGTGCGGGCTGGTGACGTGGTTTGGGGGCTTCGCTGCGGCCGGGTGCGGTCCGGGCGAGCCTGAAGCTGCTGTGCCAGTAGGCAGTTGGCACGACGTTGGGCGCCTGGGTTTCGCTTTGTTGTCTCGCGTGCGGCGCTCTACCGTTGTTTCTGCTGCTTGGGCACCCCGCGCACTCGTCACTGCGGCCCCTGGCCCACGCATTTGTTTTCGCTGGTGGTGGGTTCTCTAGTTGAAAAAGAAAAGTATCAATAAATTTCAGTCGACAAATAGTAATTCTCGAATGACTTCGTGCTGCGACGACCGGGCCCCGCCGCGCCGCGCGGCTGGCCTTCGCGCGCAGCACGGGCGAGCCGCGGCCGCGGCTGCGCGGGGCGGCTCGAAGCTGCGGCGCCCACGCAGCGCGCGATGTCGCGTTTCCGCACTGCACCTCTGGGCGTGTGCCGGCCATGCCCAGCACGCGCTATGCGGCGGTGCGCGGTTCCGGCGCCCCGATTGCCGACGCGGCGCGACGGATGCGCACTTGCAGCATGTCGACGCCCGCACAGAGCGGCCAGAGCACCGGCGCCGGTCTGACGCCCCCGACGCTGGGGCTAGCAGCGCTGGCCGACGGGGGGGCCGATGTCCCCCGGTGCCGCCCGGCCTGGGCGCCTCGTTGCGGGGCGCCGGCAGCGGCGCGAGGACTATCGTGGAAACTGCGCTCGCAAACCGTAACGGCTCAGGTTCAGTCGGTTTTTCTCGATGTTGTCTCTCCAGGTGAGATACCGCCCGCCGGCGCGTACAGACGGCGCGCACGCCATCCACCGGGCCTCGCGTGGCTTCTCTGTGTTGACTCATGTCCCGTGCGGGCCCGTTGCTGCGGGTTCACGCACCGAGCGCGGCCTGGCGGTGACTAAGTTGCGCGGCGCTACTTGCACCCGTGTCACCGCAGGTCTCCGCCGCGGCTGCGGCGCCGGCGATGCGCGCCGCGAAGTGCGAGCGCCCCGCTGCTCCCCGGGGCGCCGCCAGGGCCTCGATCAAGCCCCGCACGACCACCCGGCGCCAGGTAAGGACCCGGGCCCTGCACCACAACGCCGGCCCGCAGCGCTCCGCCCCCACCGCACGCTCCTTCCCGGCATACCTAGCGCTCATACAGCTCATCGGCGCGAAGAATCGCACCGGTGCCGCCACGCACCGCAGGCAGCACCCACCTCGCCCTTCCTGCCCTGCAGCACCGCCCGCGCCTCCGCTCGCGCTGCCGCGCCGCCTCCGCGTCCGTGAAGTTGCGCTCTCCGCGCCCTCCGCGCGCCCGCCCTCACGTCCGCCGCGCCGGGACCCCCGCAGGTCGTTGCAGCCGCCGCCATCGCCGCGCCCGCCGGCACGAGCTGGGAGGAGCTCGCGGCCGGCATGGACGCGAAGTCGCCGCTCGAGATCATGGACCACGCGCTCAAGACGTTCGGCGACGACATCGCGATCGCGTTCTCCGGCGCGGAGGACGTTGCTCTCATTGAGTATGCGCACCTCACAGGGCGCCCGTTCCGCGTCTTCTCGCTCGACACGGGCCGGCTGAACCCCGAGACGTACCAGCTGTTCGACGCCGTGGAGAAGCACTACGGCATCCGCATCGAGTACACTTTTCCGGACGCGGAAGAGACGATGGAGCTGGTCCGCACAAAGGGGCTGTTTTCGTTCTACGAGGACGGCCACCAGGAGTGCTGCCGCGTCCGCAAGGTAGGTTTTGAGTGTTCTGTGCGGTGTGCGTCGCGTCCGGCGGTTCGCGCGTGGGACTGAGCGCGCAGCGAGCTGCGTGTTGGGGCGCAGGTGCGTCCGCTGCGGCGGCAGCTGAAGACGTACAAGGCGTGGATCACGGGGCAGCGCAAGGACCAGTCGCCGGGGACGCGCGCCGAGGTCCCGGTCGTCCAGGTCGACCCGGTCTTCGAGGGCGTTGACGGCGGGGAGGGGTCTCTCATCAAGTACAACCCCCTGTCCAACATGACGTCGGCCGAGGTGTGGAACTTCCTGCGCGTGATGAACGTGCCCACGAACAAGCTCCACGAGTGCGGCTTCGTGTCGATCGGCTGCGAACCGTGCACGAAGGCGGTGCTGCCCAACCAGCACGAGCGCGAGGGGCGGTGGTGGTGGGAGGACGCGACGGCGAAGGAGTGCGGGCTGCACTCGGGCAACAAGGGCTACACCGAGGAGGCCGGCGCGGGGGGGGAGTCGAAGGAGGTGCCCGACCTGTGGGCGGGCAACGCGGACGTGCCCGCGGTGGCCAAGGCGGAGCTCGAGAAGATCGTCGGCGGCGAGCGCAGCGGGGACATGCTCCTGGTGCAATACGCGCCGTGGTGCCAGTTCTCGCAGGCGATGGAGGACTCGTACGCGGCGCTGGCCAAGGAGCTCAAGGGGACGGGGGTGTCGGTGGCCAAGTATAACGCGGACGAGGACCGGGCGTTCTGCGAGGAGAAGCTGCAGCTGAAGACGTTCCCGACGATCGTGATGCTGCCGGAGGGGTCGGACAAGGTGGTGAAGTTCACCAGCGAGCGCCGCGACGCGGAGACGCTGCGCCTGTGGGTCAACGCGCTGACGACGCGCGCGTAGGGCGCAGCGGTGCAGCGGGAGCGCGTGTGAGCGAAGCGCATGCGCGGGCGAGTCGTTTCGTTGTCACCGGAGCGCGGGGCGCAGGATGGGCTGTGACGCAGTTGTTGGCGTCTCGGTGGTTTCGCTGTGCGCGTGCGTGGGGCAGGGGAGGGCGCGTGCGAGCGCGTGCGAGCGCGCGAGCCGTCGAGTCTCGTTGCCAGCGTACCGCAACGCGATGCAATATCACTCACACCTGCGCATTGCGTGACACGTCCGCACTGCAGGGCGTCGCTGGAAACATCCCGTTCTTCATACCTTCCGCGCACCGCGCCACGTCCCTGCGCGGCGCCGCTGCGCCCTCAGCCCTCCACGTCCATCACGAGATCCTGCACCTCCGCCGCCCGCCGTCGCGCAAAGTCCACGCAGGTCGACAGGACGACCATGTCCACCGTGTTCGCCTCGCCGAGCTTCTCGATGCCCAGGAGCGTGTCCGCGTCTGCGCAGACGGCGGCCGATCGGTCGGTTCACGGTATTGCACACGTGCATCGCACGGGGGTGGGTGATGATGATGACGCAGGGGGGGGGGGAGTTGTGTGCGGCCTGTCTGCAGGGCGGCACTGTCACGCAACAACCGGCGCCTCCTCAGGCCGTTCTCTCGACGGTGCGGAGGAACGGCCGAGAGAACGGCCTGAACAGGCGGCGGTGTGTTCCGTGACAGTGCCGCCCTGCCGAGGGCCTTGCATGTGGCGCAGCATGGCAACGCCAAGGCACTGGTGCATCAGGCCGTTCTCTCGGAAGTGTGAGGGAGTTCCGGGAGAGCGGCCTGACGTACCAGTGCGTTGCCGTTGCCATGCTGCTCCACGCACGCAAGTCTGCACGGCCCGATCAACAGCCTTGTGTTGGGCAGCATGACGACGCCATCCTGAGGCACCTCCCCGACAGGCTGTTCTCTCGAGTTCCGGAGAATCGCCTGGGGCAGGTCCCGCAGGGTGGCGGGGCCATGCTATCCGACAGAAGGCTGTTGATGGGGCAGCACTGTGCACGGCAACGGCAACGATAACGCCATCTGTACGGCCATGGCCTGAGGCCGCTTTTCCGCTGAGCAGCTCTCGCTGCCGCGCTGTCGCGCAAACAGCCCCCGTCTGAGTCGCACGGCACGGTCAGACCAGACAAGTCCAGCGCAGGCGGTTCATTCGAGAGACTGACAAAGAACCCCCCGATAGAATCGCCTGCGTGGACTGGCTGGCCTGACCATGCCGCGACCGAGACAGGCGTGCTGCGAGCCTCCGGTCCCTCAACACGCGCCGGGCAGGCAGCGACGGCAAGCGACCACACAACAACCCAAAACCCTTCAAAAATCTTGCACGGAAAAAGGAAACGAAACGCGACACACACACAAACGAAGCGAGCCTCTGCGACACCAACCATCTGCGTTCGCGGGCCGTCGACTGCACCTGCCAGCGTGACGCACACGGCGCCGTCCACGAGGGCCTCCTCCTCCGCGGTCAGGTCCGCGATGACACGCCCGCGCGACACGCCGCACGTCACGCTCGCGGGCAACCGCGCCAGCGTCAGCGCGCGGCCGGCCCCGCCCCCGTCCGCCTCAACGTTGCCCACATCGTTCAGCTGCACCGGCGGCAGGCGGAGGGTCCTCAGAGCCGAGACTGCCGCGATCAGGGCCTGCGGACGCAGCGGCGAGCCAGGGCGGAGTGTCGGCCGCACGGTCGCGGCGTCGGAGGCAGTCGAGCGGCACGGGCGCACTCGAGATCGAGGTTCGATGGTTGTTGGCGTGCACGTTGTTGTTGTTTGGGTGCCGCACCGCGTCCCGCACGCCGCCGTCCGCGCCCAGCACGTTGACGTCGAGGCGCAGGACCCAGCACGCGGACCTCGGCACGATGCACAGCTCCCGCGCGTCGACGCAGTCGTTGCTGTTGACGTGGCGCGCTAGGTGCTCTGTGACGGTGTGGGCGAGCGGCGGCGCGGCCGGGGACCGGAGGTTCGGGGCCGCGAGGGGCGAGACTTCGACGGCGGTCTCGATGCGGCCGCAGTCGGGCGCGGCGTCGGACGGCACGGCAACCTCAAGCTTAACGCAGGCAAGGACGGTTGTGTCGCCCAGACTGACCAGGGCGGAGCTGTCCGCGGTCGTGACGGTGCCGTGCGTCACGGAGAGGGCGCGTGTCTGCGTTGAGAGGCGAATTGGGCGGGAGCGCGTGAGGTTGCAGGCCAAAAAGCGGCTGGAGTTGGTTCGTTGGGCGTCGTACGGGAGTTCGCGGGGGTTTGGACGGATCTAGCAGCCCGTGAATGATTGATGTGGACGCAAGGATGGGAGACTGGTCGATCATCGTCGAGGAGGAGTGCCCCCGGGGCGGTGGCGCGTCGCACCTCTCCTAGAGCTCTGCCGTCCGGGCGCGCACCGGCCTCGAGCAGGCGGTCGAAGTACTGGCGCGCGTACAGCGCCCTGTACGCATCCTCGTCGAGCCCGGCCTGCGACGCGATGCCAGAGCCGTGCGCGCGCGCGTCGGCAAGAGACGCAAGAGCGCTCACTGCACGCGCCTCCGGCGCTCCCCAAGGAGGAACAGCCCACGTCGCAGTTAGAAGACAACATCCCATACCAGATTCCGTGCGTGTGTTGGTTCGGATCGCGCCAGTGCGTCCGCCCCGTCTCCGTCTGGTGCGGAGCTGCACCATGTGTGCAGTGCGCAGGAGACGGCGAGGAGCCAGCGCACTGGCGCGATGTGCCCCCAACGCACGCAGGCCCTGGCGTATGCCTAGTTTTCGTTTTACGGCGACGTGGGCTGTTCTTTCTTGGGGAGCGCCGGAGGCGCCGACGAGCTGGCTCATCACGGGAAGCAGGACAGCGCCGACGGGGCCTAGGGGCGTCGCATTACCCATAACATCGTATGAAAACGGATGCCACAGTGTCATACGTGGAGCTTCGAGGGTCGGCGACGCACCTGGGTGCCAGCAGCCGCCGTTGCAGCCATCCAGGGCCCTCCCTATGTCTATGTATCTAGCTGGCGGTTTCACTGACGATGACGACCCAGCTCCGGCCCGTTCAGGCGGCAACGTTCGCAGGAGCGGGCGACGCTGCGGACTGCGGAGGGCGGCACGGTTCGCGGAGGCCATACGATGCATGCAACGCACATGAGTATAAATAATCATAATAATGCCGGTATAACTCTCCAAAGACTCCCAGGGACTCCATCGTGCGCCGTCCGCGCGCATCCGCGTGTGCAACGGCAGGTGTGTCCCAAAGGTGGGTCCTGACCCTCCGGGCGCAGGTGCGCGTCGCACTTCGTAAAGAGTAATTGACCACCACCCGCTTTAGAAACGAAATGCGGGTGTGCTAGTTCTTCGCTGACCTACAAGCACCCTCACCGCGAGGACGCTTGAGCGACCGAAATGGTACGGCAGGCGAGACTCACACAGCAGACAGGGTAGACAATGTGAGCAGTCATGCATGTCGTGCTGACGTCCTGATCGAGGCGGCACCGTGCTAGGTGTACTCGCGCGAGATGAGATCACGTGAGCATGTCATCGTCGATGCAGCGCAGTATCCTCCAGGATCACAGAGTGCGCAGTTGTAGTGGTGGTGCAAAAGTGGCGCGCACGTCGCCCGCTGTCGTGGCAGCCCGTGCGGGGCCGCAGCCCAAGCCGAGCAGTCCGGCGAATCCCCCCGTCGAGGCGGGGGGTGTTTTCCCAATCACTGAAAGCAACTAGTGTGTGTTTGTGGTCACGAGGGGGGACAAATGGGAGGGAGTGGTGTGGTGTGGAGGTGGTGAGCGGGCGTGACAATGAGCGCGCCCCTCGCGCCAGCCGGGGTGGGCGGGGGGGGTGTGTGAAGACAGCCCCTGCTGCTCATGCAAACACCCCCCTGCGCTTGTCCTTCATCGTCGACGACCGCGCGAACACTCCCGACTTGATCGAACCCCTTGCGAGGCTCGTGCTCCTCCTGTTCTCAGCATGGCGCCGCCGCCGGGCCTGCACACACACAAACAAACAAAACAAATATATTGACAACCACATAGTTTGTAGCTTTATCGGAGCAACACGCACCAGGTCCGCTCCGACGACACCAAGCACCCTTGGCACGCACACACGCAACACACTGCACCAGCGCGCGGAGACCGCACGCACCAGGAACTCCGCGTCGCTGACCGCGCTGGTGCGCTGCGGCGCCGCGTCCTGCTGCTTGCGCCACAGCTCCAAAGCCAGCGCGTCGTGGAAGCTCGTGTCCTCGAGGACCTCGCGATGCAGCGCGGCGTCCTCCCCCGCGCCGCCCTCGCCCGAGCCCATGTCCGCGCTCGCCCGGTGCCCGAAGTGGTGGTGCTGTTTCTCCCTGTAGACAACATGCTTGATAAACGGGTGATCGATGAGCTGCCGCGCCGTCGGCCGCTTCCGCGGATCCTTGCTCAAACACACGCGCACGAAGTCCTTCGCCTCCGGAGACATCCCCGCCGGGAACTTCGAGATGTCGCCCATGAGGATCGCGGCCATCGTGTGCTGCATCGAGTCGAGCTCGAACGGCGTGCGGCCCTGCAGGAGCTCGAAGACGAGCACGCCGAGCTGCCAGATGTCCACCGCGGTCGTCTGCGCCGCCGCGCCGGGCCGCCCCGGCTGCCCCGGGTACACGGAGTTGCGGCCCTTGTGCCCAAAGTGCAACGACTTCAAAATGTTGCCCTTCCTGCGGAGAGAGCGGCGACGGTGCTGGACGTGGGCTCGCGGCGCCGGGCGCGAGCGGCGTGCGTGGGGCCGGCCGCGGCGGAGCGCGGTGAGCGTGTGTGTGCAATGCGGGCGCGTGCCTGAACGTGCCCTGTTTCGCGAGGTTGTGGCTCTTGTTGTGGGCGTGTGGTGCGGTGCCGTCCTTGCCGAAGCAGCCGAAGAGGCGCTGGAAGAAGGGCGCGCGGCCGCCCGCGTCGTGGACGTTGCTGGCGGTGGCGTTGGCCAGCAGATGCTGCTTCGAGCCCGTGGCGTGCAGCTCCGCGTGGATCGCATCTTCCTTCTTGTCCTCCGCGAGGAGCGTGCGCTTCGTCTTGAACCGCATCACCGGCTTCGAACCCGCCGTTTCCAGCTGCGCATGCCACACACACCACATACCATGCCTGGTTTAATATATATATAAATAGAGAGAGAGCAGCGTTGCCATCGCTCTACGGCACAGACGCGCGCAGACAAGATCCTTGCGGCCTCTCTGCGCCGGCTGATCCGCGGCGAAGCATCGAACCCCCTCCTAGTGAGGAAAGGGGGGGTGTGGTTGGGTGTCTGACTCACCTCGCCGCTGCTGAATGCGCTCGAGACGTTGAGCGACTCCTTCGGCGACACGGTCTCGCCGTCGAGGGCCCCGTTGATCTGCGACAGCAGCATCTCCGGCGGCATGTAGTCGAGGGCGCCCGTGAAGGACGTCGCGCGATCCGTGGTGGTGTCAATAGCGTGGAAAAAGTTCGTGAGCCGCATCGTCCCTGCAAGCGTGCCAAACGAGCCAGAACCGGTCGGGCAGGGCAGCGGAGCTCGCGATCATCCGTGCAGACGTACAGCCGGCGTCCGCAGCGCGGCCAAAGCAGCGCCCGTTGCGTGCAGGGAGCGAGCACCGGGGGTGTATTCGTGGCGCGCCGCACCGTTGGGCTTCTCGAGCAGGTTCTCCGCACGGACGGCGCGGTGGATGATGCCGCGCTGGTGGAGCCAGTCGAGCGTTCGCAGCAGCGGAAACACGACCCTTCGCGCGAGCTGCTGCTCCTCCATATGCCCGCACTGCTCGCAGTCGAGGAACGCCGCGCGCAGCACGTCCGTCTGGCTGTGCCCCTGCGTCACCACGTACACCACGCCCTTGTCCTCGAACGCCCCGACGTACCCGCAAATACCATGGTTGTGTAGGCGCTCCAGAAAGGCGATTTCTCGACCGACGCGCTGGACCTGCTTGGGCGTGAGCTGCCGCACGCGGTACGCGCGCATCAGCACCAGCTGTCGGCGCAGCCGGAACACCGCGCTGTACACGGTCACGATGTTGCCCTCCTCGACCGGAACCATGTGTTTGAACATATCAATGTGCAATTGCGGTTCCACGTGCAAACGAGGGTGCTCCACGAGGCCCGGCGGGAACTGCCGCGCCTGCGCAATCGCCTCCGCGCCCACCGCCGCCGGCTGCGCCCGCGACGTCCGCGAGCCGCCCTCCTCCTGCGACCCAAACGCGCGCGACAGCATCAGCGACAGCCGCCGCGGCTTCGGCCCCCCGGCCGTCTCCTTGATCGCCGCGACCCGCGCGTCGACGCTCGGGCTCCCGGGCGACTTCATGCCGTGCCCGCTGCTCAGCGGCGACCGGGGCACGTCGCCCGTCCAGCTGCGGCGGTTCGACATCGCCCCCGCGGGCGCGGGGGGCGGCAGCCCCGTGCGGAGGGCGCCGCCGCGGCCGCTGTTGAGGCCGGACTGCGAGGTCCTGGTACCGAGCGGGCCTTCCATGTGGGAAGAGAACCGGGACGTGCGCGACGGGACCGCTCCGGCGGCGGGCGCGCCGGGCCGGCCGATCGGGCCAGCCGCGGCCGCGGGGGAGGTTGCCTTCGGGCCGGAGTCGACGGGGGCGAGGGGCGGGTGGGAGGGGGAGTCGAAGCGGCCCGAGTTGTTGCCGCGCGTGCTCGTCGGGGGGGAGTCTGCGCCCGCGGCCGAGGCGGGGGGGGAGTTGGTGGAGTCCCGGCCCTTGAGGAGCTCCGTGGCTTTGCTGAGGAGCTTCCCGCCGATGCTCTTGCGCGTCGTGAGCTGCAGGTGGCGGGGGGGTTGTTCAGGAGGTTGGGGGCTCATGGGGGGTGTGATGAAAGTAGAACAACGAACCGAAACGAAGGCAACGGTCCCGCCCGCGGCAGGGCGCACAACATCGGCCTCGGGTGTGTGTGTTTGTGTGTGCGTGTGCCGCACCTCCGTGACGCTCGACCGCTCGTCCACCGACGTCCGCGCGCCCTTTTTCTTCCCCTTGCCCGCCTTCCCGAACTCCACCAGCCGCCCCCACGCCCACCTGTCCTGGTACGCCACCTGCTGCAGCGTCCGCGCCACCGTCTCCCGGCTGCGCCCCGGCCCAGGCAAGTCCGCCCAGTTCCGCCCCCCGCCTTTCCTCTTCCCGCGCTTCGAAATGCCGAAGTCCTCCATCATCCCGATCTCCGTGTTCGCGTCCGAGCGCATGCGCGCGAGCCCGCCGGGCCCGCCGCCGCCCGCGCCGGGGAAACCCGAGTCGAGTTGCCAAAGGGACTGGTTGGTTCCGGTCATGGAGGGCGCCGCCGAGATGAAGGTTGAGCCAGCCTCAGGGCGCATCCCCGCCGCCGTGGACGTCGCGGTCGCGGTCAGCGCGGCGCTCGGCTGCCGCGCCAGCTCCACCGACGCGCTGTTGCGCGACTGCGTGGACTGCATGCGCGCGAACGGGCGGCCGCCTTCGACGCTCGAGCGCGAGAGGTTGGAAGGCGCGGCTGGCCGGGTGGGGTCCTCGACGGACGAGCGGCGGCGGCGCGCGAAGGAGCGCCGGACGTCGTCGCTCCCGGCGTCGATCGACTTGCGTGTGAGAGCAGCGCTCGCGTCGAGCGTCAGCGAACGCCGGGTGCCAGTCCCCCCGACCGACTTGACCGTTGCGATGCCGAGCGCCTGCGCGTTCTCGGCCGCCTTGGCGCCTGCGCGGCACGGGAACGCTCGTGCTGCGGCGTGGGGCCACGCCGGGAGGTGTGGTTGTGGCGGTGCGCGAGGGGAGCCGGCGGACCTGCAGCGGCGGTGAGGTACGTGCGCATGGCTTCCTTGATCTTCCGCAGCCGCTCCTTCCTCTCGCGCGCCGTCTCTTTCTTCTTCTTCGCTTCGTTCCGCTGCCACACGGCCTTGAGCTGTGCGACCGGGACGTAGGGTTCGAGCTCCGCGCCGCACGCGCTCGCCTCTCGAATCTGCGCGCCGCGACGTGCCGCGAGAGTGAGTTCAGCGCAACCGGGGCGCTCGCGAGCGCAACACGCGTCGCGCGCGGGGGGCGAAGGTGACGTCACGCACCCCTTCGACCAGCCGCCTCGCCAAGGTCTCTCCGGGCTGCGGGCCCGCTGCGAGCGACGCGGAGAGGCTCCGCGGCCGCCGCGCCGCTCTCTGTGCAGGCGCAGGATTACTGCGAGCCTGCGACTTCCATCTAATCATCACCGACCTCAGTTCCTCGTCCGTGAATGCCTGTAGTCGCATACGAGAGAATTACGTGGTGTCTGGGCCGCTGAATCGATGACAGCGCTTCGGAACAGGCCGCCACAGGGCTCATGCAGCAGCTGGCCGGGTCCCGCGCGCTGAGCGCCGCCGCGCACCGCGCGGCCAGCGCGTCGCGTTTTGCGCACACTAAATGGTCCCAGAACCAACGCCCAGACGGCGCGGAAAGGCCGTGCGCGGGCCAGCACGGCAGGATGTCTCTGCACGGCCCCTCCGCTGACCCGGGGAACGCAGCCACGCGCAACCAATCCCGAACTCTAGGATGGACGCACACACATCTGAAACGCCGGGAGCGACCGCGTTTTGGCGAAATTCTAGAGGAAACAGCGCGTGAGCGGCGTGCAAAGGGGATCCTTGCCTGCCTGCTTCGCGCGGGGAGTTCTCCGGGCCGCGACGGCCCCGCAGCCGCGCCGCCCGCGCCCGTCGCCACAAAGCCGTTCGGGACGCGCCCGTTCTCGCTCCTGCCGCGACTCTGCGCGCGGTGCCAGTTGCTCGCGCCCCCGTCGCCGCTGGCCATGCCGCGCGCGCCGCCCTCCTCCTTCGCGTCCGGCAGCTTCTCGATCCCCGCCGGCATAGTTCCGGGGCGCGCGTCCCCGTCGCGCGGAGCGGGCGGCGCGAAACGCCCGCTCGCCCTGCCGCGCGAGGAGCCTTCCGCGTCAATGCAAGGCGGGCGAGCCTCCGCGCTGGACGAGTGCTGCGTGTCCGCCGGCTGCGCCGCGCCCTCAGCCTTCTTCTTGTCCGGGAGATCGCATTCCGGCACGAGGCCCGCCTGCGTCGGCTCGTCCACGGTGCCCGGAAGCATGGACCCGCCCAGGTCCATCGAGGTCGTCCCGGAGCGCGACGCCGCGGTCATGGGCTCCGCGAGCATGCTGGTGCGCCGCGAACGATGATTCTACGCTCCGAGGCGGGCAGCTGCCATGCTCGTCCGCCCACGCGTGAGAAAGCCAGGCCGGTGAGTGCCTGCAGGAAGTCTCGCCGTGCGCGCGCCCTACCCCGCCTCGCGCGCAGTCTCGCGCGGAAACAGCCTCTGGTTGACTGTTGCTACGACGCAGGATGCGTGGGAGCGCAGGTTGCGACTCGCGCGTGCGTTGCCGCCCGCACCTCGCCCACCGCGGCTCCCCCGCGCGCTGTGTGCGTCTCGCGAGCGCGCCGAGCAGCCACCGAGGATTCTCCCGGCCTCTCTCTGTCGCGTGCGATCCAAAAATCTGCACGCGCGCGCAGCGCCGCGCGCCCTCGACGCACCACGCGCCGGTCAACCATCACAGCCCCGGGACTCCGTCTCTGTTCCCACGCCCGTCCTGGGCCGCGGTCCGACCGCCGGCGCCGCGCCATCGGCGCAAACGCCGCGCCCGCGCGCCCCCGAGCGCACTCGCACGCGACGCGCCGCGCAAACGCATCGAAACGGCCCCGCGACGCGCCGGGGCGACTGCAAGGCACAACGTAGACTAACGTGCACACAGCGAGGTGCGCTGTTGCGGTAGAACGCGGTCTGCGCGGCCGGGAAACGTGCGTGTCGAGCCGCAGGGGAGCGGGAGGAGCCGGAGAGGGCTTTTGCGGGCGGCGGTGGTGCGATGGCGAGCCCGGATGCGCATCACGTCCACCACCTGCATGGGTATAGCCCGGCGGTGGACCCCCTGGCGCTTATCGACGCGCTTGCGGGCGGCGCGGTGGACGGCGAGGGTCCACAGAGGGCCGGCGCGGAGGCGGGGCCCGTGCGGATCCTGGATGCGGGGTCCTCCGACGGCAGACATATGGTGCACGCAATGTGTCGGAGATACAGGCGAGTGCCGCTCCGTTCCTGCGCGGTTCCCCGCGCGCGCGGTTGCCTGGGGTCCAGGGACGTCCCGTGCGTCGCGGCGGATTGGCTGCGGGCGTCGGAGCGCGAATCGGCGGCCGCGGCACGCGCGCTTGTGCCCAATGTAGCGCGCACGAAGAGCGTGGTGCTGAGGGGCTCCGGGGGCGGGACATCCTCCCTCGCGACGCCACGTATCGATATCTTCCGCGAGGGGGGTCGACAGGGGCGGTTCCGCGTCTGAGGTGGTCAGGGCCGCAGCAGAGAGCATGGCGTGTTCTCGTTTCCGTGCGCGGGGTGGCCTGTTTCGCGCGATTGGGGCTCGACGTGACGCCGCGCGGTCCCTGCGCTGCCCCGCAGGCACCCGGGAGCGCGCGCGCGCGGCGTGGAGATCGTGCTGTTCGAGGAGGCGCCGGAAGTCCTGGCGCGGAGTCTCGTGTTGCTCTGCGCCGTCCTAGACGACACTCTTCCGGCGCGGGCCCGCGCGGAGACGTTCCTGGAGATCCACCACAACGCGGTGATCAGCCAGAGGACCGCGGCGCACGTCGAGCGGTACGGAAAAACCGTCGAGGAGCTCGTGCTTGCCGCCCAGGAGGGAAAGAAGCGCGGCGAACACCCTGCAGGGACACTGGGGCGGCTCCTGGACTTCGGGGGCCTCAAGTACGGCGACCGGGACGCTCTCGTGGAGGCGCTGCGCAACACGCGGCGCGCGTTCGAGTACGACATGGCCGAGGCGTGGGACAAGCGTCTTCGGAAGAACCTCGGCGAGCGCTACGATACTGCCAAGTGAGTCGGACAGCGCCGCGACACACGCACGCGATGCGCGCGGCGCGCCATGGCGCGGTTGCGCGCCGGAACGCCCGCCGATCGATCGCACGAGCCCAGTCCTGCGGCAATTAGGTGCCCACAACCACAACAACAGCATTGAGCGGATGACAGTGGGTGGTTGATTGTGCGCGCGTGTGGCGCCGACCGGCGCGGGGCGTGCGCTGTCCGCGCAGGAACGTCGTGGACTGGGACTACCAGATGCGCCTCGCGCCCATGGGCACTCCGGCCCCGGGGGGGGAGTCTCCGGCTGACGCAGGAACCATCATCCATCAGCTGCACTTTCGATCGTGGCGGCTCCGCGGCGTGGCGTACGAGCTCCGCGGCGTGCGGTACTGCGAGGCGAACCGCACGCTGATCTCCACGGCGTCGGGGCGGACGCAGGAGTTCAAGGACCGCCACGGAACGGACCGGGGGAGGAGTGTTGTTGCCAAGGGGTTTTGGGGGGATGTATTGAGCGGACCGTTCCACTGCTACGGCACGGTGTGCGAGGAGCCCGGGTACTACAAGATCGCGAACCGGCAGTGGACGCGGACGGCGGTGGACGTCGCGGAGCACAACGTGGTGGCGTTGCTGCATGAGCTGCGGACGGGGGGCAAGTACGAGGCGGCGCGGGAGGGGCAGGAGCTGCCCGTGGCGCGCAAGGCGGAGGGGCCGACGACGCGTGAGTGCACGGCGCCGCGGCGTCGCGCGTCTCGCCCCTGTTTGTTGTCGCTGTCGTTGTTGCACGACGACGACGGCGATGCGACGCTGTTCGCGACTTTGCCCGCGCACGCTCGCGTCCGTACCCGTCCGTCCGGTGCATGCGCGACCAACGGAACAGGGCTCTCCGCGTGGTTTACCATTCGTCCTGTCCTATCCCTTTTGATCCGACTCGACTCCCGCTGGTGCGGATTCAGCGGGAGAAACACCACCAACGACGTCCGGCGCGCCCGTGTGCGTGCGTCTGCGTGCGCAGGGGACGACTTGATCGACGCGACGTCCGCGGAGGCGGTGCAGGCCCAGGAGGGCGCCGTGGCAGACGCGCTGGGTGTCGACGTGTCTCAGAAGCTCAGCGTCGACGACGGGGCCGCGGGGAAGGCGGCGGCGGCGGGGGCGGGGGCGGAGACGGAGGAGGAGAGGCTGGAGGCGGAGCGGGAGGCGGAGCTGAACGCGGCGATGTGGGCGGCGCTGGAGGGAATGGTGGTGACGTGCGCGTGCGGGGCGGACGTGCGGAGAGCGGTGACGGGGAAGAGCGCGAACAAGAGCGCGCCGTTCGACGCGGTGCTCGTCGGGCGCGGCGCCATGCACTTGATCGAGGTGAGGCGAGCAAGGCCGGAGAAACGCGCGCCGTGGATGAATACAAAATGGGGTTTCTTTTTCTGTCATGTTCTGATATCTGCATGGACCGGTCGCGGAACCCGCCACGCCGCGCCGCGGATCCGTGCCCGCATCGCGGCAAGCGTTGCCGCGCGCCGCCACCGGACCTTCTCGCGGAACCGCGCGCTCACACGTGTGCGCGCGGCGACGCCTGTGCAGCCCAAGCAAGACCTCTCGCGCGTGGTGCGCCCCGGCACCGTCCTCGCGGTCGAGTCCGTCAAGTACATGCTGGACGTCGCGAAGGAGAACGTCGACGCCTTCCCAAAGAACGTCGCGGCGCTCCTCGAGCCTGAGGGCTGGCAGGCGGTGGCGACCCCGCCGCAGGAGCCGGCGCTGGCGAAGCGGTGGCAGGACGAGAAGCTCGTCGTCGACGGCCACGTGGTGTTCCGGAGACAGTAGAACCAGCGCTGTGAGACGCGGGGAACGGCCGCAGCACAAGTCCGTCGCGTGGCTGAGCGGGTGGTCAATTACTGCTTTGCGTGGCTCAGGCGGCGGCTGGAGTGCGCGCGCGCGCGACGCCGATCTGAGGTGGGCTGTGAGTGGTCTCCCGGCTCCTCGCGCACGCGCTCGCGCGCTCCGGCGCACCAACTCGAAGACTCGCACGACATGTATGCTGCAAACTGTCATCTGCTAGCGACACACGCATGCGAGACGACGCTCTCTTGCCACTGCGTCCCGCGCGTGATCGACACACCGCAGCGCTCGCCCTCCACGCCACGCCGCCGTCGCGGTCCGCAAGGACGACCACAGCTTGCCATGTGCTGAGAGACATGTCACAGAGTCTTTGGTCGACCGCCAGCATGATATGATGAATGGCACGCCGCTCCGCCGGACAGCGCGGGCGCGGCCGCGCAGGGGCGGCCCGCGCGGCCGCCCCGCCGCGCGGCGCGCAGTGTGCCATATTGGCAGCGGTTGGTGCGCCAGCAGTTGGGGTTGCGAGACTTAGTATTCGTCGCTGTTCCAGGACCACGGGTCGCCCGCGTCCCACTTCCTCCACCGCCCGAGCTTCCAGCGCGGGCCGAGGAAGCTCCCCGACGACTGGTAGTAGGACGGGCCGCTCCCTGCGAGCGAGCGCACAACCAGGGCGCTCAGCGGGACGAACAATCGAGAAATAGGCTCTTCCAGCGCGCAGCACCAAACAGCACGCCGCGCACCGGTGTTGCTCGTGTTCTGGTCCCACCACATCGTCGAGCCCGTGACGCCGAACCCGAGCTTCGCGTGCGGCATGTCGAACGGGTTGTACTGCCGGAACCCGCGCCCCGCGACGTTCATGACGCCATGCCCGTTGTACAGCCGATCGAAGATGTGGCCGACCTGCGGCGCAACGACGCGGCGCGCGCGGCGAGGTGGGCGGGGAGGCGGCGCAGGGTGCAGGGGCGCCGGTGTGCGGGGCGGAGGCGCCGCGGGCGCACCTCAGGAACGGGGCGGTCGGCGACGCTGCGGGGAGTTTGGCCTATGTAGCCGCTGGAGGTGTGCAGCTGGCCGAACTGGTCGTCGAGGTAGGTCCGCTCCTTGATGATCATGGCGTACATGATGCCTGCGGGCACGCGGGGGCGGGGGCGGGGCGTTCGCGGGTGGAACGTGCGAGCTTGGGGCTGTTGGGGGGCGCGGGGGGGCGAGGCGGGCGCGGACGGGCGGGGGGGCGGCGCGGGAGGGTCGTGCCTGGGAAGATGATGAAGGCGCCGGCGAAGGCGGCGTAGTTGCGCCAGTCGCCGGGCTGGTACTGCTGGAAGATCTTTTCACGCTCCTGTTCCCAGCCCTCGAGGTAGGCCCAGTTCTCGTTCGTCATGTTCATGAAGTCGGACTTCGCGTAGTTGCGCTTCTGCGCGGAGGAGGGGGCGCGGGTGCGGTTGCGCACGCCACGAAGGCGACGCAAAGAGAGGAGGAAGGTGCAGGGGTGCGAAGGTGCGGCGCCTGCGCGTCTCGTGCCGCGCACGCGATGAGAGAGGCCCGAAGCTTCTCGGCAAGACGTGCGCGACGCGTTCGGACGGCCGGCGCGGCCGCCGGGAGCGGCGCTCAGGCACACCGCTGCAGCAGGTTGCCTGGTGAGACCGAATCTGGGACGGTATCGCGCGAATCGTGGCCGTGAGGGCAGAGATGGGGCGCGGAACGTGGCGGATATCGGCCGGAATCAGGCAGCCTGGCTCGGCTGTCCACGAAGGGTGAGCAGAAGCACAGCAGGCAGTTGTTTCCGGGCCCCGCGTGCCGCACAGCGCACTTCCCGCGGCGCCAGCCCGCGCCTGGAATGTACAATGCGCGATCCGCACGCGGGGCCCGTCGAACGCCGGTTCGAGGCCGCTGTCAGGGCCGGCGCGCGCGGGTGGCGCTGTGAGCGCTGGCGCCGGTTTCCGCGCCGTGCGGGGCGCGAGCGGAGACGGCGCGCGGCGTCCGCGAGAGCAACGTACCTGACCATGCGCCAAGGTGCCCGCACGGCCCAGGCCGGCCACCCGCCGCGCCGCAGCGAACATGGCTTCTCACGTTCACCACTCCGTCGCCTTTCCGCCCAGCACCGCCCCTCAGACGACGCAGCGACGCCTCCAGCGACGCCTCGCCCTACACACGACCGTACTCGACCGCTCCCGGTGCCGGTGCGGCGCGGGGTAGCCTACAGCGAGGTAGCTGGCCTGCCTGCCTGCTCTCGCGGCGCCCGGTGCTGTGTCCGTGGCCTCGCACGGCGGTCCTGCAGCCCCGCAGCGCGTCGTCCCGAAGTCCCGACGGACCGCGCCGCCTCGCCCCGACGAAGCCGCCCGCTCCGAGCCGCAGCGTCCGTCAGGGGGGGGTTGCGTGTGCGGGTCGGGCCGGGAGGCCGCACCGGCAGTGGCATGCGGACGTCGTCGCGCGGCATCCGTCGCGCGTGCTGCGGTCTCGGAGCCGCAGCAGCCTCCACGGTCGCCTCGCTGACTGCGATACTATCACGGGGGATGTGTGGCCTTGGTGGGGAGGAGTGTTGAAACGGGCCAGTAGAGACGGTTCGCTGGCGGAATAACGCGCTCACCAGAGGGCTGCAGGGGCCGAGAAGGGGTGCGGCGAGCTGCGGCGACGGCGGGGGTGTTGGACGAGGGGGGGTGTGCATGTACGGGAGGAGGGGGAGTGCAGATGTCGGTCATGGAACGCGCGGCGAGCAAGTGAGTGGCGGGCCAGGCGGTGCTGGTCGTTGAGGACGGCACGGCGTCGCATCTCGGTGCGCTCACACACAGAGCGGAAGACGCGCAATGCGCCACACCGCACCTCACGCGGGCGCGCGGTGACATTTCGCTACGGACACGGCCGCTCTTGCTACGCTCGGTACCGCAGCACAGCTGCGAAGCCCCTCCGTTGATCGTTCTCGCAAGTTAATTATTATTATTATACAAGAAGTACTAGTCATGTTCCGTCCGCCGATTCTGTTTGGATTCTACTCGATCGCTGTTTATTTGGATGCCAGCTCCAAGGGCTCCTAGCGCTCCGGCTCGCGCACGAGCTGCACCCGGGCTTGCATCCCCCCTGAGTCATACGATGCTGTCAGGATCATCGGCAGTGCGGGATGGAACAGGCACGAGACCATCGCGGGCGCAGACGCCATGCCTCGCTCCTCCGGGTTCGCCACGGGCGTCACGTCGACCTGCCGCGACCGCCTCGCACCGCCCTCGGCCCCCCCCCCTGCCCACGGGCGACGTCGCACACGAACACGCTCAGATGCCACGGCCGCTCGGCGAATTCCTCCTCGCGCCAACAGCGAGGCGCAGACTGCCGCGTACTCGGCCCATTCATCGCGCGCAGGTCCGCTGGAGCCGGGGCGCACAGCTGTTGCGTTGGAGAGGGGTTTTGCGTCTCGACAGGCGCGCACCTTCGGTGGCCCGGACGGGCTGAAGCGACACGAGCGGGTCGTGGAAGGGCGGCGCGTGCGCGGACGCGTGCGCGGCGTCGTTCACGCAGCGGAAGATCGCACCGTCGAGCAACGGCGACGACGACGTGAAACTGCGAGGGTTCTCACTAGCGCTCGCCTGCGCCGCCGCCGCGCCGTGCGCAGCGGCCCCGTCGACAGCGGCGTCCACCTGCGCTAGCACGCGCGCGATCCGGCCCGTCAGCCGCGGAGCAGTGAAGCAGGCAGCGTCCGCAGGTGTCGATGCGTCTCAGGCAGTGAGGGGGTTGACTGTGGGGCGTGTTTCGTACGTTGCGGGCAGTGGAGGTGGGGTGTTCTCGGTCCCAGAGGCTGCAGCACCCGACGGCTCGCGCAGACATGATGTCGGAGGAGCTCTCAGATACGAGTTGAAGGTTCCAGCCGCCCCACAGCTTCTCGATCTTCCCCGTCGCCGTGTCGTAGATCCCCGTCAGGTAACGGCTGGTGAACTCGCCCGAGCCCTGCGGAGCGCGCCGGCACGCACACCACGCCTGGGCACACACACACACACACCCCTCCGGCAGAAGCTGACATCCGCCTGGCAGTGCGAATTCGTCAGCTCAACGCTGCAAACCCCGCGTACATTCTGCGTCCGGCGTTCTGCGCCGGCCGCGGCGTCCGTGCACGTCGAGGGGGGGGAGGGGGGTCGTTTGCGTGAGACAGACAGGGGCGCACCTTCATGCGAAGCTGGCTGGGCACCTCGAACATGACTGCGAGGTGCTGCTGTCCGACGACGACGGCGCGGTGCGCGCACGCGTTCGCGAGGAGGTCGAACTGGTGGTAGAACCACGCCAGGCCTTCGCCCCTCCCCCCTGCGCTGTCACGCTGCATGATGCTGCGCAGGAGCGACGACAGGAGGCACTGCTGCAGCGCGCCGAGCATCGTGGTGTGGTGCTCGGTGTCGGCGCCGTGCTCGTGCGCGGTGCGGGCGGCGGGCGCGCGCGGGGGCAGCGGGTGCGCAAAGTTGGGCGCCGTCAGGGGGGGGAGTGCGAGGGCGTCGTTGAGCCCGCCGATCTCGTGCAGCGTGCGCAGATCTCCGGACGGGTGCAGCTGCAGGATCCAGATCTGCGGCGGGTCGCACACGGCGCTTTTCCATCGCATCCGTACAAAATCACCTTCAGATATAATTTCGCGACCACTGGCGCGCCGGAGCGGTGCACCTCGCGAACGGCAACCGCGCAGCACGCCCACGTACCTGCTGCGTGGACCGGCACGTCACGGTCAGCAAGCTCCCCATCAGATCGAGCCCCCGGCACCCACTCAGCTCCACGCCCTCCGGCAGCTCCATACTCGCAGTACACACACCGTCCTGCAGCCGGATGACGTGCAGCGCGACCGACCGCCCCCCCACCGCGCTGCGCGGCGCCGCCGCCCCCTCGGCGCCCGCGGGCGCGCCCATGGACGCCACGATCACGAATCGATCGGATTTCGTGATTAGAAACACGTCAGGGTGCAGACAGGAGTGCGCCTGGCCGACGCTCCACGTCCAGAGCGGCGGAAACATCGAGCGGAACGTCCGCGCCGCCTCTCCGCCGCGCTGCCGCTCCGCGGCGCCCTCGCCGGGCGCGGTGTGGGGTGGAGCGCCGTGCGAGTACGTTGGCGGCTCGGCCGGGTCCGTTGCGGTGCGCGGGGCCTGGGCGGGCCGGTCGCCGGCGTCTCCGTCGGTCCGCTGACGCTTGCGGGTGCTGGGCGGGAAGCAGCGGTCGCGGTCGCGGGCGAAATTGGACACGGCGCCTTCGCCGGAGGTGACCAGGTAGGCCAAGAGGCTCGTGAGCTGCCTAGAGAAGGCCAGGAGGAGCCTGCCGCTGTCCGAGAAGCGCCTGAGGACGACCTCGGGGCACTCGGTGAGCCTCGCGTGGTGCACGGGCGGCAGAACCTCCCAGGTGCGTCGCAGGTCGTGCACCGTGGGGCCCAGCGGGGCGCCTGCGGTCTCCCTGGCGCGCACGCGCGCCGCGAGGTTCCACGCCATCGCGAGCAGAACGTGTCACGGTCTCTCCTGCGTGCCGGCGCCCCGGATCATGGACGCCCTCCGCTCTCAATGTCGGTGGTCCAAGTCCACATAGCCCATCCCCTCTTCTGAGCGGCGCCAAGCGCCCGACTGGCCCCGACGTCCACCCCTGACGCGGCCACGCGACAGCGCGATGCAGATGTAGTTCGTGACCGGCTCAGCAGGGCCCTGGGACGTCGGAATGCGCCGCAGCGCCGACGCTAGAGGCGGCGTCACGGCACAGGCCTAGTGGCTCCTGCCTCGCGGCAGACGACGTCGTCGACTCCTCGTCGCTCTTGCTTCCGTCTGCTTCGCGTCAACGGCACAAGTCGCGACCGTGTCCTCGCTGCTCCGCCGCAGCACCGCAGCGGTCAGGCCGGGCTGCAAGCAGCAGCGCCTCTGTTGCGCTGTTTCGGGCACTGTACACGCGATAACGGCGATCCGCGGGGTCTCGAAACACTGCCGAGCGCGTCCTCGAGTGCCAGACGCCCCTGCGGCCCGCCGCACTCGATGCCGCGCGTGCGCTCCGAGGGGTGTTGTACCATGGGACTGTCTCACGAATCGGGGGGTGTCCTGGTTCACACCCCCGGTGCACAAGGAACGGTCGATCGCTCGCATGCGGACGCGAGGTGCGGGCGTGCGGGCGTCCTGGCAGCGTGGCGTGCTTGCATCGTCCAACACCGCAGATAGCACAAATAAACATAACCATCTATATGTATTATTCTTTCGCACGCTGCTGCTCACACCTCAGCCAGCCGGCTGCGTCCGACGGGTCCGCACCGCCCGTCTCTTCTCGGCAGCCTCGTCCCAGCTTCAACCATTTTCATGTTCATATCGAATCAACGATCAATTGTAGTTGCAGAAGTCAGTCAGTCAGTCCAGCGCACGACCCCCTCGTCCTCAGACGCCTCCGAGTCCGGCACCGTCGCGCGGACGCGCGGCTCCTCCGCGCCCTCGGGCGGCGGCGGCGGCGGCGTCCCGCTGCCCTTGAGCCTCCGCCGGCTGTCAATTATGGCTTTGTAAGTGATGAGTTCTCCCTGGAGCTTGTCTTCGCGCCACAGGTCAAGGCCGGTCTCGACGCAGAGGCCCTCGTGGTCGATGGCGCGCGTGCCGCCCGGGAAGGTGCTGCGCAGCTGCCGCGCGACGTCGTGGCACGCCGCCGCGGACTCGGGGGACACGAAGTCCACGGCAATCTTCAAACAAGATCTCAGGTTGCGCACCTGCAGATAGGCACGCGCGCGCGGGCCACGGCGGTGTGTCGCGCGCGTGCAGGCCACGCGCAGCGCCGGGGACGAGTCCCCACGACAGCAAGACGTTCCTATTCAATCAAATACAAGATAGACTTCCTTGATTGGTTCCTGGCACTCGTCGCGCCTTGGCTCGCGCGCATCCGCCCCGGAGGCACGCACCTGATGCGGACAGCCAGCGGGAACGAAGATGGCCTCTCCCAGGTACTGTTCGATGGTCCACGGCTCAACGCCGAACTCCTCTTGCAAGCGCCGCCGGTCCTCGTCCACGAGCATGCAGTGCTGGTTGAGCACCGCGTCGCCGCTCCCGGCGCCGCCCGGGGCGTCCACGAACGCGCGCGACGCGGGGCGGCCGCCGTGCCTGCACAGCCGCGACACCACAGCACTTCGAGTCAACGCAAGTCGGAAATCCCCGATCTACACCGCACGCAACGCACCAGCGCACGCACGCGCCGCCGCGCCGCGCGCGGCCTCGCGCGCCACGTCCGCGCCCAGTCCCGCTCGCGTACAGAGCGCAAAGAGGCATCGCGGGGCGTACGCACGTGAAGGTGTCGACATTCGCTGCGATATACTCCTTCAGCTTTGGGACGTCTTCCCGCCGGAATATGTCCCAGACGGCGCCCGCGCCGTCGAACGTCGTCCGGTCCCGCACCGTGCGCGCGCCCACGCGCGGCTCCGGCACGGTCTTCTTGTCCGATCCGTCCGCCGACAGCTGGCAGTGCATCAGCACGTTCACCGCGTCGGCCATGTCGAGGTGCAGCTTGGTGACGGAGTCCCCGTCGACGTGCACGCGCTCGGGCACGCGCGCGATCGTTCCGGCGCGCACGCGCCCGCGGAGCGCCGTCTCCACGCCCCCGGCGGGCGGCGCCGTCTGCGCCTCCGGTGGGCGCCCGAACGCGATGTACGTCTTCGGGCCGATGTCGGGGGGCAGGAACTGCTGCGGGAGCGCGCAGTACATGTTGAGGGGGCCGTGCTCCGGGTGGGTGTATTCCGGCATCGGGAGACTCTCTACGAAGTCTTGGTAGTGCCGCGGGAACACTGTGCTGAAGGGGCGCCCGGGCGGGTAGTCCTTGACCTTGTGCATCGGCCCCGCGGGGTCGTTCTTCACGTACTGCGCGAAGAAGTCCCACTCGTCCTCCTCCGCGGCCTCCCACGTCGCGCAATCGAGCACCGCCACGCGGTGGTCCTCCGCCGCGTCGCTGGCGTCGCCGGCGGCCGCCTGCGTCATTCCGCGCCCGAACGTCGCCGGCGCCCAGCTCATCGCGGCGCGCACGCCGCGCACGATCACCGGGCGCCCCGCGGCGTGCTCCTCCTGGAAGATCGCCACCGCGCGCTGCCTGTTGTGGTGAAAGAGGTCCAGTTCGGACGCGTCCGGACAGAACAAGAAGTTGTCCGAGCCCTGCGCGGCGCTGCCGCGGTCGCCGACGCCGCGCAGCGCGCACAGGCGGTGCTCCGCGGGGTCACGGCCCGGGGGCAGCATCCGCAGCAACGTAGCCGAATCTTCGGACGACGCCTCCGCCGCGGCCTCCGGCGCGCGCCGGGGCTCGTCCGCGCCGCGTGCTTCGCCTCCAGGGCTGCCCTGCGCCGCCCCGTCGGCGTCCGCCGGCTCGGGGACATCTGCGGGGGGGGTCGCCGCGTCGGTGGGGGCGCACACGGGCTGTGTGGCGTCCGCGCAGCGCTCGGCGGCGCATGCCCCGTCAACCGCGGGCCCAACGCTCCGCAGGCGCTCCCAGACCGCGCGGCACCGGGCGTCGGCGTCCGCGATGCTGCCGGTCGCGTACGGCGACCACGCCGGATACGCTACCGGGCGGAGCCAGCGCCACTGCCGGCCCCGCGCGTCGCCCGGGCGCTCCTCCGCGACCACCGCGTCGAGCTCCGCGAGCTCGCCGTCGTCGAGCAGCCGCGCAGGCGTGAACGCGCGGCGCGTCTTGCCACACCCGTTGCACGGCGTGCCGCCCGCCGCCGGCACGCCCTTCGCGCAGCACGCCGGGCACAGCGTCACCGCGTCGACGCCCGGCGCGAACGCCCCGCCGCTGTCGTCCGCACACGCCGCACACGTGTACAGCAGGCACGAAATCGACCCGCGGCACCTGTCGCACGAGAGCCGCTCACCGTCCAGCCGCACGAGCGGCACGCTCTCCAGGCGCACGCCGTCCGGGAGCGCGGCGCGCTGCGCATCCAGGAGGCCCCCCAGCACCGGCCGCGTGAGTCTGACCAAGTATGACGCGTACTCGCGGTGCTGCTCCGCGGCGAGCACCTCCCGGAGCGTCGGGCGCGCGGCGCCGTCGTGCGCGGTCGCGGTGTACGCGCGCAGGCAGCTCACGCAGTTGCACACGCCGCGGCACGCCAGGCAGCGCTCGTCGACGCTGTCGTGCGACCATCCTGGGTAGAAAATTGCAAGACACGCGCCGCAGTACGAGGTGGTGCACGTGGGCGTGGAGCAGTAGGACGCGACGTGGAGCGTGCGGCACTGGTGGCACCGCTTGAGCGCGTTCAGGTGCCCCGTGGCCCAGAGGTCGCCGGTGGGGTCGATCCCGGACAGCGTGGCAAGGTCCGGAACGCACGCCAGGTGGTGACGGACCTTCCGCGTCCACTTGAGGTACGCGGAGAGCGCCTGCGGGGACGGGGGCGACGCGGGGGAGCGGGCTGAGGGGTCGCAATCGACACGAGGCCTGTCGCAGGTGCGTTGAAGCATACGTGCGCAGTCTATGTTTTGCGCACGAGCTGGAACGGGGCGCCGGCGCGGAGCGCGGAGCGCGCGGAGCAGCGATGGAACGCCTGTGCCGCCGCGTCGCTCCCCGGTCTCCCGCGCGCCGCGGCGCACGTGTTCGCGCAGGTATGTTCGTGCGGGGCGCGCACCTTGTGCTGTGCCTCCACGTCCGCGATCTGCGCCGCGAGGTCCGCGTCTGGCTCCGCGGAGCCCTCCCGCGACTCCGCGGCGCGTTTGAGGTCGCCCAGCCGCCCCTCCAGCGCGGACAAGCGCTTCGGGAGCCTGCAGATGCACCGCGGGCACGGCGTTGTTGATGCGGGGGGTTGCGAAGCGTGCTGGCGGCCGCGGGCGAGTCCGACTGGTCCGCTGGGACGCGCCGCAGCTGGACGAGCGGTGCAGAGCCGCGCGCGTCGGGCCGGCCGTGCCCGAGGGAAAACCACTCGGGTTTCACCAAGTGCGGCGCGCACGGTCGGGCATGTCTCAGACCTGGGGTCGAGGTCCTGCAGCGCCTGGATGACCTTGTCGTTCCCGGACTTCCTGTCCTGCAGCGCCGTCCTCCGCGGCAGCGCCCGCAGCAGCGCCGCCCGCACCTCTCCGACTCCCCCCCCGCCCGCCAACACCCCCCCCAGCACGCCGTCGCAGTTCACGTACACGAACCCCGGCGGAAACGACGGCCCCGGCGCCGGGTCCCGCAGCGGCGCGCTGCGCGCCAGCTGCTCCCCGCCGGCCCGCGCCTGGTCCTCCGGCGTCGGCCGCGGCGTCACTTGCAGCGCCGCAACGTCCAGGGCAGGCAGCGCGGCTGCGGTGCTCTGCGCCCCGCGCTGCCCGGCCTGCGTCGCCCAGGACGCGCCGGGCCGCCGCGCCCGCTGCGGCGCCTCCCCTCTCGCCGTCGGGCTCGACGCCCGCTGCCCCGGGCGCGTCCGTTGGTGCGGCACGTGCGGCGTCTTCTTTTTCTGTTGCTCCTTCGCCGCGGCCGCGTCGTTCGAGCCCGGCGCGGTCCGGCCGGCCGCGGCCTCGCGGCGCCGGCGGCTCAGCTCGCCCATGCGCCGGAAGTACGCGGTCGGCGACGCGCCGGGCGGCACCGAGTGCGCACGCTCCTGTAACATCTGCAATCGAGCGGCCATCTTCTCGTGCGTGTGCATGCCGCACCGCGTGCCGTGCGTCGCGGGCCTCGGGCACTGCTTCTTCTGGCAGTCGCACGTGAAGGGCAGCAGCACGTTGCACCGGCCGTGGACCACTGCAGCGAGGACCTGCGAAGCTATTGTGGCGTCTTGCGCGCCGACGTGGTCGCGGCACCGGCCGCCCTCGACCGCGGCGGCCTCGCAGCGGCGCTGCGTGGACCGCGCGTGCGTGCACGCCCACGGCCCTGGAAAGTCGCACGTCGTCTCCTCGCCGGGACTTGTGGGCTGGGCAGCGACTTTCCGCCGTTTCCCGCGGGCGTTCTCGTCGGGGGCGGCGTCCTGGTCGCCGTTGGGGATCGTAGCGTCGAGGTCGGCGCGCTTGTGTGCCGCGGAGCGGGTCTCGCGGCCTGGGACGAGCTGCGCTGGAGGCAAAGGCGGCGCAGCTGCTGCCTGGGACGCCTCGCGTGGCGCCGCGCGGCCGCTGCGGGCCTCCTCGGTGCCGTCGCGGTCTCCCGCGGGGGAGGACGCATCACGAGCGCGGCCAGAGCGGCGCTGGCACGTCATGTGCCACTGTTCGCGATCAGCGCAGCGTCCACCGCGGCCAGCGCGGTGTTCCCGGGCCCGCTGCCGCTCGCCTCGCACGGGCTCTTCCTTCCGAGCGCCGGGCGCGCGCGAGGCGGCAGCCTGCCAGCGCGCGGGGTGGGCTCGCCAGCACGCAGTGAGACGTGCGACGCTGCGCGTCACTGGGGCGTAGAACGGAGTGTGCGCTATGCAGCCCGCGTGTGACGCACTCGTAGCCGGCCGGCGCGCGCCCGCGCCGCCGTGAGGGGTCGTCGCTATGACAGACCAGCGGGGTCCGTCTCGGCGCGCAGCCCGACAGGCATAGACACGCCCCGCAGGGGCGCCCTGGACATGTTCTGGCCCGTCTGCGCTGCTCGGACAGTCGGGCTCGACGCGGAGCACCCGCACAGCAATCCGAACTCCCTGTTCGAGCCACCACGGCGCGCCAGCAGACCCTTTCTGCCGAACTGGAAACCACTTTCGCGCCAGAGAGCGCGTCTCCGTCCTTCTCAGGGCCCTGAAGCGCGCTCCCGACACGACCACGACATCCTCGCCCTAGTAGCCGAACTTATACCTCTCCACACCCTCCAGCCAGGCCAGCGTCAGGCTCTGGAGCTGCGCACTCCCGTGGCCGCGCAGCAGCGGGCGCCATGTGGTGCGAGCAGCTCGGCGTGAGCGCCGAGCAGCTGCCGACCGGGTTCGAGCAGCGCTCGCTGTCGCAAGCCCGCGGCACGCACCCGCACAACTACCTGCAAGTGTCGGGCCTAACTCTCAAATACGTAGGTCCAGGCTCGGTGGACAGTCATGCGGCGGCCATCCGCGCGAACAAGCCCGTCCCGGCCGGGATCCCGATCTTCTTCTTCGAGGTCCGCATCATCAGCAAGGTGAGAGCGCGCGCACGCGGCGCCCCGCGGCCAACTCCGCTGCGGAAGCAACGGCTCGCCACGCGGACAGCACGGCATATTGCGCGGTCTGGAACGGCGCGCTGCGAGTGCGCAGCCGTGTAGGCGCGAGCGAGGCCGCGCTCGCTGCGGGTTGCGAGCCGTGGAAGCCAGCATTCACGAGCTCATGGTGGGCTCTCTCGCTGTGTCCGCGCCGCCGCGCGCCGCGTCTTCCCCGCCGGACCGACCGCCCGGCCACGCAGATCCTGCCCCAGGCACCGCCGCCGCGCCGTCCGACGCGAGCGCGCTGGCGCCACGGCGCGCGCAGGCCCGCAACACGACTCCACCGCCCCACCCACGCCGCGTTTCGTCGCCGACGTCGCTCCCTCACGCTTCCCGCGCACGCAGGGGGAAGAAGGCTTCATAGGGATCGGGCTCTGCCGGCAAGACGTGCCGCTCGGCCGCCTCCCGGGCTGGGAACCTCACTCGTACGGATACCACGGCGACGACGGTCACACGTTTCAAGGCAGCGGCAAGGGCCGGCAGTACGGCCCGCGGTTCACCACAGGTCCGGACCGAGCCCCGCCGTCGCGTGAAGCGTCGTGAGCGGGCGTTTCTGGTAATGCGCGGCTGGACACGCGCTGTGCGTGTGCTCCGACGGCCGATGACGACCGCGACAGCGCGGGACCTCCGCGTCGCACCGCCGCACGCGCGCCCCGCGCCGCCCGCGCGTGACCACGAGCGCGGGTTCCACCGGGGGGGTGTATTGCAGGGGACGTGGTGGGGTGCCTGTTCGACCAGGTCAACCGCCGCGTGGTGTACTACAAGAACGGCCGCGAGGTCGGCGTCGCGTTCGAGGACGTCCCCGAGCAGTACTTATACCCTGTCATCGGGCTGCGCACGCGCGGCGAGGAGGTCGAGGCGAATTTCGGCGCGAGGCCGTTCGTCACGGACCTCACGCCCGCCATCGAGGAGCTGCGCTACGAAGGTGCGCGCCCCCGCGAGCCCCGGCCACCGGACCACGAAAAACACCCCCCCCCCCCGACATATCGTGCGTTCGCTTGTCCGCGCGCACGCGCCTCGCCGCTCGCTCCGCGCCGCCCCAACGGACCCACGAACGACGCCGCTCTCCGTCCCCGCCGCGGCCCGTGTCCAGCCGCGACCCACCGAGAAACCCCCCCCCCCTCGCCTGACAACGCCTGCTCCGTGTCGCCCTCCGCCGCAGTGATGTCGCGCGTGCTCGCGGAGCCGCTCCCGCAGCGCGCCCCGGACGCCGCGCGCCACGAGGAGGGCGGCGCGCTGCCCACCCCCGTCCGTCTCGTCCTGGACTTCCTAGTCCATAGTGGTTACTGGAACACCGCGGAGACCCTCGCACAGTGCGCCGGCGCCCCGAAGCTCGCGGTGCGCCCCCCCCTGCCTCGCTCCGCGGCTCCTGCGTGGAAAGGACACGCGCGCCCGCGGCTGCGGACCGCGCCGCCGCCGTGGGCGCTGTTGGGGCGCCACCGTCGTGCACCTGCGGCTCCAGTGTGGCTGCGCGCCCACGAAACAACCCCGGCGCTCTTGCTCTCGCGGAGTGCGGGCTGACACACTCCGTGCTCTCTGTTGCGTGTCGGTCGCGCGGCACGCGTGCTGCACGCACAAACACATGAAAACCAAGAACTTATGAGTTATCGATTCCAGATATGGTTCCATCGGTGTCCGGTGCTCGCACTGTGCGCCGCGCGCCCCCGCCCTGCGCCGACCCCCTCGGCGTCTCCGCGCGCGCCCGCTCTCGCAGGAAGACGTGCGCTACGGCGCGCAGGATCTGCAAAAGCGGCGCGCGATGTGTCAGGACGTGCTCCAGGGGCGCGCGGGGGAGGCGCTCGCGCGCGTGCGCGCGTCGATCCCGGACGTCCTGGAGAAGGACGCGGACCTGAAAGTGCGGCTGTACGTGCAGTGCTTCCTCGAGCTCGTGCGCGAGGGGCGCCGCGACGAGGCCGTCGACTTTGCGCAGCGCGAGTGGGCGCAGGCCGGAGTGTTCGGGGGGGGGAGTATGGACCTCGTCGAGGACGCGGTCGCGCTCGTGGCGTACGACGACCCGGCGACCTCGCCGACAGGTGCGCGCCGCGGGTGCTGCTGCTCTTCGCGGTTGAAACCATCCCGTGTGCGGAAATCGTGAAAGCGTTGCTTGCTTGGGTTCCGTGGTTCTGCGGCGTGGACGCGAACGAAGACGACGTTCTCATGCGTGCCCGCACGCTGCCACCGCCGGCGACGCGCCCGCCCCGCCGTGCGCTGCGGGACACTCGCGCACACGCCAACAGCCCGTTCACTCCCCCCTGGGTTGTCTTCTCGTTCTGCAGGCCACCTGCTGCGCCAGACGCAGCGCGAGGAGGTTGCGCACGCCCTGGACAACGCCGTCCTGCGGGCCCTCGGCCGCCCGCGGCGCCCGGCCCTCGAGCGCGCCCTTCGGCAACTCTGTGTGGTCCGCAAACAAGGATTGTCGATTGGGAGCTGCGCCATGGGTCTGCTCGACCCCGACGGCATTTTGAAGGACGCGCCGGCGCCCGGAGCGCGCGAGGTGGCCGGGCTGGGCGGCGGCGACGGCGGCGGTGAGAAGGGGGGCGGGGATGTGGCTATGCGTGGGGCGGAGGAGGGGGCGGGGGGGGGAAGTGCGCGGGAGACGGAGGAGGACAGGGAGAACAGGCTCGACAGGGATCTGCGGCGGCTGTACGACGTGACGGAGGACGACGACGAGGAGATGGAGTCGGTTCCGTCGTTCGACGAAGACCAGGATTAATCAATCATGATAATGCGAATGATGAGCGATCGGCGACCAAGATAGAATAGGTCAGCGAACATTCAACGATCGTGGAACAGCTGTGGTGTGATTGATGGTCGGGGCGGTGATGCGTGGTGAGGGCGACAGCGGCTGCATTGAGAACTTGAGAACAAATTATCATTGAGTGTTCGTATTTCTACTTTGCTCTCGCTGTGCTCTCGCCAGGCCTGCCTTCGTTGCGCGCCCTGCCTCGCTGCGCGAGTCACCTCCCGAGCCATTCCGCCCCCTTGCCCCTATGCCACGTCGCAGCGGACCACTAACCATCAGGCCAGCAAATGCCGCGCCTCGTGGGTTCTACCGCATCCCACGCTGCAGAACGAGCTCCCTGCACGCTCGCCGTCCATTCGCCTGACGGAGGACACAGCGCCACGAAGCGAGCTCACAGCAAACACCGTTTCCTATTTCTTTACTTGCCGCGATGTCCTTTCCTCTTCGCGCCGCGCCCGCCCTTCTTCGCCCCGTGCCCGCCCCGCCGCGGCTTGCCCCCGCCCGCGCCAGGCATCTTCTTCAGCGCCCCGCTCCGAATCTGCCGCAACAACTTCTCCTCCTGGTACTTGAACCCCATGGAAGTCCCATACCCCCCCCCCTCCCCCGCCCGCCCCCTCGCGCCCCCTCGCGCCCCGCCCGCGCCCTCGCCCTCGCCCGCGTCCTCGCCCTCGTCCTCGCCGTCCTCGTCGCTCGAGTCCTCGTTCCTGATCGGCTGAATCGACACATTCGCCACCTGCGACCCGACGCGATACGTCATCTGTTCGCCCCCCTCCGGCACCGCCGGCTCAGGCCGGGACGCGCCGGGCGCCTCGCCGTCGGACGCGTCGCCGTCCGAGGACCGCTCGTCGTCGAGGTCCTCCTGCGCGCGAGCGGAGCCACGCGGGTGGTTGTGTGCTTCCTCTTCCGGTGGTTTGTGATTCGGTGTTTGGTATTTGACGTTCCGTAAATTGTGGTTCGGTCTCGAGGCGGCGCGCGGGAAGTCAGGGAGGCAACAGGCGTGGCATCGCGGACGGTCCGACCAGCCTCCGCGTCAGGCTGCGTCAGCAAACAAGTCAGACACTGCAACACAGACAGACGGCGTGTTGCTGCGCGCCGGCGCGGCCGCCGCCGGCGCGGAAGCGGCGAGCAAGCCCCGGGGCTGTCTGGCGTGTGCGCAGGCCGCTGCCACCGAGGGCGGGCGCGCGAGAGGCGCCGTGGGCGCGCACCTTTTTCACACCGAGCTGCGCCAGGCGTTTCTCGCGCTTCTCCGCGCGGTCCTCGAGCGCCTGCTTGCGGGCCCGCTTGGCGAGGTCCACGAGCGCGTCTTTGCGGCGCAGCTGCTTGCGTTTCCGAAAGCCAGTGACGTATTCCCTGGACAACACAGAGAGGGCCCGGCCGTGCTGGGACGTGGCGCTTCACCGGCGTTCTGTTCATGATAGTGAAGGAGATAAGTATGAGATGGCGGGACGGGCAGAATGGAAGCGATGTGTGCCGTATTGGGGCGCCAGAGCTCCGGGCGTTGGCGCCATGGTTGCTCAGGGCGGCTCGGTCGGCGATGACGGCGTTCGCGCGTGCGCGGGCGTCGGCAGGCCGGCGGGGCGTGCTTCCTGAAGGGTAGTCCGGGGTGGCCCCCCGCAGCTCCGACATGCACTCGCTGCCGTGCCACTCGCACAACGGGTGCCGGGGCGAGTGCTGGTCGAACAACGTGAAGCACGCCTTGTTCGACCAGCACTCGCGCGCCTGGCGCAGGCGGCACCCGTTGTGCGAGTGACACGGCAGCGAGTACATGTCGGAGCTGCGCGGGGGCACCCCGGGCGTGCTGGTGTTGGGAGCCGCACTTGTGCGCGGCGGGGTCGAAGGTGATTTCGAGGCCCTTTTCGCGCCGGTGCCGTTTCTCGATGTGGTTCACGATCTGGAGCGGCGCGCCGGCCTCCTGGGCGCCCTGGAACGAGTACAGGTCCACATCCGTGCCTCCCAAGGGTCTCAACTTGTCCTCACGCTGCTTGCGTCCCATCCTGGCATGTGCTCCGACGTTCAGGTGCCAGAACTGCCACGAGTGGACGCAATGCGCCACAGAGGGCGCTCGTTCTCGCGCCCCCTGCCGCAGAGAAGCCCCAGTGAGAGGCACGAACGCCTTCTCGTGCGAAACGATGCTGAAAGCGCAGCTTATGCCTTTATATCTGATCACGTGCCAAGACTATAACTCCGGCGTGGCGGCGGGTGCGCGAGCCGATACGTCCGAGGGCGGGAACGGTCATACCGCGGCATTTGGAGTGCAGCTGTCGGTGCGACGGAGGCGGGCTGTGGCGCTACGAAGCGCCGCCGAGGCGTCCGGCCTGGTGCAGACGCTCTTGTGTATCTGGTGGCAGTCTGCGGACATAAACCGGGGCAAAACACATCCTCGATAACGCGTGGTGGGGCCGTGGCACACTGTGCTCCTTCGTGTTGGTTTCTGGGGCTCGAGACGGGCGAGATCCATCCGACGCGGTGCCGAAGTTTCTCGCGACATTCCGCGCCTGATCGCGCGTAACGAGCGCGGCGCCGGGCACGCACGCGTGCGCGGGGCACTGCTCTTCTAGTAACCAAGCGCTCCCGTGGGCTGCAGTCCTCCGCAAGAACCGGTGCGTCCGCTACCCGGCACACGCAGCAACAAAGTCGACGCGGCGCGCCTCGACGCCGCTCGCGCGCGTCGCGATACGCAGGAACCGTCCGCGAAGTGCACCTGTGCGATGCGTCCGTTTTCTGGCGTGTGGCGTCGTGCGAAAGCGTTGTATCGCGCCTGATCAGCTCCCTTCACCCTCTCCGCATCTTCCCGCAGCGTTCAAGGTGCTCGCAGCGGACTGACGTGCGCCATCGGCGACGAAGGTCCTCCCGCAAGCCTCTGATCGCCCCAGGCGTCGCGCCATGACCGACAACCGCGCGTCCAAGACGCGCGCCGGCGTCCAGATCCCTCTGGTCGCCCGCCTCGCGCTCGGCGCGTCGCTGGTGCTGCTCGTCCTCAGCGGAGCGGTCCCCTTGCCGTGGCACACTTCCCAACACGATGCGCCCCGGGCCCCGCTCCAGGGCAAACCGGTCCTGCCTCTCCCAGACGAAGAGGTGCGCGGCTCGCGGGCCCGCATGCGACCGCCGCGCGCGCTGCGGTGGAGCTGCACTCACACTGAAGTGTCCCTGCCTCTGCGCGCTGCGTTCGCAGGGCGCCATCGCGCGGCTCTCGAAGATTCTGACGTTCCCGACCGTCGCGAACCCGCAAGCGGAGGACCACGTCGGCGCGGAGGCGGCACTGCACTTTAAGAACCAACACAAGTGGCTGGCGGAGGCGTTCCCGCGAGTGTGGAAGGCCCTCAAGGTGGAGAACGTGGGCGCGGGAGGCTGGAGCCGGCTCCTGACGTGGCAGGGCACGGACGCGAGCCTCAGGCCCCTCCTTTTGCTGTCCCACTTGGTGCGAGACACCCCCCACAACGCCCCCGCAGCGACGCAGCACGCCGTCGGCCGTCCCCCCACGCCCTGCCGCCCTCGTCACACGAAGCCGCGCACGTCGTGACACGCCCGCTTCCCTACCAACACCAACGCCGCTGCGTCGCTGCCGGCGCCCGCGTGTGCGCGCGTGTGCGAGGAGCGACCCGGCAGGGCCCGCTCCCGCTGTGCGCAGGACGTCGTGCCGCCGGGCGACGTGGGCGCGTGGGAGCCCGCGGGCCCGTTCAGCGGCGAGGTGCGCGACGGCTACGTGTTCGGCCGCGGCGCCCTGGACGTCAAGTCGGGCGTGACGGGGATCCTCGAGGCGGTCTCCGCGCTGCTGCACGAGGGGTTCCGGCCGGCGCGCACGGTGATGATCGCGTTCGGGCACGACGAGGAGGTGGGGGGGGGTCTCGGCGCGGTGCGAATCGCGGAGGTGTTGAAGCAGAGAGGGTTGGAGTTTGAGATGGTCCTGGATGAGGGGGGCATGGTGTTCCACGAGGGCGTCAAGGTGCGCTGGGTGCTGCCATCCTCGGCGGCGGCGGCGGCGCAGCGAAGACCATGCTGGAAAAAACAATAACAGAAATAAAACACAAAAATGCGTGTCTGGTTGCGTTTCGGTTTGCGTGCAGGGGCTGTCGAAGGTGCCGACGGGGATGGTCGGCGTCGCGGAGAAGGGCTACGCGACCGTGGACGTCGAGGTCTCGCACCCGGGCGGTCACGCAGCGATGCCGCCCACCGACGGCACGAGCATCGCGGAGCTGCTCGCGGCGATCGTCGACCGCGTCGGCCGCGAGCCTCCCACGGCCGTCCTGACCAAGGTACGCGTCTGTCTCGAACGGCGAGCCACCATTCCTCTAGAAAACGAGGAATAGAGTTTCTCCATTCCTCTCTTTGCGCCGCTCACCTCCCTCTGCGCCCCGCCGCGCACCGTGCAGCCCACCGCGGAGATGCTCACGCACCTCGCGCACGTCGCGCCGTGGCACCTCCGCCCCGTGCTCTCCCGCGCCGCGCGCTCGCAGTGGCTCGGCACCCTCACAGCCAGCGCCCTGGGGGCGAAAGGCCCCGACACCGCCGCCGTGGTGCGCACGACCATGGCGCCGACCCGCGTGAACGTCGGCGTCGCGGACAACGTCCTCCCGGGCAACGGCACCGCGACGTTCAACGTCAGGATTCTACCGGGGAGCACTATTGAGGGGGTGTTGCGGCACCTGGAGGTGGTGGCGCGGGCGGCGACGCGCGGGCGCGGGAACGTGGCGGTGCGGCTGCGGCCGGGCACGCACACGAGCGCCGGCAGCGGGGTCGCGGACCCGTACGCGCCCCCGTTCGACGCCGTGCGAAGGTGAGACTTGTGTTGCTCGTATCCTTCGTATTGTTCTTCGTTGTCGTTGTCTTCGCGTTACCCGGCTCTCGCGCGGAGCCCGTCGCAAGCCGCCCACGGCGCCGCCTGCGTGCGCACGTCCGCCGCAGAGCTGCGCTGGAGACGCTGGACCACTCGGGCACGCTCGTCATGGCCCCGTACCTCGTCGTGGGCGCCACGGACGCGCGGCACTACGAGGACGTCGCCCCCGGGCGGTGCCTGCGCTTCACGCCGTTCGTGCTGCGGCCGCACGAGACGTCGCTGCTGCACTCGTCGAACGAGCGCATCGCAACCGACGTGTACCTCGACGCCGTGCGGTTCTACGTGCGGTTCATCCAGATCATGAGCGCGGGGGTGTAAAGTTCGGTAGGGGTTGTAAATTTCAATTTGAGGTGGAAGCAACGGCCGAGGTTTGGAAGCCATGTTAAGTGCTGTTGACGCAAAGGGACAGCTTGGATGTGACGGGCCGGTAGATGCACGGACGCAGTGCGTGTTGTTCGCCGCGTGCGGGAGGCTGCGAGACCGATCCGGCGAGCTGCGCCTGCGCTGCGGGTGTCCTGCGCCGCAGTGCGATGCTACGGACGGTGTGCATGCGCGAGCGCTGGGCACACGCGCCTCGCGGCCTACAAGCCCGCACCACCACGACATTCCACATAAAACACGTCCCGGACAGCAAACGTGTCCAGCAAAGCTCAGACAGCCGCCAGGCCAGCACGCCGAACCAACCCACGCAGCGCCCCCCCCCTCCGTGTCTCGACGTCACAATTCAATTCAATCCACGACGCGCCGCCGCCGTCACGCCCGCCTGTTCGCCCGCCCGCCCGCGTCCCCGCACCCCTCCCCCACGCCCGCCCCCTGCGACCCCTCCCCGTCCACCATCACCACCTCCGGATCATCCGACACCGTCGTCCCCACCGTGCCCCCGCGGCACGCCTTCGTGATGTTCCCGTCCCGGTACAAGTCAAACACCACCACCGGGATCCCGTTCTCCTTGCACAGCGTCACGGCCGTCTCGTCCATGACGCCGATGTTCTCCTGCGACACCGTCCGGTACGGCAGCCGCTCGTACCGCCGCGCGTCCGGGTGCTCGACCGGGTCCTTGTCGTACACGCCGTCCACCTTGGTAGCCTTGAGCAGGGCCTCGGCGTTGATCTCCGCCGCGCGCAGCGCCGCGGCCGTGTCCGTGGTGAAGAAGGGGTTGCCCGTGCCGGCGCCGAAGATGACGACGCGGCCGCGCTCGAGGTGGCGGATGGCCCGCCGGCGAATATAAGGTTCGGCCACGTCCTTGATGTCGAGCGCCGTCTGGACGCGGCACGGCACGCCCATTGACTCGATCGCGGACTGGAGGCACACGGCGTTCATGACGGTCGCGAGCATGCCGACGTAGTCGGCGCTGGCGCGGTCGAGGCCGGCCCAGGCGGACGACGCTCCGCGGAAGTAGTTGCCGCCGCCGACGACGACGGCGACCTGCACGCCCGCGAGGTGGGCCGCGCAGATCTCCTTGGCGACGGCGCCGAGGACCTCGGGGTCGACGCCGTGGCCCTTGGAGCCCTGGAGGGCCTCGCCGGAGACCTTGAGCATCACGCGCCTGCACGGGGCGGCCGACGTGGTGTGCGTAGTGAGAGCTGCGCGGTGCGGGTCGAGGCGGGCCGCGAACGGCCGTGCGGGGGCGCGGGCGCGGAGGTGGCGGAGTGGGGAGTGCGGCAGGTGGTTCGCGGGTCGGGTTGGGCGCGGGGCGGTGCGCGCGGGAGGTGTGGTGGCGGTGCGGTGTGGGCGCGTGCCTGTATTTGAGGGGGGTCGAGGGCTGGAACGGCTGCGAGTCGTCGTCGTCCCGGCCCTGCGCGATGGCCTTCGGGCAGAGCGACGCGCGCCTATTGGCCGGCGCGGGTGCTCTGCGGGCCCGTGGGCTGGATAGCAGGCTGTGCGGGCGGCCCTGGGCGGCCGGTGCGCGCGCGTGGCCTGCGGAGCAGCGACATTGGCGGACTGGGATGTGGGCGTTGCGCGGGGCGGCGTCGCGGAGGAGGAAACCGCGCGTGCGACCCGCCGCCGGAGGAGCCAGTGGTGTGTGCAGCTGGTGGACGTGTGTCGGTGCATCTGTGCGGCCGCTGCGTCCGTCGCGCTCGCGAATGCGCTGCGCGAGGGGCCTGCTCTGATCCACGAGGTCCCGCGGTACCGTGCGGAATCCGCGCTCAGGCGCGGGAAGTCGCGGCGTGCGGGCCGGAGAGGGACAGGCTGCGACGGCGTGGGAGGGTGCCCGTGGCGGCCGCGTTCGGGGCGCCACGCGGACCGAAACCGCGCGAAGAGGTGCTGGACGTCGAGGAGGCGCCGGGGCGTACCGCGCTGGGCCAGCCGGCACGCGAGCGCGCCTAGAGTCGGGGCCATGAGACTTCTTCTGTTGTGTGAAACCGCAGACCCTTTTTCTGCTTTCGAAACGGCTCGAACAACCCCCACCTGGCCGGACCTGCCGAGGACGCGCACGGCGCGACCCTACGGAGCCGCAGCCGGCCCGGCGCCGAGTCGGACACACAAGTCGGACGTGCAAGAGGCCTCTCGCGCCACAGCCCGGCCCCCCACGCCCCCGCAGGGCGGAACGGAGGACCGGTGCGCGCTCGACGCCCAGTCTCGGGCATGCCGCGCCCGACAGCGCGGCCGCGCGGCCCCGTGTGGCACGCTCGGAGCACACTTTCTTGCAGGGATGCAGTGTGCGACGCGGTCCGGGCGGACTGGAACGCGCTGATAGCGACGTCTCTCTTGCCGCGTCCATTTGCTGCATGTTCGCGCGTCACAGCGGGCCCCTGTGTTGCCGCGAACCGGTGGGGCGGGCATTGAGGGATAGCTACGTCGTGGTGCAGTGGGGGCGGAGGAGCGCGTGAGACGCGCTGCGGGCACGGTGCCGCGTGGGGGCGTTCGGGTGCAGCTCGGCGCGCGCAGCAGTGGCGCTGTGCGCGCTGGCGTGAGGCCCAGTTGGTGGGTGGACCGGTGTTGGGGCAGCTGGGCGGCGGTGCGCGTCACGCGGGGCGGCGATTCTCACGTCGTGGGGGGGGATCCAGGTTGGATCTTTGCGAAGAGCTCCTCGGAGAGCCTCGGAGTTGCCTCAACGCCTCTGTTGCGGCGCGCGCGGTACGCGACGGTTCGCTGGACCCACGTCACTCGGCTCGTTTTCGCGCAGTGTACCCACCGCGAGTTTTTGTTTTGTCACGATACGATACTATCAAGCAATATATGAACCGGTTCGCGCCATGGAAACCGCGATTGGTGTAGTTTTTGCGGAGAACCAGCCAGCTACTAGGCACGCCAGAAGCGCCGCGCTGTTTCGCTGCTTTCATAGCGACCGGGCTTTCTAGGCAGCGGCGAGGCGTGCAAGAGGGCTAGCAGACTTGTGTTCTGCCTCCAAAAACCGCGTTTACTGCTGCGAGGCGGGACTCCAGAGCCCGAAGTAGCTACGCAAGGAAACCCGCGTACCCCCGCGCCCCTTCCCGCGCAGGACGTCCCAAGCTACAGCAGCACATAGCAGCTCCGGAGCCACGCGAGCGGCGCGCAGCGCAGGTGCGTTTCCGTTTCCCCGCGCGCGACCTCGATCGCTCCACGCAACAAGGCGCCGAGGCTCGGCGCGCCACGCCCCCGCGCACTTGCTAAGCCGTCTTGTTCTGTCCGCGATGCGTCGATCATGTCCTCGGCTGGAGTTGCGCGGCGCAGCGGCCCAGGTCTCGGCTGGAGTTGCGCGGCGTGGCGCCCTGTGTGTGTGTGCTGCTCGGCCGTCCGCGGCGCCCGCGGGCGCGGTGCGCGCGGCCTCGCTCGGCCGCCAGGGGCCTCGCCTCGCTCGGGCTACGTCGGCTTTGCTCTCCGGCGCGCCGCTGATGACACCAACAACGTTGCCATGACGCGCTCAGGCGCAACCTCTCTGCACGTGCTCGTTCGATGCGCGCCGCCAACTGGTCTCCTCCGTCGACGGGAGCGCGCTGCTTTGCGATTGCGTCGTCGGCTAAGTCCGCCAAGGAACGCTAGAGGGGGCCGTCGCGCACAGCGGGCCTGGAGCTCGTCATCACCTCTGCAGCGCCACCTGCGTGCGCTCGCCGAGCGGGGACGCGGTGCGACGTGGCGCTGCAGAGGTGATGACGAACTCCAATCCCGTTGTGCACGTGCCCCCCCTCCAGCGTATCTTGGCGGCCTGTGCGGGACGACTCAAGCGCAAAGCAGCGCACTTTCGACCGAGGAGACCAGTTGGCGCGCGGGGTGGGGGAAGGGAAACGGGTGCCGTGCGGCGGCCGCCCTGCCGCGTCGGCGCGTGTGCAGCGTGGAAGGCTGCGCGCCCGTGGCACCGGATGGGGTGCTGCGAGAACAGGTTGAAGACTGCTGCTCTAGATGACACGCTCGCCGCCTCCGGGGGGGCTGTCGTCGCGGTGCGCCCACACACACTGCTGCCCGGGCATCCATTGGCGCGACCCGACGTCGCTGACTCCGCCGAGCGCTCGCAGGGCGCGTGCGCTCAACTCGCGCACCCGCCGCGGAGTCAGCGACGTCGGGTCGCGCCAATGGATGCCCGGGCAGCAGTGTGTGTGGGCGCTCAACTCGCGCACCCAAGCAGCATCAGCTGGAGAACATTCGATGCGGGCGGGACGGTCCGCTAGGCAGCGTCATCCGTGCGCTGCCGCGCGAGTCGCGCATTGCCTTGGCGGCCATCATCGCCGACGACGTCGCCGCCAAGGCAATGCGCGACTCTTGCGGCAGCGCACGGATGACGCTGTCGAGCACCGCGGCCATCATCCCCCAGGGGACGTACACAGCCTGCGCAGCCTTTGTGCGGAGGCGAGGCGGGTGGGGCGGACGGTGGCGCGGCGGCTGGAGGGGCGGGTGTCGGTGGGGACGAGGTCGGAGGTCGGGGGGGCGACGGAGCGCGGGGAGTGGGTGGTGTATCACCGCGCGGGCACGTGCGACGTGGGTGCGCCATCCGCGGTGGTGCGCGTGGAGGCGGGAGATCGGGATCTGCTGTGGGCCCTGGTTCCGAGAATGTGCGTCGATGGGGCCACAGGCATAGTCCAGGTGCGTGCTGGCCCGCCCTGCTCGCGCTGATTGCGGTTTGTCTGTCCACAGCGGTGCCGCCCCCCGCGCCGTTCCGCACCCCACCGGCGTCGTTGCGCCCGCCCCCCACAACGCGCTCGCAGGAGTGGGAGCAGAACTGGGCGGACGAGGGGTACGATGCTGACTTGCTGGAGCACGTTGAGAGGTCCGCGCACCATTTCTTCGGTTGCTGCGTCAAGCTCGACGCCAGCATGAAGATTGCCGACCCGTTGAAGTGGCAGCATTACGACACAGCGCGTCGTCGGAGTGCTGCTACGACGCGCTGTGTCGTAGTGCCGCCACTTGAGCGGGTCAGCCATCTTCATGCTGGCGTCGAGGCGGACGCACTTCCCGAAGAAATAGTGCGCGGACCGTTTCACGTGCTCCAGCAAGTCAGCATCGTACCCCTCGTCCGCCGGCAGACTGGCAACCACTGCTGCGCTGCGTCGACATCAGCGGCCTGCACGCCGCGTATGTCGACGTAGCACAGTGAGTTGTTGCTGACCGAGCGGCAGGACAGCCGCTGGCGGGTCGTGGCGTCTCGGGCTTCCTGCGCACGTCACGCAACGGGGCATGGTGCCGCGCTGGAGGGACACGCTCAACGCCGTCAGGGTCTCCGTCGCGGTGCGCCCACACACACTGCTGCCCGCGTCCTGCGTTCCGGGACGAACCGCCCCCGTCTGTCGAGGGCGGTGCGCACGCCGTCTCGACTTCCGCGCCGACCGATCTGACATATTCGATAGCACCCTCCCACCTGACCAGGTGCCATCCAACACGTCCTGGCGGTCGTCGCGGAAGTCGCGACGGCCGACAGTAGCGTGCGCTCGGTTCTGCGCGTCACAATGCGCGTGAGCAGCGCCGCGGGTGGCACAGTACTGTACTCGACCCGCGGCGCTGCTCCCCGCATGGTGACGCGCAGCGCCGAGTACACGCCACTGTCGGCCGTTCGCAGGGCGCTGTCTGTCGAGTCCCGCGAGCGCCGGGCCGTCCTCGAGCGCATCGCAGAGGCAGCGAGGAGCTCCCCGCCAGACTTCGAGGACCCGTCGGCCGCGCGTGGCGAGGACGGAGCGGAGATCGGCCACCTTTCACGTCTCCGCGGACAGGAGGTTCGCCTTCCGACGTCCGCGGAGACGTGCAGCTAACCGATGTCCGCTCTCCCCTCGCTGCGCACGACCAAAGGGTCCTCGAGGTCTGGTGGAGGCTCCGCGCTGCGTCTGCGATGCGGTCGAGGGCGACGCGTGACATGGATGCTGAAGCACTGCGAGGCGACGCGCCGGGGGGTTGGGTGGGCCAGCCGACCTTGCGTGCACGGCGACTTAAGCTTCCGGATCGACTCCAGCACGGCGCTGCAGGCGCGGTGAGCCCCTGTGCACCCCGGGACCAGCACTTGCTCGATCGCGCGCGCTGTACCACTCAGAACGGCTCGAATCCGTCCGGACTGATACTGGCTGACAGCTCCATTCACGCACGCACCACGCACGGCTGTTGTTACGGGGCACGACTCCGGTCTGTACGTCTCAGTCTCAGTCTTGTTCTTGTTGTCCCCATCGGTCAGAACAAGACTGAGACTGAGACTTACAGACCGGAGACGTGCCCCGTAACAACACCCGTGTCTGGTGCGTGCGTGGGCCGCGGGTGAATCGCGCGGGCGCGGGCCTGGAGCTCGCGGACGCGGGTCCCGGAGACACGCGCGGAGGACAGGACGTCGATGGAGGTGGGCGGCGAAGCTCAGTCGCGCAGGTCGTGGTCAACGCCGCGGCTTCTCGCCCGCAGCTTCCCGGTGCGCGCGCTTCCATGCACGCATGCGCCGTGTAGCTGCGTGCCGCCGTGCCGCGTCGGCGCGTGTGCAGCGCGAAAGGCTGCGCACCTGTTGACCTGCTGCAACAGTATGACGCTGCGGAGTCAGGTCACTGCTGTCAGGACTTGGTGGCCGAGCTGCAGGGGGGGCTCATGTCGGGAGCATGGAGCTCTTCTTCTTCTTGTAACTCTACTGGCATGACACAGAGCCTGTGCCGATGCCAGTAGAGTTAGGAAGAGGAAGAGCCTCCATGCTCCCGACATGAGCCCGCAGGTCGGCCTGACAAGGCCTGACAACAGCGACCTGACTCCGCAGCGTCATACTGTTGCACCTGCGCAACAGCACCCGTCGCACCCCGCCTGTGCTACGTCGCCCCGCAGGGTCGCAAGGGCCAAGGGCCAGTTGGCGGATCCAGACACGCTGCCCGCTTCCTGCGTCCCGGTACGAGCCTGCCTCGTCTGTCGAGGGCGGTGCGCACCGCGCATGCGCGCGCCGCGTCGGCCGTCTCGACTTCGGTAGCACCCGGCTGGGTGGCAGGGTGCTATCGAACACATCAAGGCGGTCGGGGCGGAAGCCGAGACGGCCGGCGCAGCGTGCGCTCGGTTCTGCGCGTGACGTGCGTCGCCAGGGCGGCGGCACAGAACTGTACTCTGATCACCCGATCTATCATCTCGGAGGACGATCACGCCGAGTCTCTCTGCTGCAGCAGCGTTGCGGATGTTCAGGGCCACAAGTGGGTGGTGTGCGAGGAACACATCCGCAAGATCTCCCCCGCACTGCGCCGCAACACCTCAAAGAAACACCGTGAGTACGTCGTTCAGCGCACCATTCGCACCCGGATGGTGGGCGACGAGACGAAAACTCCGGTGCAACAGAGCGGCTACCCGGGCGAAGACAACCGCTGGATCGGCGCCGACGACGGCATCAAGGGCGTGGAGAAAAATGAGGGCGCCTGTTTGACATGCAGCGGGCCACGACGACCATCCCGCGACCCAGTCCTCCCGCGCCATGCCTGCCCGCGCCGACAAGAATCACTGCAGGCGCAGCCCAAGGGCCGCGGCGGCGTCTCAGACTCCCCGGAGCTCTGTGGCGCCTCCGCGGAATGTGATGACTGACTGACTGACTGCGGACTGTGCAAACTGAACTGAACTGAACTGAACTCATCGCATAGAGCAGTTCAGTTCAGTTTGCACAGTCCGCAGTCAGTCAGTCAGTCATCACATTCCGCGGAGGCGCTGCGCCTGGCAGCCACAGAGCTCCGGGGAGTCTACGACGCCGCCGGGCCGCACATCGCACGGCGCAGGAAGCAGCCGGCGTGCTCGGCGTCGCGCTGGCGCGGATCGTCGCGAACCAGGCACGCGCACTGGGCAGGCACGGTATCCGTAGCGCATCACGCATCGTTCACGCTGTGTCCGCCGGCACCGCTCCGATGCTCCGGCCCCTGCGACGAGCGTCCTCGTCCAGCGTGCCGGCACCGTTCTGTGAACCGGCACGGCCGCCGAACCGGCGCTGAAAGCGTCCCAAAGCGCTTTGCTGCTGCTGCGTCGCATAGCGGGTGCGGGACTGTTGAGCATTGACCCGTACCTCATTGGATGGTCCAGTGCGCGCCGTTCGCGCTGGCAGTGCGCGGCAGCTGCGACCGGCGTCCGCCCGTCCGACTGGTCCGCCGCAGCATTTGCCTCATTTGTTCTAACGCTTACCATAGGCGCAGTGCTGGTGTGACTGCCGTGCCGCGCGCTGTCGTTCGGCCGCGGGGCCCTCGCCGCGCGGTTCCAGCGCAGCGTCGCTAGGGCCCGCGTCGACGCCGCAGCTGCACCGCACGCCGCTGGGCCTCAGCGTTTTACCCTGGGACAGTCACACTGTGGTGCGGCACAGCACGGGCGCGGCGACGGTCTCATCGCGCGGGCCGGCGGGCGCCGGGCGGCACAGTCGCTCGCGAGCCGGTAGCGCCAGGGAGACCACGGCCTGGCGTCGTGCGTGCGCTTCGCAGACGAATCGTCATCGCCCTCTTCTTGTAAGGGGAGAGGGCGGCAGTGAGGACGCCTGGCGCTGTCGAGGCGCTGCTGGCGAGTGTGCGCGTGGCGGGAGCGATGGACGGCGACGAGATGCTGTTGGTGCGCCGCGCGGGGCCGTCGTCAGGCTGCCTGGCGCGGCCGGGCGCGGCATGAGCTCGAGCCTGTCTGCAGACGAGCGCGACAGCCTCAAAGTTCTATAGCGATGCTGATTTGCAATATTTAAGGTGTCTTCTTGCCTGTTTGGCATGGAACTCCCGGAGAGAGCATCGAATAAGAGCTTAGCGTGCGCTGGAAGACTTGAATGCAGGAGATGGCCGTGTGCGAGGACCTCCTGGCGTTCCGATGCCGGGAATGCGGCAACGGATGGATCCAGGGGGACGAGCCTGACCGCTGCCCCTCGTGCAACGCCGTCGGTCCGCGCAATGTGTCAGCAGCCTACACCCTGGACAGTTTCGAGATCGACGATCCTCGAGTCTCGGGCCACTTCAAGGACCACGACGGGCGGAACGGTGACCGTTCGGGCCAGGCTGGGCCGTCCACGCGGCCGAGGACCGACCTCGTCGCGACGGCTGCCGAGCAGGCGCGCACAACGCCTCGTGCGTGGTTCCAGCCCCGATTGCTCGCGCGAACGTCGCCCTCGCTCGTGACGCGCTGGTCCTCGCTTCATTTGTATCATTATCCGCAGCGCGCTGAGGAGGCTCGGCGACACAAGGAAGAGGTCCGCAGGGCCTGGGACGAGAAACAGAAAGCGAGAGAACAGGCCGAGGAGCGTCGCCTGCAGGTCAGACGCCGCCTCCGCCCCCAACGAAGCACTTCCGCCCATTCCTGGCCATCACTTATTTCTCTGCGACGATCGGCCCGATGGTTGCGGTGATTACTGCGCAGGAGCGGCTCAAGGCGTGCCAGGACCAGCACACGAACCTGCAGCAAGCGGCGGCGCAGCGCGCGCAGGAAGTGCGCGACCGCGCGAGGGCCGTGCGCGGGGAGCGGATCGCGCGCTGCGCAGCAGCGGCGCGCGGACGCGCACCGGAGCAGCCAGCGCCGCGCGGTGAGCCCGCAGCAGCGCGGCCGGCGGTGGCCGGCGCAGGGCGCAGGGCGCGGGCGCGAGCCCCCCGGGCGCCAGGAGCGCGGACGGCGAGCGCGGGCGCGCGGAGCTGCAGGAGACTGTGGAGGAGCGCAGGGAGCGGCTGCGCCAGGCCAGGCTGCGGGCGTTCGAGGCGCGGGGCTGCGGAGCGCCGGACGCCGCGGGGCAGCCGAAGGCGCAGCTGTAGGAGCACGGCAGCTGTGGTGCGGCGTCGTCGGGCGAGAGCGGCTGTTGCCTTGCTGCGCTGTGCCGCTTGCTGACTGCAGGGGGTATCGTTGCGGCGCAGCTAGCGTGGTGTTCGCGCCCACATGGCTCTGTGATGCTAGCTGCGCGCACCGCGTCCCTTGGACAAGAGCAGCTGTTCGCCTTGCTGCGCCGTGCTGCTAGCAAGCTGTCTGACTGGCAGGGGTGCAGTTGCGGCGCAGCTAGCGTGGTGTTCGCGCCCGCATGGCTCTGTGACGCTAGCTGCGCGCACTGCGTCCCTTCGGCCTATCTTTACAGCGGGGTTTGCACACAATCTCGCTGTCGAGCAGCAAGCGCTCGCGGTGGAGCTCCCAAGCATCCTGGCGGTGGGGGCGGCGGGAGCCGCCGGCCCGGTCGCAGGCGTTGGTAGTCATGCTGCCGAAAGGCGGGGCGCGGCGCGCGCCGAGGCCGGAGCCGTCAGCGCGCACACGCGCCACGAAAAGGAGGAGGCGCGGCCTCTCGAGGGCGCAGCCGCCCCGCAGCGAGCCCGGACACGGCGTCCGCGAGCGCGCTGCGGCGGCGGAGCGGCCCTGCGAGGGCCGCGGCCGCGCACTGCGCCACCGCAGTGCCCGCCGCAGGCGTACCTAGTAGATGCGCTGCGGGGCGCCCATGGTGGTCTTGATGTGCAGGGAGCGCACGTTCTGCCAGTTCTTCTTGAGGAGGGAGACGAGGAAGTTGATGGCCATCTGGATGTTGACGTAGAGCTCGCGCTCGTCCATCGAGACGTTGCCGACGGCGACGGCGAGGCAGAGGACCTTCTTGAGCTGGAACTTGATGGTCGAGCGGATCTCGTCGGCCTTGGACGAGATGTCGTCGTTGTGCGTGATCAGCGTCGGGAACTTGCCGGCCTTGTTCAGGCCGGGGCCGAGCAGACGCGGAATCTGCTTGATCACCGACTCGGACGCCATGAACGCCGCGTACTTCTTCGCGAGCTTCTTCACGAGCTTCTTGTTCTTGTTCAGCTTCTTCAGGTCCTGCGGGCCGGCGGGAACGCGCGGGGGCGCTCGCACGGGGCGGGGAGAGCGGTGCGGCGGAGCGAGGGCCCGGGCGGCGGCGTGGCGCGGCGCGGACCTCGACGGAGCGCTTGTCCATGCCGAGGGCGTTGGCCTGGTCGCAGTGCTTGGCGTCGCCGAGCACGCAGAGCTTCAGGTTGGGCCGCGGGCAGGTCGGGAGGCGGACGGTGCCGGAGAAACGCTTGTCCTTCTGCGGGTCGTAGTTCTTCAGACCGATCTGCAGCTCCACGGTCTCCGTGAACTTGCGCGGCTTCTCCTTGGAGGCCTCGAGCATCGCTGCGGGCGCGCGCGGGGCGGGGCGGCGGGGCGGCTGAGCGCAGGTGATGTTGACGGGCTGTGCCGGCTGCCGGGGGGGCTGTGGCGCGGGAGAGCGCGGGGGGTGGCGGGCGAGCGTGAGTGGCGTGGCGTGGGCGCGGGAAGTGCGCGAGGCGAGGAGGGTGGGGCCCGGGCGGAGGTGGTGCTGGAGGGGACAGGGAGGGGCTGTGGCGGGTCTTGGCTGGCGCCAGTCGATGGCGGGGCGCGCGCAGCGACGAGGAAAATGCGAGAGGCGGGGAGGGGGCGGCGAATGCTTGGAATGACGCAGCAGCGGCGCGCGTGGGAGGGCCGCCAGAGCTCGCGCGCGCCGCAGCGCCCTCGCGGCCCGCGCACGCGCGTCCGCGCGCACGCCCGCAACGAACATATCTCGCGCGCAGCCGCATCGTTCTCGGGGCGCCGCAGCAGCACTCACCCGTGATGGACTCACGGAGAGCATCGGGCTGGATCTTCGAGATGGGGGCCATGGTCGCTGCGACCTAGAGAGAGGTTGTGCTTTCCACCCGCTGGAAAGAGAGGCCGGGCGCGGCCGCCCTGCGCGCCCGTGTAGCCGCCCCGGGCGGGCAGAAGCTACGCCCCCGCCGCGCGTCTGTCGAAGGTGTGCCGCAGCGGTGGGCGGTACCGGCGCTCTTGGGCGCGCGCCGGCCGCAGGCGGCACCAGTGCGCGTGCGTGCGTCGTTCCAGTTCGGGGAACTTCGAGTGTTCGCGGCGCAGTTCGGTGTGGCTTGAGCTGCAGCCCTGGCGGGGCCCCGCCACCGGTTCTGAGACCTGAGCGCCGTGTTGCGGCCTTGAACGCGTCACTGAAGCGGACTGACGACGTGGCGTCGTCGACACTGACACGGAGCCGACGGAGGACGTGGCAAGCAGCGCGCGTCACCCATGGTGAGCTTGCTGCTCGTCTGGGCTCGCTCCTGCCGCCCAATTTCGTCCACATCTCGCCCTATCCTGATGTCACATCGTCGTAGTACCATGCGGGTTGCTTGCATCGTTCGCCCCGCGCCCGCGCGGTTCCAGCGGCAGGGAAACCTCGCCCACGCGCACCCTACGCCCGGCCATCCGGGCGGCACGATGCGTTTCGCGGCTCCAAATCGCTGCGGCGCAAGTTCGCAAGAGGCATAAGACCCTGGAGAATGCACTCTATGGCGCACGCGCGGCCGTGCGTCGACGAAAGCGGCCCGGAAAGCCCTGCCACCCCACACACTGCCACATTCGCCGCCTCCGCTGCAGGCCACGGCCGTCGCTGCAGGCGTCGCGATCGCGGCTGTCGCTACAGCCGGTCGCGGGGCCCTCGCGCTCTACACCAGGCACGCCCCCCCCAGACGCGTCACACTCCCCCCCCGTCTCGCGCCGCCAACACGCCCGCCGCGCTGCCCCGACGCGGCTCCACGCACCGCGACCGCTCGCCGCCGTCAGCGCCGCCCTTGCGCAGGTGGAAGCGGATGCCCCCTACCCTGACTAAGTACTACGAGGGGGGATTTAAAGAGACCATGGACAGACTGGAGGCGAGCCAGATCCTGGGCGTGAAGCGCAGCGCGGGCGACGAGCGCATCCGCTCCGCGCACCGCAAGATCATGATCGCCAACCACCCGGACGCTGGAGGGAGCTCGTATCTGGCCACGAAGATCAATGAAGCGAAGGAAACACTCTTAGGGAATAAGGGGGCCGGCGGGGGCCCGCGGTCGCCGTTCGACTAGCGGGGGGGAGCAGGCGGTGTTGTGTTGGTGCGGCCGGAGTCCTCCGTCCGGGGCCGGAGCCGACAGTGTACAGTGCCGAATGTTATGATTAGATATGAGAACGTGTCTGCCGAGGGCCGCGTTGAGAAGGGGACGGGGGGGCAATGTGTGCGTGCTTGAGAGCAACGTGGGGTGCGGGCGTTGGCGGTCCGGCACGCCTGCCCAGTGCCAGGAGTGTTGATGTTGGCGCGCAGCGGCGTGGGGACGGGCCTGCATGGGCGCGAGGTCACGGGCACGTGTGCGGGCGTCGTCTGCGGAGAAACTCTTCGGGCGCGTGCACGGAACGACGTTTGCTTGCTCCAATGCCGCATATCATGTCATGACTGCATATCAGCATGACATAGCTGTGGTTGGGTCTTGCAGCGCCGAACTGCCGCGTGACCCGCCGCTGCACCCGCCCGTACTGGCTCGCTCATCACACGCCTGTTCGAAGGCGCGCCTCACTCACTAAAGCTCTCAAAGGGGTCCCAAGACCAGACCTCGCCGCACCACCTCACTGCGCACCGCCTCACGCCCCGCGGCCCCGGCGTCTCCTCGGCGCCACCGCGAGCTCCCCGAAGAACTCCTCGAGGTCCACGAACTTGTACGCGCACCGGTGCAGGTGCCCGCGCACGACCCCCGCTGCGCGCTCCAGCGCACCGCACACCTCCCCGCCCAGCACCGCCTGCGCGAACCGCCGCGCCTCCGCGGGCTTCTGCCCCATCCCCGACACGTACGGCACCGCCAGCTTCTCCCCGCGCGCCGCCGCGGCCTTCTCCGCCACCTCGGCCGCCTTGCGCATCTTGCCCTGGCTCTCCATGCGGCGCACGGCCTCGACGGGGTCGAGCAGACGCGCGTAGTGCGCGAGCTGGAGGTACAGCGCGGCCTCGGAGTACACCGCGTGCATGCTGCCGCGCACGCGCGGGTGCCGCGGCAGCGTGCCGGGCTGCGCGTCGCCTTCGACGCGGAGGCTGATGTCGCGCGTGCGGCTCGCCTGGAGCTCGTCCGCCTCGCCGCTGAGCGTGCCGCGGTAGTACCGCCGCACGTGCGCGCGGACCTGGAGCTCCGCCTGGTTCGCGAGCGTCGCCGCGGTGGCCGGTGTCGTCGCGGTGTCCGTGCGCGGGCGCAGGAGGTCCGCCGGCGCGACGCGGCCCGCGAGCGCCTCCTCGACGCCGAGGAACCGGAACGCCTGCCCGTCCGCGCCCTTGACCAGCAGCGGATCGCAGTTGACGTACCACTCGTCCTCGTCCAGCGTGCCCGCCATGCGCAGATCGTCCGCGTTGCCCCGCCCGGCGCCCGCGGCGCCCTTGAAGCGCGCCGCGTCCATGCCGAGGCACTCGGCGATCTGCGCGGCGTCCGTGCCCTCGATGTGCGCGCACAGCCGGGCCACGACCGGGTGCACCTGCTGCGACAGGTACCACGCCACATCCGGCGTGAGGCGCCCGGCCGAGGCCTTGATCTCCTCGGGGTGGTACGCGCGCTCCGCGAGGCCCTTGCTGCCGGAGCTCTTCGCGGGGGCGCTCTCCTTCGCAGGGGTGTCCCCGGAGTCCCCCTCCGCCGACTCCCCCGCGTCGACGCAGATGACGTACGGCACCGTCTCGCCCTGCGCGACGCCGTCGCGCTTCCCGGCCGCGCGCCGCCGGATCGCGACCTGCACGTGCGCCTGCGTGCGCGCGTCGGGGTAGTCTTCGATCCTCTTCGTCAGTTGCTTCGTGATAATGAACTTGTGGGTGGGGACCTTGCCCTCGCGCATGGCCGCCGCGACCTCCCGGAGGTGCTCGTGGATCTGCGCGACGACGTCCTCCTTGGACGCGTCCGAGAAGATGTGGTCCAGGCACGCGCGCCCGCAGTCCTTGGACAACGGACACCAGTCGCGCCGCACGATGTCCAGACCCTTCTCCTCGCGCTCGCAAATGTCGGAGCCGTCCGGGGCGCGCCCGACGATCTTCAGCGCGGCGTACTTCTTCTTCTTCAGCAGCAGCATGCGCTTGAAGATGCCGTCCAGGTCCAGCTCGAGCAGCCTGCGGTGACGGTGCGTGGTGCGGCGTGGTGGTGTGGTGGTGGTTGTGCGAGGTCGTCGTGTGCACGGCCCGGCCGCCGCGCGCTTGTGCGGTCCAGGGCGATGATGTGGCGTCGCACGGGCGCCCCGCAGACGCCCCGGCAGTGGGCACAAGCAAGAAACAACAGGACGAGAGAAAGCGTGCAAGGTCAGTCGGGAATCCTCGATGCGGAGTGGAAAGACACGCACTTGTATCGCTTGTTCACGAGCTTCTTGATTTCGTTCCCGATTCGCGTCGCCTCCGCCGCGTCCGCCGCCGCCGTGTACACCATGATACTGTCCGTGTCCCCGTACACCACCTCGAGCCCGCACTGCGACTCCACCAAATCCTTCGTGGCCTGCAGAATCTCGCGCCCCTGCGCCGTCACCAGCTCCGCCAGCGGCTTCGCGTAGAACCGCCCGCCCTGGAACCCCAGGCACCCGTACATCGAGTTCGCCGTCAGCTTGAGCGCCAGCTGCCGCACGTCGAGCTGCTGCCTCGTCACCGGGTCGCGCTCGCCCTTGAGCATGCTCTTCACCTGCCGGCGCCGCTGCACGAGGCTCCGGATGATCGTCGGCAGCGGGGCCATCTCCGACGACGCCTGCGGGAGCGGCGCGATCGCGCCGTCCTCGGGCCGCTCCACCGTGGTGAAGCAGATGTTGTATTCTTGAATGATGGAAGGATACAGCGAGTTGAAGTCGAGCAGGAGGATGGGCTTGTCGTACAGGCCCTTCTTCGGCTCCAGCACGAACCCGCCCGCGAACGCCGGCGCGCGGCGCTTCCGCGACGACGTCGCGCCGGCCTTGCCCTGTTGCTTGCCTCCCGGCGACTTCTTCTTCGCGCTCTTCGGCTCGGCGCCGTCGCCGTCCTCGCCGCCGTCCACCGCGCCGTCCTCGCCGTCCTCGCCGCCCTCCATCTCCTCGTCGTCGTCCTGCGCGCCGCCGCCGCCGGCCCTGCGCGCCGCAATCGCCGCCAGCTCCTTCTCGAGCTTGTCCCGCTCGCGCGCCGACAGCTTGTCGGGGAGGAGGAACTTCCTCTTGTGGAACTCGTGCGCGAGCAGCGTCTCGATCCGCAGCGCGCGCTGCCCCTGCAGCACCCGGTTCCACAGCGTCCCCGTCAGCACCGCGAGCTGCCGGCTAAGGGGGAGCACGTTGATGTGGAACGCGAGGCCCAGCGACAGCCACGCGTCGCCCTCGTTGTGCCGCGCGAGCGCCAGGAGGTCGTCGCGCGCCACGAACGCCCGCTCCACGGCCGCCGCGTCCATGTCGCGCCGCGACTGCCCGAGCTGGTTCTTGGCGAGCGTCGTGAGCGAGTAGTCGATCTCCTTGACGAACTCCTTCGCGGCGAGGTACGTGTCGCAGAGCAGGCGGCCCGCGAGCGCCGCGAGCGCGCCGGCGCCGGCGCCGCTGCCGAACACCCCCCCGCCGCCGCCCAGCGACGGGAACCGCGTGCGCTTCAGCCGCCCGACGCGCCCCCAGTTGTGCGCCTTCGTGTCCTTGAGCCGGTGCAGCAGCACGGACAGGTCGTGCCCGGAGATGTTGTGTCCGACCAGTACGTCGGGGTCCTGCTGCTGCAGCGTCGCGAGGAGGAAGGCCAGGAGCGAGCGCTCCGACTGCTGCAGCGAGAGCACGATGCCCTGCCCCGCGGCGTTCAGCGCGCGCGCGGCGTCCTCGAAGCCCGGCGGGAACGGCCGGCCCTCGCAGCGGCTGAGCACGGTGAGGTGGCGCAGCGTGGAGCGCGCCGCCGGGCCCGTCCACTGGTCGCGCGGCGTCGTCGTCTCGCTCGAGACGCCCGCGTGCGACACCATCGACACCGCGACGATCTCCGCGTGCCCCGACGCGCCGCTCGCGTGCGTCTGCAGCTTGATGGCCATCGTCGACAGCGGCGGGGCCGGGCGCGCCGCCAGCGCCTCGTCCGCGACCACGCACTTCGCGGACGCGACCCTCACCTCGATGCGGCAGAACGACACCTGCTGCGGGCCCTGCACGCGCGTCGGGCGCGCCAGCCTGATCCAGCACGGCCCCTTCAGGTGCCGCTTCAGACACACCGCCTCCAGCGCGCTCTGGTTGGTCCCGAACATCGCGGCGATCTTCCGCCCGCGCACCGACATCGGGATCTTCGGCCCCGCCGCGGCGTACCGGATCTTGATGCACCACTGCTCCGTGCGCGCTACGCGAGAGTCCTCAAACGCGTATCGCCGCTTGACGGGCGCCAGCGTGTACCCCTCGATGTCGAGCCCGCGGAGGATCTCGCGCAGCTCGCTCTTGAGGTCCGCCGCGCGCGTGTGCAGCGCCGTCATCAGCTCGCGCTGCGGCGCCGGATCGACGGCGCGCCCGGCCTTGGCGGCGGCGGCCTTCTCCGCCGCGACCGCCTCCTCGAGCTGCGCGAGCTCCCCGGACGCGTCCGCGAAGACGTCGGGCTTCGGCACCACGAGGACGCTGCGCTGCAGGTTTTCCACCACCGCGCACGCCGAGACAAAAGTCCCCCCCTGGCCGCGGCTGGGCGCCGCGGCGTTCGCGGCGACCTTGCCCATCAGGAAGAGCGTGCCGGGACGCGACGGCTCCTCGATGATGTCGAGCAGGAAGAACGGCAGCGTCTGGTCAGACTGGTCCAGGGGGAGTGTGCCGTCGTCGACCCACGGGGCGGCCGCCGCGGCCGCGGGCCCGGCCGCCGGCGCGGCGCCCTCGCCGTCGAAGATGTCGTGCCACCCCTGCGCCGTGCCGTCGCCCTCGTCGTCCTCGTCGGCGACCGCCGCGGGCTTCTTCGCGGCGGCAGGGGCAGCGTCATCCTGCAAGGGGGCGTCGTCGCCGCCGTCGCCGAAGCCGCCCTCCTCCTGGAAGCCGCCGCCGTCGTCCATCACGACGTCGTCGTCCGCGGCGGGGGCGCCCCTGTTTCGCGTGTCGTTGCCCTCGTCGTCGTCGTCGTCGTCCGCGAGCAGCGCCCGGCGCTTCGCGGGCGCGGGCCGCCGCAGCGGCGACGAGCCCACCGCGACGGGCACCTGGTCGCGCGACGACATCGCCAGCAGCGGCGACCGCGGCGGCGTGCGCCCCGCCCGCGCCGCCTTGCTCGCCGTCGCCGGCGACGCCGCCCGCGCCGCCGCCCGCTTCCTCGGCGCCAGCGGCGCCGTGCCGACCTCCTGCCGCCCCGCCGTCAGCGGCGCCGTCCGCGGCAGCGTCGCCGGCGTGCGGAACGCCCCGCCGGCCCCAGGCGTCGCGAACGCCCCCACGCCGCGCAGCGCGCTGCCAAACGCGCCCGGCACGCGGTGCACGGGCGCGGGCGTCGGCATCGCGGCGTCCACGTCGCCCTCGCCGAGGATGCCGTCGAGCAGGGCGTCCGCGGACTCGGCGGCCTTCTTTGAGGCCTTGGTAGGTGCCTTGAGAGGTTTCGCCGCGGCGGTCATGAACATGCGCTGCATGCGCTCGCGCGCGCCGCCGGCGTCGTTGCCGGCCTTGCCCTTCCCGGCCTTGCCGCCCTTGCCCTTGCCCTTGCCTGCGAGGGCACGGCGTTCGGGAAATCAGGTCTGGAACGCAGAGTCATATTTAGAGCGGGGGGTCGGGAGTGACGCGAGGGTGTGGCGCCAGGCGCCGCGCAAGGACGGCGCAGTGTGCGTGGGCGGTAGAGTTCTGCGCGGGGGGTGGGGGGAGTGCGAGGCGCAGGGGGTGTTGTTCGCAGAGAGTACGAGACGCACCCTTGGCGCGGGGGGAGTCCTCGGCGTTCCCATCGAAGCCCCAGTTCTCCTCCTCGCCGTTGTCCGCGTACCCGTTGCCCTCGTCGTCGACGATGAAGTCGCCTGCACACGCGCTACACGCGCACGCTGTCCATTAGGCCCCGGCACGGCGTCGCGGTGCGTTTTCTCCCAAGGAAACCCCGCTGTCAAGGTGCGGAGTACGCATGGGATCGCGGTCCCGGAGGGTCAGGCCGGGAGCGGCGTTCCGCTGCTCGCGGCGGGCGCGAGATGGTTTCACGGAGGCGGGTTGTCGTTGGTACGGAATGCCGGCGTCTGAAAGCGACGAAACGGGTCCGCATCGCTGCGAGGAGGTGCGTCTGTTCCGTGTCTCTGCGGCGGGGGCGCGGAAAGGGCGCAAGCGCGCCCGCGCGTGCTTCCCGCCCGGGAAGTGTTTGAGCCTGGGTGGCCAACCGCGCGACGGCGACCGCGACCGCGTCGGGGCGTCCGCCGCGGCCCGCTCGCGCGGGGAGAAAGGGCGCGGTGCGGTCGCGCATTTCGGGCGGCAGGCCCGATCCGCAACGCCCCGGGCGGGCCGCGCGGGCGCTCTCGCGACGCGCACCTGCTTCCTCGCGCTTCCTCCTCACGTACGCAGCGTACTCCTTCTCGCTCAGCAGGTCGTACACGGCATCTTCCTCCTTCTCGTCCCCGATGTCGATGGCCTTCTTCCCCGCCTTGCGCGCCTCCTCGATCGCCCGGAGCTTCTCCTCGGCCTTGGCCGTAACGGACGCGTTTCTGCGGCGCCCGCGCTCCATCTCGACGGACCTCCGCACCGGGGCGGGCGGCTTGTGCCACGCGCCGCGCGCGACACGGCCGTCAAAGGCCGGAGGGCGCGCCACACGGGATGTTGTACTCGCAGTCGGGCCAGCGCGGTGGATGCGCGCGTCCGGGCACCTTTGGCCTACCGGCGCGCTCGTGCGGCCGTTCTCGCCGTGAACGACGTCGGGCTGCAGCGTGCTCGCGGATCACACTCCCCCCGTTGCGCACGGCGACCCCTTCACGTCCCTCCTACTCCGCTGCCGCTGCGCTCACAGCCGCGGCGAAACGGACAGTTCGGCGCTGCAGAACGCTCGTTTGCCTCTGAGCGTGCACGCCCGGCGCGTCGCGGTCCTGCCTCGCGAGCGAACCAGCAGCCCCGTCGTAGCTCGGCAACTCCGATCCGGCGACCAACAGCGCGACGATGGCGACTCTTCCCCGCCACTTCGCGTGCCAGAAGCCGAATGCGGTGCACTCCAGGTGCGCCGACGCCCTCCCCGCGCGCGCGGCGCCCCCCAGCGATCCTGGCATCGAGGACCGGGTCATCTCCTCCCGTGACGCGATCGTCGCCCCCGCCGCCGCCCCGCCCGCGCCTCGCCACCGCCCGACACGGTTTCCGCCAACGTCGCGCGCGCCACGCCGCCTGCGTCGCCCCGCCCACGCATCTTCCGCTCGCTTCTCAGCACGCGCAAGAGCTGCGCCCCCGCGCCACCCGCGCGACCTCCGCGGCGGACGCCGCGGCCCCCGGCAGCCCCAGCGCCCACGCAAGCCGCTCCGGGCCCCCGCAGCGCCGCATCGCCCACCTCGCGGCGCAATCGCCCCGCTGCAAGCCCCAGGCAACGAACCCGCCCCCCGTGCGACGTGCGGCCCGCAGGCGCCACCGCGTGATCGCGCAGGCGAAGGGGAGCAACCCGCTCCCGCCCGACACGCCGAAGGAGGTCCGCAAGGGGGGCCGTGAGTGGCTCACGTACCTGTTTAACAAGTTTGGCCCCGTGCAGACGCGCGACCGCCAGGTGACGACGCTCGACTTCGAGAAGCCGCTCGTGGAGCTCGACAACCGCATCAACGAGGTGCGCAGCGCGCCCACGCCCGCGCGGACGCCCGCGCGTCGCCGTCCTCGCGCCCCGCGTCCGCCGTATATCCAGCCCCTACCACGCCCGCCACGCCGTTTTCTCGCGCCCGCGCGCCCGCCAGACCGCCCCCGCGGCTCTCTCCCTCGATGATCTCGCCGGCGCCGCGCCCGCATTCGCCTCCAGCGCCCCCCTGCGCGCGCCCCGAGCCCCGCCTGCCGCGCGTGTGCGCAACTCCTCCGCAGGTGCGCCGCGTGGCGGAGGAGAACTCGGTGGACGTCACGGAGCAGATCAAGGAGCTCGAGAACCGCGCGCAGCAGCTCCGGCGCGAGACGTACTCGCGCCTGACGCCCACGCAGAAGCTCCAGGTGGCGCGGCACCCCAACCGGCCCACCTTCCTCGACATCGCGCTCAACGTGAGCGAGAAGTTCGTCGAGCTGCACGGCGACCGCGCCGGCCTGGACGACCCCGCCATCGTGTGCGGCCTCGCCAACATTGACGGTGTGTCGATGATGTTCATTGGGCACCAAAAGGGCCGCAACACCAAGGAGAACATCTACCGCAACTTCGGGATGCCGACGCCGAACGGGTACCGCAAGGCGCTCCGCTTCATGAAGCTCGCCAACAAGGTGCGCTCGGCCCAACACCACGCGCGCTCGCGGCGGCTCCGCGGTGGCTCCGCTGGGCTGCGCTGCGCTCGCTGTGCGTGTGCGTGTCGCGTGAGGTAGAATGCGACGCTTCCGCGCCGCGTTCGTCCGTCGCCGCAGCTCGGCATGCCGATCGTGACCTTCGTGGACACCCCCGGCGCGTACGCGGGCAAGTCGGCCGAGGAGCTCGGGCAGGGCGAGGCGATCGCGGTCAACCTGCGCGAGATGTTCGGGTTCCGCGTGCCCATCATCTCGCTCGTCATCGGCGAGGGCGGCTCCGGCGGCGCGCTCGCCATTGGCTGCGCCAACCGCTCGCTCATCATGGAGAACGCCGTGTACTACGTGGCGTCGCCCGAGGCCTGCGCGGCCATCCTCTGGAAGTCCCGCGAGAAGGCGCCCACGGCCACCGAGGCCCTGCGCATCACCTCGAACGACCTCCTCACTTTCGGCATCATGGACGAAGTCGTCCCGGAGCCGCTCGGGGCGTCGCACACGGACCCCATGGCCGTGTTCCCCGCGATCCGCGAGGCCATCATGAGCAACTACCGCCGCTACGCGAACATGTCGGCCGTGGAGATCCAGGCCGACCGCTACGCCAAGTTCCGTAAGATTGGGCTGTATGAGGACTTCCTGGTGCGCGGCGGGCAGCGCGCGGCGGCGCTGGCGGAGCGCGCGGAGGCCCCGGGCGCGACGACGAAGGCCGGGACGGAGTGCGCGACGGCGGAGGAGGCGGAGCTGGTGGAGCTGCTGGCGGACGCTGACGCGCGGTGGGCGGAGATGCTGGCGACGAAGCAGGAGTGGACGAAGCGGCCGGTGCAGCCGCGGCCGCTGCAGCAGTCGCGCGGGCTCATGCACCTCGCGGGGAGCGCGGTCGCGGCGCGCCGGCAGCGGCAGGGCGCGGGGGCTGCGGCGCCTGCGGAGAAGAAGACTGAGGAGGCCAGCGTGTAGAGCGGGGGTTGCTGTGAAGAGACGATTGCGGTGTGTGGCGTGCGGGTCGTCGACGGGAGCGGAACGGGGGGTGTATTACTACTCTGTGTATCGATGGCGGGGCTTGCGGAGGAGTACTCGTGTGCTGCGGGGCTCGCGAGGGACCGAGGAGCTCCTCAAGCTGACCGCGCAGGTGCGTTGGGCGACCGGCATCTGTACACTGCGTTTTCTCTCACGCGTGCGGGCACTCCACCGCTGTCGTTGCGCTCGGACACCCTATCTCGGAGACATATGATATGAAGTTCATTCCTCAGGCCCTCAGCAAGCTCGATTGCTTTGCTGAGGGCCATTCAATCACTGCTCTTGCGCGGCTCCGTTGCCATCGTTCCGGAGAGCGATGGCCTGTGGGCCGAGCTGCATATTTCTCTCCTTCAACCATGTTTCGAGCGCCCAGCGGCGTTTCCTAGCAGCACCGCTTGCGTCGAGCACGTGTGGGCGATCAAGCCCGACCTCGACGCCCGGGCGTGGAGAGCGTGGCTGCACGGACGTGGGTCGCAAGACGCAAGACAAGGAGCGACACCTCAACGACCACACGTTGCCAAAAGCTGAACGTTCCCGGCGCGCTGCTCCAAGCGAGCTGGTTCGACGTGACGGCGAGGACCGCCGCGGGTGCGGCGCTCCATCACCAGCGCTTCGCAGCCTCGTTTACCGCGCGCCACGACGTTGCTGATGAAACAAAGATGCAACAGCGCGCTGCCCGGAACAGCACTGGCTTCCGCGCTCGCCGCTGTTGCAGGCCGCATTGGGGGCACATTCTGCGGCCGGCGCGCGGGTCGAATGGCTCGGACCTCGCGGTGGAGGCGAGGTCGGGGACTGACGACTGTTCGCATCGACGGGGGGGACTGCCCCGGAATGCGAGACGCGGCAGCACGAGGGGGCGCGAACGGACACGCAGACGCACTACTGACACTGTCCACGTCCCGAACGTCGCCAGTGAGTGGAGATCGACGCTCGATAAAGGCGGTGCGGACGCGAATAGGCTGAGTGGAGCATCATGCTGGACGCGACGCTCACGCGTACTATGCAAGCTGCCTCTTCGATATGTGGACACCTACAAGATAGGAGAGAGCTCAAGGTGCGGACGAGTGTGCTTTCAATGCCGCGTCCGTATCGCCGGGCGCGTCATGTTCACCAATCCCCTTGCCCCCCTCCGCAGAAGACGATTCCGTGGCTGGAGGGCCACGTGACGCGGATCCATGCCGTGCTGGAACGTATCGCCGCCGAACAAGGGCGGCTACGCGACGCCGAGGCTCTGGACGCTTGTCTCGGGGACCTGATGCCCGCCTGGTTAGACATAGGCGCGGTCTTCGCGCGGCAGAGGCGGAACGGGCGCATCATGGCCTGCATCACGAGCCGATCGGCAGCGACGCGCATCCTCGCAGCGACGAAGCGCATCTCGGACGTCCTCATCGCCGCGGCGGCCGCCAACAGCTCCGCAAACATCGGGGTGCGTCCCTACGCCTGGCGAGCCGTCGCAGTGCCGATTGCCCTCGAAATGCAACGTCGCCGTGCCTTCCGCGACTTGTTAGGCGGCCCTGCGGTGCATGCAGCTGCCCACCGAGACGGCCCAGGAGCTGGAGAGCATCGGCGTGGCTCTGCGCAACGACAGCGATGGGCTGGAGGGAACGCTGACGGACATGCGGGAGGACGCGATGGACGCAGCGATGTGCGACATGCTGAAGCTGGTCGTCCGGGGCGGGGCGTTCCTGAGCGGCCGCACCGAGGACGACCGTGCAGCTCTCGAGGAGCTGCGCACAGACCTGCAGCGCCTGGAGGCGGAGCGCGGCGCGGAGGCGGCCCGCGCGCAGGAAATCGATGGTGGGCACCTTGCGGAGCAGGAAGCGCACCTCGAGCGCGTTCGGCAGCTTGCGGACACCCTGGAGGAGGTTCTGAACGTGCGCGAGCAGAGTGCCGCTGTCGCACAGCCGAGCGCGACTGGGGCAGGCGCGGCGACGTCGGTGCCGGCGGAGTTCGAGTGCGGTATCTGTCTGAATGTCATGAGCGACCCGGTCGTGTTGCTGGACAGCGGCCAGACGTACTGCCGGGCGTGCGTCAACGCATGGGTTGGCAGCAAGCTCGCTGACGATCAGGAGCCAACGGACCCGACCACGCGGCGACCGCTTCAGATGCCGCTGCGGTACGTCGAGAACTGGGCCCTGAAACGCGCCATCGCATCCGGCGCGTCAGCTGCTGCAGCTGGCAGTGAGCTTGCGCTGCGCGAGTACCCCCGCGACAGCGTGACGGTCATGGAGAAGGTGGCGCGCGGTGGGTACGGGGAGGTGTTTCGGGGAGAGCTCCGGCGAGACGGGCAGGGCGCGGCCGACGTCGTGGCAGTGAAGCGCGTGTCGGTGGCGAACCTGGACGCTACGGAGATCAAGGCTCGCAAAGAGATCGAGACGACAATGAGAGCTGCAGCCCAGTGCGATAACGTATGCCGGCTGCTCGGGTTCTCGCGGGACGGGTCGGACTGGCTGCTGATCATGGAGCTGTATGACAACTCGTTGATGGGCCTGATCCGCGATTGCAGCCCCTCGCCGCTAGAGCTCAGGGATGTCCTGAGGGTGGCGCACGACATCAGTCGCGCTCTGATGCAGATGCACCGCCGGCACATGTACCACAACGACATCAAGCCCTCCAACGTGTTGATCGACGCCACCGGGCGGCGGGCGGCACTGTGCGACTTCGGGCTTGCGAGAGCGCTGACGACGAGGGGCGGGCAGACGAGCACGCTGCGCGGCGGGACCTGCCAGTACTGTGCTCCGGAGTCGTGCATGGAGGGCTTCGACGGCAGGTCCGAGGCCGCCGACGTGTGGTCCTTCGGGTGCACCCTGCTGCATGCCGCCACGGGGAAGACGCCGTACGGCAGTCTGTCGGACCAGCAGGTCATGATGCGTCTGGCGCACGGGCGTGGTCCGGAGGTGCCGGCTGACGTCGCGCCCACCGAGCTTCGTGATTTGATCAGTGCATGCTTGTTGAAGGAGCCCGCGGAGAGACCGTCGATGAAAGACATCTACGAGAAAGTGACGGATCTGGAATTGCGGGAGGCGCATCTTCGCCGACTCTGCACCGTCGAGGGCCTTCGTGCAGCCCTCAACGACGGAAGCGAGATGGTGCGCCCCGTTTGACAACACGTCCTGCCGAGAGCGATGCTGACTCTGCAGTTGCGGCCGCTCGCATGTCGAAGGCGGCCCTCGCAATCACTGACCGGGTGTCCTATCTGGCGACTCGCCCCTGCAGGTGATCGACCTCCAGGGGCGCACCGTGCAGGGACGCGGCGTCGACGCCGTCCAAGTGACGCGCCCCGGCGTGACGCTGCGGAACGGCAAGCTGCACGGTGTGCGCTTGCTGATCAAGCCATCAGCGATGGGCACCCGCTTGGAAGACATCTCTGTCAGCGGATACGAACTCGGTGAGCCGCTGCTGACTCTGATTTGCAGTCAGAATCTGCCGCATCGACTCGGCTGCGATGATGCAAGGCTGCGTCATCGTCAGCGGTCAATGCATGTGGATGTCATTTGATCTGGCTTGGGATGTGCTGCATATTGCGCAATATGTTGCGCGCTGGCGTTCAAGCTGCCGACGATGCAGAGACGGTCAGAGCCGCAAGACACTCACAAGCGCCGGCATTCGCTTTTCCCACGCGCATCGCAGGCCACGAGTCGTCGATATTTGGTCTTCCTCCACAGGGGGCGGTGCAGATCGAAGCTGCGAGGGAGGTCATCATTATCAACTGCAAGTTCAGTCACAACGCGGGCATGGGTCTGCGCGTGGAGGACGGAGCGCAGGTGCAGGCGGCTCACTGCCTGCACTGTCCATGCGTGCTCGCAGCTGCGCAGATGCCTGAGCACCGCGAGACTCATGAGCGCAAGATCTGGCGAGTTGCAGGTGACGGTGGAGGGCGGCGAGTGCTGCGCCAACGGTCACAGCGGCGTGGCTGCGAGCGGCAGCGGGACGGAGGCGACAGTGCGCGGGACGAGGTGCAGCGACAACACGGAGGGCGCCGGCGTCGCGGCAGCGCAGGGGGCGCAGGTGCGCGCATGCGGGTGTGTGTGCGAGCGGCGGCGCGTGACGACGCCCGGGCGCGTGAGCATACGCATGAACGTGTGTGTGTGCGTCAGTGCGTGTGTGTACAGGTGACGGTGGAGGGCGGCGAGTGCTGCGCCAACGGCCTGTGCGGCGTGATCGCACACGGCAGCGGGACGGAGGCGACAGTGCGCGGGACGAGGTGCAGCGACAATAAGAAGGGCCACGGTGTCGGAGCAACGAAGGGGGCGAAGGTGCGTGCGTCCGGCTGTGCGTGCGGGCGTGGGTGCGAGCAGCAGTGCGTGACGACGCCCGAGCACTCGTGCGCACGAGCGTGCATGAGCGCGCATGTGTGCGTATGTGCGCACAGGTGACGGTGGAGGGCGGCGAGTGCTGCGCCAACGGCCTGAGCGGCGTGGGTGCGCACGGCAGCGGGACGGAGGCGACAGTGCGCGGGACGAGGTGCAGCGACAACAAGGAGGGCCACGGCGTCGAGGCAGGGGACGGGGCGAAGGTGCGTGCGCGCGGGTGTGCGGGCGGCGCAGGACGACGCACGTGCTCGTGAGCGTGTGCCTGAGCGTAGGTGTGTGCGCGTACGCACGCGTGTGTGTGCAGGTGACGGTGGAGGGCGGCGAGTGCTGCGCCAATGGCTTCAGCGGCGTGTTTGCACACGGCAGCGGGACGGAGGCGACAGTGCGCGGGACGAGGTGCAGCGACAACAACGAGGACCACGGCGTCACGGCACAGGAGGGGGCGCAGGTGCGTGAATGCGGGTGTGCGTGCGGGCGGCGCAGGGCGACGCACGTGCGCGTGAGCGCATGTGCCTGAGCGTAGGTGTGTGCGCGTATGTGTGTGCAGGTGACGGTGGAGGGCGGCGAGTGCTGCGCCAACGGTGCAAGCGGCGTGTATGCGAGCGGCAGCGAGACGGAGGCGACAGT